CTTACTTTGAGCCATGTACACCTTGCTTCTGATATACAATTACAGTTACGGAAACAGATATACTGATGTAACTAAGAGTCTCCATGCATGTGAGCCAGACAGAATAAGTCACAGTCTATCAAAATACATGTATATTGCAGATTCAATTATCAAACCACTTTGTCTATTGTTTAATAAATCACGGTCAACTTGCCGGTACCCTACTTGTGGACTGAGGCACATATCACGCCGCTTTACAAGAAAGGCAATAGAATGATTGCATCAAATATCACTAATTAGTTGTGTTGGCAACATTTTTGAAAGGGTAATTTTTAAGTAAAAACTATATGTCTAATTATTTTTTTGATAATAAAATATCAGTCAGGCTTCCAAATTGGACTTTCAGCTGTTCATCAACTTATTGAAATCTACCAAGGCCGTTGTTATGATTTAGATAAGCAGAGGTTTATTGTATTATATGTTGCGATGTGTCAAAGACCTCTGAACGTGTTTGGCACAGAGGACAGTTGTGAAAACTTAAAAGATATGGATAACTTGTTCAACTGGCTAGAACGTTATTTGGGTAATTGACATGGAAACATATATTTAAATGGGACATTGTCCAGTAAGAGGCAGCTCCAATAGCTACCAAGTCATCATAATATGCTCCCCGAGAGGCTGTCTATTTCGAACCTGGTTGGAATACACTGGAAACAGAAACTTGAAGTTAACACACTTACACACAAAGAAAAATATATAACATTAACAACAATGTAACCCCTCCCTTCTTGCGTGTTACCAAATAATGTTAATGATATTCGTACAACTTAAGGAATGCACGAAATATATCAATAACATTCAGCAGAACACGATTATTTTATGTTTGTCGCTTAATTCCGCACTCAGCAATATTCCAGCTATATGACGGCGGTCTGTAAATAACTTAGTCTGGACAAGACAATCCAGTGATTGGCATCATGAGCATCGATCTACACAATTATGATACGATGACATGCATCAACCAAGTCAGCGAGCCTGACCACCCGATCCCGTTAGTCGCAAGCATGGGTTGCTGAAGACATATTCTCTTCCCGGACCTTCACGGGTCTTCTGATGAAAAGAACTAGTGTAGACGAATAACTTGATATGTAAAAAAATGTCCCAACATGTATACTTTTTGTTGTTGCGTGTATACTATTTGTCTTTGAAAATCCCTCAATAGATTAGTTCGATGTGGTTGTCTTTTCTCATGCAACACCTAACACCCGTCTATCAAACATGGCGCAAAGTTTACAGCAAGGTGACAAAGTGTATTCTAAATTCTGCCGCTAATTTTCAAAAGATGTCACAGCCTCATGTTCGTGAGGCAGCTCTGCTGTGTATTTGCTCTGGGAGTGGTAGCCATTGCGATATTTTACTGCAGCTTCAAACACTAGGATTCGGTAACTCGACTGAGAAATATGCGCTCAGAATCCTCAGATGATTGTTAACTTATGAATGAAGGAACTACCTGGTCACAATTTAATGTAGAACTACCGAGTGACGAAGAATTTTGACTCCTCGTCGCTGACTCCACGCCAGTAAGACCAGGGCGTTCACTCAAACACAGTGCACTGAAACACGGTGAATGATACCAAGCTCCTCACAGCGACAGTCCGTTCGCGGAGCTCTCTATATCACAAACGAGTGACGACTGCCGTGAAGCCGATACTCTTACCCCTGCTTAATAATTTTCTTTGTTTGTCAATTTCTATTTCTATTTTATTTCAGTAAGAATGAAAGGGGGAAGTTGTCATTCGATCGAGTGTCATGGTGAATCGGGGTACAGGGTATCCGAGCACGCCAACCGTACTATCGAATGACATTGACGCCACAACACCCATATAAGACGTTGATATGGGCCGGGCAGGTTCGGCGTTGGCGGGTTCGAGACTGGAGACGAGTCCAGTTCGAGTTGATGGTCAGTGGCGTATTAAAGACGTCAAGGTTGATGCCTAGGGCTGACCTGTGTCATTAAGTTCAGCAATTTGGAGGCGGAGTCGTGATCTGGAGAGGAATATCTGTGTAGGTTTGAAGACGAAGCTGGTTATCTTTCAAAGCAACATTACTGCACAGAGCTATCGGAATGAAGTTTTGCGATCCGCAAACAGACACGCAGTATTGTCTTTCAGCATAATAATGCTAGACCCGTTACTGCAAGGATGACACGGAACTTCCTCAACAAAATGAACGTTCATGTGTTTCCATGGCTGGCATGTTCTCCTGACATGAACCCCATCGATCATTTGAGGGATCATCTTGACAGGTCTTGCCAGTCTACCTTCAGGACCTGGAGCTATGTCTCATCGACCACAGGGGCTTGTAACGCAAAAAATAGCAGCTACAAGATATATGGTCATATATGATATATGCTATATGAAAGGATATGGTATACTGACACTGGGTGTGACCATATATCTTGCAGCTGCTATTGTTTGTGTTACAGCCCCTGTGTCACGAGGTGGACATACTCAATATTACACCTGTGATTTATGACTTTGCAGTGACTTGTCTGTTGTCACACACATGTTTTGACAATGACGAAGTGAATGATCTTGACCCCCTGTATCTTTGTGCCATTGTCATGATTGTCATGAGACAGTATCTCAATGAACAGACAAAATGGCGAATTGTGGACACGGTAGAGGGGGAAGGGACATCAATGTCCCAAGTTGCCCGAATGTTTGACAAATCAAAAGGTTTAGTTTCTCGACTGTGGGACATATACTGTCAGAGGACTGGGGTTGCAGTGACACCTGGGAGTGGCAGGCCTAAAAAGGATACCGAGACAAGATCGTCTCATTACATTAATTACACTATGTAATAGATTCAAATCTGCTCCTGTTATCAATGGAGAACTCCATACAATAACAGGAAAGTGAATGTCAACATCTACCGTTAAAAACCAGTTCTATGCAGCCAGCCTGAAAGCATGGGGTCCTGTGAAGGGTGTGACCCCAACAGCATACCATAGGTGGCAATAATTGGGGTGGGCTAGGCAACATCAGGGACGGGCTTTGTGCCAATGGCGTTTTACCTTCAATTCACAGATGGCAGAAAACGTTGTGGGCGAGGTAGCAGTGAGCCGGTATACCAGGGCAACCATTCTTGACCATGATCGGTATGGGGGCGGTAGTGTCATGGTGTGGGGTGGTATTACACATGACGGGCGAACTGATTTGGTTATGTGAATGGACATTTGTCTGGTCAGCGATGTGATGTCGACATTTTGCGTCATGTCACTGTTCTATTCACTAGAATTATTGGCAGAAAATTTGGACTGCAAGATGTCAATGCCAGACCACATAGTGGCCAGGTCATCAATGATTATCTCTGACGAGAAGACATACGGACATTGGACTGGCCCGCTAAGCACCCTGACATGTGCCCAGTAGACCCAGTGTAGGATGTTTCCGAGAACGGCCGAGATTTATTTCACAGATATTTTACCTTCATACTATCATTTCATCAGCTCCCTTATTTTTTGTCGGTAGTATATGTAAGTATGTTTTAACTTCCAAGATGCTTGTTTCATTCGTCTCTCGGTGTCTTGGTGTACTGCGGGAAGGGGAGGTCGGAAGACTAATATGGGAACGTTGTTTAGGAACTGAAGGGTTAGTTTGGCTCATGGTATAGCTGTACAATGACGTCACTCAGGGTACCAAGTCGGTTCTTCTTTCATCAGACCGTAGTCATGTAAGTGAGTGAGTTGGGTTTAAACAGTATTCCAGTTATATCACGGCGTGTCAGCTTAATGTGGGAGGAAAGCCCGAGGTGATGCAGGTCTCAGACGTTTACCACTTCAGTGAAACCCACTAGCACGGGTATGGTGCTGACAAACCTAGAAACATAATCGGGGCGAACCCGGATTCGAACCAACAGTCATAGGTTTCTGGCGTGCCCAAGAGACGCAACTCTGCAAAGCAAATTGCGGCGCCTTAGACGACTGGCCCCCGTAGTCCTGTAATTTCCCCTTGGTAGCTGGTAGGTACTGGTCCCTTCCCTAACACGGGTCTTCAGATGGACAAGGAACTTGTTTAATTGGAAGTTTGCATCTTCAGCAACATGTTTATGGGCGGTCTTATAGGTTGGTGTTGAGTGATGCATGGCAGGTCCTCTTACAACAGCTGCAGTACATCCGGAATTTATATCCTCCATACACTAAATTCTCTCTGCCTAATGAACTTATTTATGCATTACCATGGCTAAACCGTAATTAAAATCCTCTGTCAGGCAATACTGAGATTATTTTCTTATCACCTACACCATGAATTTAAAATTACTCATAGGCAAATATTCTCTTTTGATCATATAAATTTTCTCCAGGATTATTCATGCACACGAAAAATTACATGTGTATACCATCCATTTCATGTTTGAAAAATCTATCATTTAGATAAACGTAAATTTATATGTCAGGAAATAGTTAACTTTTATTTTTTTAAATTATATATATATAATTATTTTACTGATGTATCCTTTGTTTAAAATGGCTGTACTGAACCATGTTGTTCACGTGGCACAGAAGTTTAAAATAAGACAGATACTCAGTCAATTATTAGCATACAAAATCGCTTTTTCAAACATAACATTAATTGCACCCGCCATTATCACACTGACCTTTTCAAACCCTTTTCTGTTTCACATCGCGAAAACGCACCCCCGCTGCTTTCATTCGGGATGTATCGGCCTATTCCGATGTTTCCAATGGCGCTCCTTTGTTCCGTTCATAACTCCGAGATATGCGAATCGTTGTCTTGAAATCTGAATTCATTGACAACATAGTTCGTTGAAACATATTGGAAATATTTATCATTAGATTTTGTAAATAAATCTAAAACGTGTCAGCATATTTTCAATACCATATATAGGTTACCAATCAATCCAGGTACTTGGTTTTCTCAAGGACGCTATAATAATATGCTGTAGACTGGTATCCTGTACAGCGGCGATGAGCGCAAGCGCTCTAAGGCAGGCAAACCAGTCTATACATATAGTGCTGCGTAGTGATATTGGTATTTTAAAGTGACAGGTTGCCGCGGAATTTGACTGCACTTCCGCTGTAAACACAGCTGTGCACACTTGATCATTGAGACATTTGAGTTTAATTACAACAGGTAACACTTACCTTCATCTCCCCTTACCCCTTCAATACACTTAATTTATCATGTCCCTTTATTCCGACCAGATTACATACACTTGCTCGGACCACAGGACCATGTAACTAATAATAATAATCAACAAATTCGCAGAAGAGGCCGAATGTAGTTACGACTTACGTTGCTCCCAATACAGATTTAAATCGATTTAAAGCTCTACTTAAGTTAAAATAATAGGAAAGGAAAAAAAATATCTATATGTCTACGTCAATTGGTGGTGTTGGTATATGTGATGGACAACAAAACTTGATAGTTCCTAAATACATGTAATATACCTTTGTGAATGAAAATCGGTGTACATGTCACTTTTAATTTGGAAAAGAATTATGAAGTAGGTAGATAAAAAATAATTGAATGATCTCAATGCAAATAGCTTCTTATTATATTTGTGTCTGTTGATTAGTGACGAAAGATATTGGATGACATTTTGACACTTGTGGGTGTGCTGTTTCCTGAACAATTTTTGTTTTGTGTGTTTTCGAGTAACCTATAATGTTGGTGTTTTCACCACTAGACCACTAACAAAACAAACTTAACAGCTTGACATTTTGACACATGTGGGTGTGCTGTTTCCTGAACAATTTTTGTTTTTTTTGTTTTCGAGTATAATGTTGTTGTTTTCACCACTAGACCACATAGGCGGTCTCAGTATACATAAGACTTGAACACATATCTTGAATGCTGAATGTCTGCTGTTCGATCAAAGGTATCATAATTTTCATTGGAATAACGTCCCATACTTTTGCTCTTCCTTGACTTTGTGCGTGGTGTTTGCCCAAAGTCACTGTGTGTTTGCGAGAGGATTTAAAGGGAAAATAGTGAAGGATCTTTTGGCACATTTTTTCAGTTCTAGGAGCAATAGTGTGGTAACATTACACTTATTAATTATGACATTTCTTGGGTTTGAGAAATGGGAAACACCCCACTTGTTCTATCTCAACACAAATGAGTTCTGTCAGAGCTACGATAGCTATCATAGCTCTGACGATCTGTGATAGGTTTAAGATAGTTTGGAAACTTAAGATATATCTGTACCTAAATTGTTAAGACTAAGTTGTTTAGAAAATCTGGACCAAAAATGTTTTCTGTAAAAGCAGCACTAACCATTGTGTGAGCTCAGAGGAATTCTCTGAGAAGGCTTTACGAAAAAGTTGAGATTACCTATAAGTGTCATATACTACCAAAGTGTGCTAGATATATTCAGATTTTTTTTTAGATGTTGACTCTAGCACACACAGGAAAGAAGTGAGGTTTTCCTGCCTTGCACATGCACTAAAGCACTGATGGAGGAAAACACAACTAATTAGAGTCAGCTGACGGTGAAGAGGACTTCTGTTGAAATTCTAAAAGATTTTTATAGTGTGATGACAGCCAAAATACAGGATTATTGCAATGATGTTATAGTGGTAGTATTCTTAGAATTATTCATTATGATATCTGTTGTTTGATGTTTCTGATGGGAAAGTTTTGGGACATTCAGATTGGGATTGGGCGGTTCCGTTTTTGCATGTAACAAACACTCTTTACAGTTATTGAGTTACCCTTAATCAGTTTATGAGAAAATGACGACAATTGAGTTCAGTGTTGCAATCTATCTGTCACGTTAAATTTCAAATGGGTCCAGCAAAGGCATTAATGGAGCTGGCCCTATTTTGCAATTACCTTTCTTGCTGTTCACATTCTCTTACTGAACATCGAGTCACAGATTATTTGACTTATGCCATCACTGATTTGTGTGTTGCAGCATGTGTGTGACTGGGTGGCCAGCATGAGACTGTCCTGTGAGGTGGATGTCGTTAACAGACTGCTACCCTCGCACAATGTCCGTAAGGCCAAGAGGGGGTGTCATGCCCAGGTGTCTCTTGGGCGAAAGCCAGCTGCCAGTGCCTCTCGATCTGGCAGTCAACTGTTCCTTATGGTGTGTACCGCAAAAGACAGGAATGGTGCAAAGTATGTGGTAGGTATTGCTCAAGTGTGAAAGGCATGGTGTTGTTTTAATCATTGGTTGAACTTTACAGGTCTGTTGTTTTCATATCCTGATACAACATAGTGCAAATGACCTTCTATCTTCAATACTTAAACACACAACCAGAGATGCCAACCATTACACTTTGGTGTAATAATCATGCTTCTCAGCCTACAATTACGCTATTATGCTTATGCTTGTTCTCCCAAATAACCCTTTTTGACAATTCAGTCACAAATAATTTACATTCGTTAAATATCACCGGTCCCATGGTCTATACAAACCAGTCTATTAGTGAAGTGTTTTTTGATGATTTGGGATATTTTTTTTATATTTCATGTTTTTATGACTTGATGAAACCTTTAAATGTTTCTTTGAATAATGTCTTGCTGAAACTTGCTATGCAGATCAGGCTGGTGGTGAACTGGTGCGTTTTGATGATTTGGGAATTGTACTTTTTTTATTTATTCTTTTCATGACGACAAGTTGGACTTCTACTGAAAACAAAGGGAACTCCAAAACCTTTAAATGTTTCTTTGAATATTTCTCAATGAAAGTTGCTAGGCAGATCAGTCTAGTGGTGCGATGATTTGGGTCTTGTATTTTTATATTCTTTCAGGACGACAAGTAGGACTTATACTAAAAATGAGGGTAGTGCTCGTTTCCAGAGCAGAACTCCCAAACCGATGAATAGTTCCTTTTGGATCTTGCTAGGTAGATCAGTCTAGTGATGAACTGGTGCCTTTTGATGATTTGGGATTTTTTTTAAACTGGACAGCATAATTATTTTTTCCACTTAACTTGGCATGTAGGCAAATAAGGCAGCTTGCACTTTGCCCAGTCAATTTGTTTAAATAATTCACTTGTAGAAAATATATATGTGTATAAGACTGGAACTGGAATACCGTCTGATCACAAGATAATCTGGATATCTGAGAGGCAGTAACGTAAACATTGACGTCCCTTTATAATTTACATGATAGATACTATAATTATGCAGAGAAGAAAAAATTGTAATAAAAGTACTATTCTTTAATCCTTAGCGAACCATTTCAATGCAGTGTCTCAATACGTATGTTGTCTTGTAGCTGAGTCATGTTGCTTTATTTGCCCCAACTCTATCAAGAGCCTGGGTACTATGTGTGAAGCCCATTTCTGGTGTCTTCCACCGTGAGCTTGCTGGAATATCGCTAAAAGCGGTGTAAAACCATTCTCACTCACTATCAAGGACATGTTGAACAAAGGTATGCAACGGCAATCTCCTAATTGTAGATTGATGGCTCTGAGTGTAGAGTAAAACATTGGTGCATCAAATTATACAGGTTTTCCCCTATCAAACTGTAACACATCCACAAAATAGTGTGCAAAACAGTTATTATGATGCATATCATGACTTAAAAGTGTTTAGTTACTAAGTTACTATCCACTTGCTTTTGTTTCCACAGATAAAGAATAATGTCAGTCAGGTGTTTGCAAAATTTGTGAATGAAGGAAAGGCAACCATTCGATTCAGGGAGCCAGAAGAAGATCTGTGTTTAAGCAGGGTAAGTTCCTCTATGCAATATGCTTAACACATCTTCCCGAGGCAAGCGGGTTAACTGACTCTAAAAGTCCTGTTTCCACCCTTGCTGAACTTGGCTGGAATTATGGAGTTATATTTTCACTAGATTTGTAAGTCTATGCATAGTCCAATCAAAATCCCCATCACGAAATCAAATCTGGTTCGTAAACAACATGGCAACCGCCGTTCCGAATTTGTTCAACTGCAGGACTTGCAGAGCATGTGTACCGTTAATTGGGCGTTGACAGATATTTTCCAAATCTTTTAATGTTTTTAATCAAGGTGCTCAAGTGATTTAATGCACTTCACCAGGTAAACCCCGCTTTATTACAATAAAGAGCTATATTATGGTTTAAAATTGTCTTGACTGGGCACAGCCATTTAGTTTGAAGCAAGTGCAAGAAATATGAGAGGTGGAATCTGGTTGGTCAGTAGTGGGGACATAACTCGTAATAGTAACTGGTCACACTACAATCAAGCCCAGAAATTCGTGCCTAGTTCAGCAAGGGTGGCAAGTTAACTCCCTTGTCTCGGGAAGATGGCTTTAACATGAATTGATATACATTTTCTCAAACCTCAGTCACCTTTGGACGGTGGCTGAAGCTGGCAAAGGCACAGGTTCGATTCCCCACAGAGTACAGTGTGTGAAGCCCATATCTGGTGTCCTCTGCTGTGATATTACTGCAATATTGCTATACTCATCATCTTTGGTTTGGTTTTGGTTTGGTTTGTTGTTTAACGCCGCACTCAGCAATATTCCAGCTTTATTACGGCGATCTGTAAATAATCGAGCCTCAACCAGACAATCCAGTCATTAATATCATGAGCATCGATCCACCCAATTGGGATCGATGACATGCATCAACCAAGTCAGCGAGCCTGACCACCCGATCCTGTTAGTCGCCTTTTACGACAAGCATAGTCGCCTTTTACGGCAAGCATGGGTTTCTGAAGACCAATTCTACCCCGGCATTTTCACAGGTCACTCATCATCACTCTCAACACAACACAAGTGATTTTGTTCTTGATGTCCAGCGATGGTACTTACTTCCATCATTTATGTTATGTTAATCAAACAATAACGACAACTGTAAAAAGACAATACACTTCCATCCCTAGACGTGAAGTGGCTATGTTGTGCATGTTGGAAAACAGTTTTCAAAGGATTATCTGATAAAACTAATCATAGTTATCTACACTTTTCCACCAGTATTCGGAAAGCAAACTTGGCAACCATCAAATGGCTCTTCAATGCGCCAAATCATTTGTTGAATAAAATAAACTTATACTTTTAGTATAAATGGTGCAGCAGATTCTCAGCATTATTATTTGTAGATAATGTTTAAACTTGTTGAAAGCTTGCAGTTTAGCATTACATGTGTGTTACAGGCTGACCCCTTACAACTGAAGAGTTTGTTGTCACTGGTGCGAGCAGGTGCCCAGGGCCAGGATCTAGATAGAGTCACCTTGTCCTCACTTGCACCAGCGTCCACTAAGCAGGTGGAGAAACCAAGGACTGAGCTGACTGTGACGTCCAGGAAGGAGTACCCAGTGACCAGCCGATTCCCGGCCAGCCTGGAGGTGCTCACTGTCCACTCCTGTGGCATGAAGCGCCTCGACCCCCGCATCTTGCATCTGTCCAGAATACACACACTTGACCTGAGTCTGAATGCTCTCACATCCCTCCCAGATGACTGGGGTAGACTCAGCTGTGTGAGCACACTCATCCTCACTGACAACCAACTGTCAGAGATACCCTCTGCTCTGTGGAAGAGCCAGTTGTGTGAGACCATTGCCGTGTTGGATGTTCGTAACAACCATATAGCAACCATTCCCCTTCAGATATGTGAGCTCCACAAACTGGCCTGTCTCAGACTTGATAACAATGGTTTTGATTCACTGCCACCGACTATTGGCAAGCTTACCAACTTGAAAGAACTGGCCGTTGCGCAAAATAAGATAAAGGTCCTTCCAGCAGGATTTGCCCAACTCCGACTTGAAAATCTGGATGTGTCAGACAATCCATTTGACCTGAGTGTGGAAGGTGTGACAGGAGAAGAGCGACTTGTGTTCCCCACCTTGATGGAGTGTGTGGCAAGAGCCATCAGAAAATACAGGTTTGCCACACAGCTTTGTCTTCAGCTCAACCATTTCATGTCCCTACCATTTCAGCCATTTGAATTTTGTTTTGTTTTATAGATGACTTATGTATTCCTTGAGGAGACATTAGAACTTGTGTAATATCAATAGATATTATTGAGATCTAGCTGTTACCTTTTTTTCGTTTGTTGGAAATTTGGATTAAAAAAGTTCTTCGTGAAAGGCACGCACATTAGATAGACAATAATACTCATACATATAAGTAAGCTCAGTGTCGCATGTGGAAAAGTGAAACATGCCTCAGACTTGTTTCTGGATGATGACTTGCACAATATCGGAAGAGGTATTATTGTACCTGAAGCCATTATAAACTTTCTTGTTATGGTAACTGGATGCATAGGACGTTCACCAGAGGCAATGATATCACACTTGAAATGTATGCATATATATTATAAAACATTTTTATTTGGCATGCACTTGGGGGACATTGGTCCAACAATTGTTTTTGTTTTCAGCATAAGAGCAGTTTGACATTAAGGCATTGTCTTAGGTCACTCATAACAGGTGTTATTAGCAATCACTACTAATGTGTTGGAAATAAGTTGAGTATAATGGACTGCTGTTGTTTCAGGATCCCCTACACTGAAGAAGACTTGTTCCCCCAACTGTTCCACTACCTGGCTGCAGCCCGCCAGTGCTGGTGTGGCAACTTCTGTTTCACCTGCAGTGCTCGTTACTTCAGTCATGTCAGTCTGCGTCACTTAGTGAGCAACAGTTACAGTGCCAGCCCAGGAATCACTACTGCTCCAATAGAGGGCTTTCTCTGTTCCCAACATTGTCTGACACGCTTCAAGAACAACCCAAGGGCATACTGGAGGAATTAAAATTAACACTTACATCTTTTATTCGTCAATGTCAAGGTGCTGCTAAGATGCTTCTATCAATAATGTCATTGAAACCTTCATATTTGGTGAGTTGTCAGGCAACATCAGTGAAAGATTTGTTAAACCTCATCATGAAAACCAGAATTTTTTTTAAAAGGACAAACAGATTGCAATTCAAGGTTGTTCAATATTGGCACTCACTTGTAGCATTGTAGGAATTTTTGTTCTTGCAGCAAAATCACAAAAGGGACACAAGCTATAAATAAACAAAAGACTTCCAAAATATTTGTCTTCGCTTCTTTGTTGGAATAATTCAATTCAAATTTGACACGCAGTGGCTGTGGCCTTAGCAATCTTAGCAGCAGTCATGAATTCGGAACCCAGATGTTGGTTTTGTAAAAGATTCTCTGATTGGACTCCACCCGTGAAAATCCAGGTTAGAAGAGGTCTTCAACATGCATGCTGTAAAAGGCGACTTTGCTTGTCGTAAGAGGCGACGAATGAGATCAGGTGGTCAGGCTCTCTGACTTATTTAATTTATGTCATCGTATCCAACTTACATAGAACGATGCTAATGATGTCAATCACTGGATTGTTTGGTCCAGACTCGATTATTTACAGACCACCATCATATTGCTGGAATATTGCTGAGTACGGTGTTAAACAATGAACAAACAAACAAACAAATCTCATATGTGGGCTAGACCTCTCCTAAGCATGCCTGCTTTAGCACATAAAGATGGCTTGAAAGGGCAAGGGTGAAAACTATCCTTTGATATTGGCTCGTTGACATTCTTGCCTTGGGGAAGACATTTGGAGATATGAAGGCTAGAATGCAAACTACAACTGCAAATACCCTACCAATGCAGTTAAGCTGTAATTTGGCTGACATCAGACTATAAAAGTCTTTAGATTTTCAAGAGAAGTTCTCTTCACTGGCAGCTATCCATTATTGGAAGTGTGTATAATCCTCTTCTACTGCCCAATGCTTCAGTACCTGCACAAGGTGGGAACCCTCACTTCTTTCTTGCAATCAATCATGAACCTATAGTTGGACAGGTTGCTGGGATTACTTCTGATGCAGTATTCTTGTAACAATGATAACTATTATTTGCTAATTCCTGTCTCGAGGGCAAAGTAGATTGCTCTCATCCCGAAGCAATTGATATGAAGATCCCTCTCATGAGACTGCCAACTCCACTGAACTGTCAGGCCACCCATGTGATCATGCACAGGGTCTTTAGGTACTTATCCTCTGGAGAACATAAGATTCCCTTTTGGAGCTGGAATCTAGACTTGGTCGGATGAACTAGTATGCCAAGATGCGGCTGTAGTTAGATCAGTAAAGGTGTATGCTCCTTGAGAGTTATTCCTGTCCAGATAAGCTGATAGGAGAGCATCTATACTCACATGCAAAAGAAACGCAAGTGGTTTTAAGCAAATAGGTAACAAACACGGAACCATACATTGATACAAGATTTAGCATGAATACACAATGCCATTTAGAAAATGGTCAAATGTAACGAATGTTATATTTGGGATAACACTTTCTTAGTAAAGTACAGATTCTTGTACTTTTTTGGGTTGAGTCACGTCTGGGATTCGAACCCACGTTTAGCATGTAGTGAAGCCTGATGGTATTATCAATATTTTTGGTTGCATTTTGGAAGCCCCGAGTAAAAACGCAACATAAAAAACGAATCGCCAAAACACACCATTTCAATAAATATATGGGTATCATGCACCCATTTCTCGCGAAATCGAAAATGCACGAACTGTAATGGGTATACTGTGGCCGATTCTTGGACCTACCACTCCTTGGTCAACAATGCCGAGCCTAACTCAAATTCAGAGAAACCAGGCTATCGGACGTTTGGAAGCTGGAGAGTCTGTCCAAGATGTTGCCCGTCATTTCAACGTTAATATAACCACAATTTACCGTCTCCTGCATCGATACAATGCTACACAGACCACAGATGACCTTCCTCGGAGCGGTCGTCCTAGGGTCACCACACCTCGACAAGATCGGCAGATTACCCGTCAACACCAGCGACATCCGTTCCTAACTGCAAGTGAAAGTGCTCGACAGACCATAGGAACACATAATCGACACATTAGCCGGGACACTGTGATCCGACGTCTCCGTTCCAACAACCTCGGATGTCGCCGACCAGCACATCGTCCTGTTCTCCAACAACGGCATCGACAAGTACGACTTCAGTGGGCACAGGGTCATCACAATTGGCGTCATCGTGTGTCTCCCATGCAGACGGAAGAGTCAGAATTTGGCGGCGTCGAGGTGATCCTTTCGCTGACAGAAACGTTGTGGAAAGGGATCCATGGGGTGGACCTAGCGTCATGATATGGGCAGGGATTGGACTTAATGCGAGACTTGGACCCATGTGCTTTCTGAATGTTGTTCAAGGTCGGGGACACGGCGTCACTGCTCAGCGGTATATCGACCAAGTGATCAGACCCCACGTTGTTCCATTTTTTGCACAACATCAACAACACATTTTCCAGCAGGACAACGCTCGTCCCCATGTTGCCAGAGCTACCATGGCCTTTCTGCAACAACACAACATCCGTGTTCTACCGTGGCCAGCCCTCAGCCCTGATCTGAACCCCATCGAACACTTGTGGGATGAGGTTCAAAGGCGTCTGCACAATGTGCGCCCAGTCCCTACAACTGCCGATGAACTACGCACAGCTGCTCTGGATGTGTGCAGGAGGATCCCTAGGGCCTTCACAAATCGTCTGATCCACTCAATGTACAGGAGATGTGTGGCAGTGATCAATGCTAATGGTAGCCACACCAGGTATTGACTGACATTTTTGGTATTGACCCGAAACTGTGTAAGCCCTTAACATTTGAATGGGCATCAGATTCTCGACTAACGGATTTCAACCTAAGTCCCTAAACAAATCCAGGTCTATAGGGCTTTATCCAAGAAACATGATTTCCGGACAGTCTGAGAAGGCGATCACCTCTTGTGCCGGTATGCTGCATATGGGGTCTCAATAACAAGCAATATGAAGCAATTAAATAGTAAACCTCTGTCATCTTTTCGATTATTTACAGACCGCCGTCATATAGCCGGAATATTGCTGAGTGCGGCGTTAAACAACAAACAAACAAACAAACAAACTTTCCCTCTACTTCCTACCATTGACAAAGATTACTACGATCTTGTCCACAAACCCAATACCAGGATGCACGTAGAGATGGCTAGAATTAAAGATCTAGACGACTTCAGCAAACATGTTTATCATTGGCTCTTTCATCAACTGGATTGCTACAGCCAATAGACACGTCATCCAATAGCGCAAGTCTATCCTAGACACCGATGTAGTCACCAACATATCAACATTTTCATGAAAAGTGTAGAAAATAGTTATTGGTGTTATTCGTTATAGTTACCCCTCCCGTTTGCGAGTCAACACGAGGTACGTTTACATACATCTACTGCCGTAACAATCGTTATATCAAGAGTCTAGAAGAGTCGGAAGAGAAATGTCAACCGCCGTGTGATGTCCAGTCGAAACACATTTAGACATTAAATATTTGATTATCTAAATATTTCATCACTTGCATTGATACATATAGCAGCAAGCAAGAGTCGAGCAAAGATTGTAGACATGTACATATTTGAACGGACATTGTAAGCATCGCGGAGCAAGATACACCAACTACCAAAACTGTTTAAACGGTTTTTGAGGTTTAGAGAGAAGGGTGGGTGGGTCGGTGGAGAGTGCCCACTACTAATATAAATACAGAGATTATATTATATGACTAATTATTAGCTGAGATAATGATAATGACAAGATCTTATGAAAATTATTCGAACTCACATTCTCGTTCGATACACAGATTGGGACCCAAGCTTTATTAGCGTAATTGTACTCAGCCGAGATAATCGAGACTGGGTATTCTCTGTTATTTATTTGCAAGTGAAAGGCAGCTGCATGCTGGTAATTGTGATCTAGAAGAAACGTAATATTATTAGGGTGATATCAGGTTATAATTTCAAAGAAGACAGCTTTCTCAACGCTGACACCAGAGACCATATAGTCTCTGCTGACACGTGTTGAAATGTTGAAGAAGTTGTCAGTTGGATTGAACCCCCTAGAAGTGTCCCTAAACTCTGCAGGAGCATTCTTCCTCCTGTTATACTTTGGAACATCCTGGATGACCTAGGCTTTGTCCAGGCTTGCAACACCGACAAGGCAGCTATCATGCTTCCACCTACAGAAGATGCTTTCACATGTTGAGAGCCATGTTGCAGACGACAATATAGCTGCAGATACCTTACTCATATCATCTGCAGTGACAGATCACGTTGACACTTCAAAGTAAGTCAATATGATTAGCAATTATAATATATAACATCGGCGATAATTATCTTATATAATACCATAACATGATACACACATTCAGAAGTGAAGGCGAAATATTGTCTTTTTCCTGTATTGGTGGCCATCTTGTAAGCCATTTTCTCCGCCATACATCAAATTTCTCAGCTTATATGTAAGATACTTACACGATTTATGTGTTCAAATAAAACAATTTGGTGCACAGGAATGACGTTACATTATCTTCAGTTTTGCGATAACTTGAATTTCGACGCATTTTGACTCATAACTCGATTTAAACAATTTTGCTTATTGTTTATTTATTCTATTGTAGGTTTCCCAAGTCAGCACACTGATGTTTGTGATATAATGAACATTTTAATATGCAAACTAGCTTGTTTAAAAACCAATTTATTTGATTTACTTGTGACACAAAATGTGCATTTTACCTCCAAAAAAATTGTCAGACACCAAAAGAAATCACCACAACAAGCATTTTCTAATGGATAAATAACATATTGTGAAGTAAAATGAGGTTGTGCTTTGTTCTACTGCGGGGAGGGGTTACTCCTTATGAAAGCCCCCTTTTATCATACCCAAACCTAGAAGGGTCCCAAGGCCAGAGTCTCCTGTCGGAGGTCTTCTGATGCAGTTCGCAAAAACTTGGGAAGCCTTCACGGATGACGCCTAGCTGCACAAAGTTGTATGGAATAGGTACAAACTCCATTTCCGCCAGGAAAACCGAACGTTTGTTGTTCAGTTTACAGTCTGAATGTGGTAATGTAACCAGAAGCTACCTCCGAACCAGAAGCGACACCCTAACAGACCTCAGAACCGGAGGTGGCGTAGATACGTCAAAATATCACAAAAAGGCAACAAAACTGACATCTTTGAAAGGGAAGTGACGTCATAAAATGCCAATACAAGATCTGGAACAAAATATCAGGCAATGTGTGTGTGTGTGTGTGTGTGTGTGTGTGCGTGCGTGCGCGCGCTTCACTAATGCAAACTATCAAGGAATACTTTAGATGGCTCTGGGGTATACTGGCTATGATGTAATTGAGGTAGGGTATTCAAAGGAATTATCTGACGATAGTCATCCTTATGTATAATTGTAACAATACTACCCCTTATTACATCGGGAATTATACCCCCACTCCTCCCCAAATATCTGCATCTAGTAGTATGAGGGTTATGGGTTGAAAGAAGTGATGGCTTCCCTCTTGTTGCATGCCGTGTTGCATTTCCTGTGGAGGAGAGGGTTTTCCTGAAAACTATTTACCCAGTTTGTGGTGAAGAGGATGTCTGTTGACAATTTAGAATTATGTATGGTGTAATTGTCAGCCTAAACAGGAACTTCTGGGTAGTATTCTTTGAATTATACACAATGATAACTATTGTTTGATTTCTGGTAAATACAATGAAGTGAATGAAAATGATGTTGCAACATGTGTTGCATCTCATTTGGATGTCACAATTCACCAATACATCGATAATATTCTCAGATGATACACACTTCACACATGACAAAATGGTTCCCACTTATGTTTCATATCTACATTATAAAATGTACATTGTTTTAAGAGTTAATTTTGTTCTAATCTTTTTCTAACTGGTAATGATACTCCCGTTGTATCTAAAATACTGTAATGGTTGAATGAAACATTTATTTTCAAAAATGAGATCTGATATTCAGGACATTTTAAGCCTTTTTAATAGTCATTATGCCCTTTAAAAAACTACTCTAAATAAAGCTAAATTAAGTAATGTATCATAAAGGGAGATAGTTGTATCATGACATCCCTATCATTGTAGTGCCATCCTCGATGCCAGAGCCCTGAAATCCTGTGGATTGTGAACCCGAGGAGGATCCAATCCTGTATGTTGCTTTGCTTGCAGGATTGTCACCCTGAGCCATGATGGTGATGCTGGAGTTCTGAGGCACTTTGTATGGTCTTCCAACTCTGGTGTTGTGCTGCTATTCCTGGACCAGGAGGTTGTTAGAACTGAACTGATGGCTACAATGCAAGTCCCTATGGTACCAGTCCATAGAGACTTGCTTTGCAGCTATCAATTCTGACTACTTGTAGTTGTCTTCAAAATACAAGAACAATGCAAAGAAAATCCTTTAAAATTAATTTATTGACATTTTAGCCTTTTGTTTATTTACATGCTGTACAGACTTTACAATTTGTACAGGAAGGTGTTACATGAAAGAAAGGATGGACTCTCATCTGTGTGTACAATCATCAGGTCTTCCAAGTGCAGAGACATGCTTGATCATACAACACTACATCACATCAACAACATCCACATCTCAACTACACAATCCATGTATATAATAAAGCTGAAGTAGCCCAAACATTTCTTACAATATGTCAAATTGTCATCAGTGAATGGTGCAATTAATCCCAAGTAAAGTGAATGGAGGAGAAAAGCAGATTTATGTTTATTAGTAAATGCATTACCACCTGTAAATATGAAACAGAACATGCCTGAGGTGATATCAATAATAAGACAGACATACATGTTGTTACGAAAAAAATCAATGTATCTTTAGAATTCATGTCATGACGCAGAACTGATATACTTAAGATGGTAGCATATGCATCTTAATTGTTCATTTGGTCTTGGACACGTCGTAAGGTACCTGATGACAGACATGAACTAGGTTTGCATTTGCTTGCAAAAATGGATACATCTCCGTCACCTACATTTCCTCAAAGCTTCAAATATTAATGTACCACCATGTACTTCCAGTTCAAACATTACTTAATCATGACAACCTCTTAAGATCCAACAATTATCCGAGTCTAAGGATTGTGCAACAGTAACGGTAATAAAAGATACAACCATGTTTCACGATAACCTTAAAGATGGCCTTTGATAGACACAGCACATGAGATGTGGTAGGATTTGGAAAAACACGAAAACAGTTTATTCCTGTAACAATGATATCCCCATGTTTCACAAAAAGCTGACTTTGACTTATTGTGACATAAACCTTTTATGTAGTTGGATTTTGGAAGAAACATGTAAATATACACTTCCTTAACTGTAGAGGTAACCATGCCTCCGAAACTGACAAACAGCTGATCTTCACCACAACTTTATCAAAACAGGGCCCCATCCAAGGTATATACGAAGCTTAATGTTAATTACATTAAAACTTCTTGTGAGGTTTTATATCTCATGACGAGTGCCAACAGAATTCCCCAGGGCTATTTGGAAAAAGGCTAAGAATAATCTTTGATGTTAACTTTGTGTAGTCATCATTTACAAAATCACTGGTGGCAGTCAAATTCCAATAACAACTAAAAGTGTCCAGTGTCACAGGGTGCTAATTAGAATATATATGAATATATATGGCTCATGAACTTGTTACCCACTGAAAAGACATTTCCGGCATTTATTTAATTCCGTACAGTTCTACATCGTCCAGTTGCCGCTACCACTACCCTTCTTCTATTGTTTCTTCACTATGATATTAAGGTTGGCTTTAATTTGGATGTCTCAGCAAATTGAAGAGTCATCTGTTGAGATAGCATGTGGGGTGGCATAGTACAGTAACAACACATTGTCAACATGGTATGTACACTCAACCCTCATGAGAGGGGCTGAGAAAAGAACACATGAACACAGTAGAAATAAGAGAAAAGAATATCAAGCTGCCATTCTGTATCACATTAACAAATGCGGTTTGATATTTAACATTTGTTTGAAGGATACAATAAATGTACAAAGTATATACTTAGATCAAAATCATTCAATTCTATCATTCACACATAATATAGTAACAACTATACACTTGACATATTTGTCCCTTACTAAATGCACACACACATTATTTACATTCTTGGTCATGTTTAACAGTATGTTATCAAATTTAACAACAAATCCAAATAATAGTCTAAAAAAGCACATACAACCACACTAATTAGGATAACCCTGAGCTATAAAAGCAGAAACTGTTCCATTTCTGTTAAACAGTTCCAAACATTTTCAGTACATTCATTGTTAGTTGTTAAAGTTACAGAATGGTTGTGAAAAGAAAGTTTTTTATGCCTTTAGGACTCATTTGTTACAACCACAGAGCCAGCAGTAGTTACTGTAGCAAGTGTTTTTCCCTGATATTGTCTCTATACCTGTGTGGAATCAAGCACATATCACAGCCATAAGATATGTTCCAGACCAGATATATACAGCTTTGACTTGAGTTTTGGCACATATTGTATGAGGGCGATGCTAGCAGCCTGCCGTGGATCCCGCAGCACTGAGGCCGATGCTGGTGCGGTGAAGGCAGAGCCAGCAGATGGGTCCAGGCTCTGGTGGTCCACTGCTGGGTCCTGGTTACTGGTATGACAGTGTTGCTAGCAGTCTGGTATCTCCATGCCAATGCCAAGTGGATCCAGCAGCATGGAGGCCGTTGCTGGTGCAGTGAAGGCAGAGCCAGCAGTTGGCCTCGGGCTCTGGTTACTGGTATGACAGTGTTGCTAGCAGTCTGGTATCTCCATGCCAATGCCAAGTGGATCCAGCAGCATGGAGGCCGTTGCCGGTGCAGTGAAGGCAGAGCCAGCACTTGGCCCCGGACTCTGGTTACTGGTATGAAGGTGTTGCTAGCAGTCTGGTATCTCTGTGCCAATGCCGAGGGGATCCAGCAGCATGGAGGCCGTTGCTGGTGCGCTGAAAGCAGATGGGCCCGGGCTCTGGTGGTCCACTGCTGGGCCCTGGTTACTGGATGCTGCTGCGGCTGCTGCTGCCATGTCTGTGGAGTAGTGCTTGCCCTGTGGGTCAATACACTCTTCATCTTCATCTTCAAATTCACTTGGAGGTTTCATTTTTGCCAACTCTTCTCGAAGCTGATTGTAGTGTCTCTGCATAAATCAAGCAATGTAAAAACATGTCAGTATTTATAATCCAACGTAAATCCATAATTACTGATCGAGAAACTTTCAGTGTCTAAATTTAAGAGGGGTCCTAGGGTCCTTGAGGTTTGCTTTAAGTTATTGAAATCAAGGGACACCTTAATTCTGAACCATAGCATGTGGTCACTTGACTTTATGGTCTTTCCAACACTATTACCAACAAAAGAAATTAACAAATAAAAGTACCCTATTTTCTTGAGTATAGTGCGCACGCCTCTCTAGGGGTTGCATTATTTGGGGAAAACGATTTTTCACTGAGGTTAGAAAATCAAGAATGAACCCTACACTCACATGCAACCATCACACACATGCAATATTTCGGAATAGTTGGAGCTAGACTTTGGTTGCAAAAGATTTCTATCTCTGGCAGTCAGTTTTCAAAGCTGATCTTCTGACAACCTGTCATAAGATTTCTATTCCCTGATTCCCTGATTTTGTTTGGAGAGTAAAAGTTGAGCCTCAATAGAAACTACATAAGAAACAAACATTTGAAATGGCCAAAAATATTTTTTACATACTGTACTTTGGATATCTCTTGAACAAATTCAGGTGTCATCATTGGTAGGAACAAGATTTTTTTTAGAATACCAAATTTCAGCTTCAGTGGTCCAATGTTTTCTAATGAAAAGATGTTTACAGATGCCAGTGCTGATTGACAAGCAAATCATGATATAAGTTCACTGGATTTGTCAGGTGAACACAAAATCTTTGGCTATAGGCACCTACCTTAAGAGCCAGAGTGTTGTGAGCAATGGATCTGCCTGTCCTCTTGTCACTACTGTAGGCCTCCATCTCAGTGATCCAGTCCTCACATTGCTTCAGCACCTCATGTCTCTTCAGCCAAAAATGACGTTGGATCACCTGCAACAGGTTACATATCACTTAATATTTCTAAAGGAATAGTCCTTGAGTACCTTCATTGTTGTTAAACTTGTCAAAAGACTGTTTAAATAACCATTTTGCAAATCTTAGTATTAAAGCAGCACCTTGAAAGGAGGGATGCTTGATGTTTTTGCTTGAATTTGAGCTCCACTGCCGCCACAATTAATTTTCTCAACCACACACTTATGACACATGTGAGAGACTTCATACCTAATATACATCCTGTATATCACTGAGAACTTTTCTCACATATCACCGGATTATATTGAAGGTAACTGTCACTCATTATAAACAAGGCACACAAAAATCCAGAGGACATTCATACCTTAGGCAGAGGCATTGAACTTTCTGTTTCTAAGTTGTATTGCATTGGTCATGTGAGTGTCACCATTATATTAACCAATACAGTTGTCTATCAAAGTAAACACATCAAATAAAAAAATCTTTTGTCATGAATCAATGCTTACATACCATTGACCAGATGTGGGTGGGGGATGTTTGTAAGACGTAATTTGATGAAACTAGTCATGGTCATGGAAAATTAATCTGTGAAAGTAGAATGGTATGTAATCTAATTGATGTTTCTAGTTAATACAATAGATTATGATATATTGCCATTCTTACATCTCTAAAACATGGTGGAGAGTTGCGGAGCATCTCAAGCATTGCCCATTTGACTGTGGCCTGTCTGATGTTGGCATCATACTCTCTTGAACTGGCTGTGCCTGAAGGTGTTCCTCGAGATCTTTCATATCCTGGTTCATTGAAATATGGCTCATTCACCAGAATCAATGACTGGATAGACACAAGTACCTGAAAACACATGATGAAACCCTTAGTCTTGTTGGTGTCAACACTTAATTCCTTAAAAAACACAACATTAGAGCACTATATATGTAGAATATTCTATATAACAGAGGGATATTCAAAATGCCAAGCTCCATCAACACAATTCCTGTGTTCCAATAGTTGTCAACATGCTTGTGATCAAAATGATGTACTAATAACTCATTGTGCCCCAGATTCCACAGTATGGCTTACCTGCAGGAAGCTTGAAGTCTGAGAATTCCACTTTTCCTCTGGTCGGCCATGCCATGTGTTCAACACACTCAGGCAAACCTTAAAAGAAATCAGGCAATTGTGTTTTATCAGCTCATATTCAGGTATTCCACTCATACAGCAAGATTGAGCTCCACTAATAAATATAATACACCACAAAGCCTCTTTAGGCACATATGCAGACCCTAAAAATGTAGTTCCATGGCACAAAGATTGCCTGTTTAAAACTAGAAAGGTGTTTGAAGCACTTGCAAAAACAGAAGCAGTTCTATCACTGCCTTTCCTGGAAGGCACCAGAAATCATTACACACCATCAGTGAGATACCATCACCTTAGGTTTGGGGAAATGCATGCCAAAAAAACCTTAATTAATTCATCCCAAGCTAACATTGAGGAACCTGAATGCATTTCCACTCTTAAGCCTAATGACATCATTTCTGGCTTGGCAAACACATGTCTAATGCAGTACATTTTTTAAACTAGCCAATCTTGATAAAAATCAGATTACTTCAGTAGCTAAGAAATGGATAAATTAGCATATCTTACATGTAGTCAATAATGCAGCTACATTCTAGGAACTGCCAAACAATATCATCAGGTTAGAGTGAGGAACATGGAATGTAGATACTTTTAGCACACTGGCTGATGGCAAGAGCATGAGTTCAAATAATCTAATCAACCTTTTTCAATAAATATAGTTCAGTTTATGGCGTATTTCTGTACACCAGCAGTTCTGGCATCTGGCATATAAATACCTACCTTGCCATCATTGTATAAGTTGGGGTTGAAGCGTATGGTGTGGTTCCCTGTTGTTTCGAGGTTAATGTATGGAGGAGAGTTAGGATAATCTTGTGGAAAGTAGACATCAAACTCAAAACATCCATTAGTATACGGAGTATCTGAAGGACCAGTTATCAGCACCTGAAACGCAAACATGATTCACAAAATCAGTGAGCAGTATTGCCATTATTGTGGAAATTAAAAAGAAATATGATTACAGATATTTTTTACAGCCTTCATATGAAACCACTGATGCTGCCTACCTTCATGATGTCAAGTCTTTCCTCATCACAGCGGACAAACACACTGCTGCTGGCTGACAAGGGTAGGGAAGTGGATAGAGTGACTGCTTCTTGTGCAAGACGCCGAGTTCTAGATGCACTGTTAATTTCTCCAGCTGCCTTCACATTTGACTCAAAGTGATGAGGAACCAAAAATTTCAGTCCTCCACCTTCTTCAGTAACCATTTCAAAGGTATCTGAATCATAAAAATTTCATCAAGAAAATAGTACAGTCAAAGGTTGTACTGAAGAGAATTTATTGATGTCAACTTTCGGGGTATATGCTTACTCCTTCATCAGGTGAAATTCATCACGTTCCTCATAATAAAGAAGTTGACATCCATAGTTTCTCTTCCTCATGTGTATCACTTCTAAATGCCTTTCAAAGGCTTGAAAGGTTGTGCTTTTTCCAACTATTTGTTACAAATACAGCAATGTCAGTATAGCATTATTGATTCATATTCCAAAATCAATCTCATTCCTTCAGAAGTGTAGAAATGGTAACCATATAACCAGTTGTTCTAGTCAAAAATTGGATTGTTGCTCATAATGGTGTGTGTATATTTTATGGGTTGATGATATTTGCAAATAACAAATAGGATAGAAGATGCATACCAAACTGCAATTCTTTCATAGACATCATGTATTTCTCTTCTAGAGTGTGGAAACATTTAGCACGATCCCGATCACTGGCCTGCGCACTTGAGCTGTCTGTGTCATCTACAAAAACATAACATACCATTTCCATTTACTGATTTAGTCATACATTCTTAGACCATAAGGAACATTTTAGAAGCTGATCCAGGCTTCTTCAAAAGGGTTAGTTGGTTGGTTGGTTGGTTGGTTGGTTGGCTTGTTGTTTAACACCGCACTCAGCAATATTCCAGCTATATGACGATGGTCTGTAAATAATCAAGTCTGGACCAGACAATCCAGTGACAGGTATCAGGAGCATCGATCCTCGCAATTGGGATCAATGACATGCATCAACCAAGTCAGCGAGCCTGACCACCCGATCCCATTAGTCGCCTCTTACGATAAGCAAAGTCACCTTTTATGGCAAGGATGGGTTGCTGAAGACCAGATCTTCACAGGTCTCCTCAAAAGGGATGGTGTTCCAAACAATATTCATGTTTAATCATCAAATGGTTAAAGGGCAAGTCAAGTGAAAAATATGATTGCAATCTGAAAATAATAAATGTGCCCTTATAATTTTCTGTTAACACAACATGTTTAAATATGCAAACAATCTACCTAATCTTAAAGACATCAGAAATTTTTTAAACAAATTACAATATAACAATTTTAAGAAACTAACCAATGGTATCTTTAACTCTGTCCGTGGCTACTCTGACAATGTGAGCTGTGTCCTGAATGTCAGGTATGAGAAGAGCAAGGCCTTCATTTTCTTCCTCCTCCATCTTGGCTGGAGTTGGTGTAGTGGATGAAGAACCATTTTTGCCCTTGTTTGATCTATAACATACAAAACACACATATAATCCTGGCTTAAACTTAAACAACAAAAGTTATTTTGTGGATAACTTAATGCTTCAAAGATGCTTCAAAGGAGTGAAAGCATTTCAAGTGCACACTGAACAATTCTCTGTCCCCCATTGTTGACTGACACTTAGAAAGCTCATACAAAGTTTGTACAGAAATCATTCTGAATGAGTGAGTGAGTTGGGTTTAACGCCGCTTTTAACAGTATTCAAGTTATATCATGTCATGTCAGCTTAATGTGGGAGGAAAGCCCGAAGTGATGCAGGTCTCAGATGTTTACCACTTCGGTAAATACCACGAGCACAGGTACGGTGCTGGCAAACCTAGAAACATAATCGGGGCTAACTGGGATTCGAACCCACAATCATAGGGTTCTGGCATGCCCAAAGGATGCAACTCTGCACAGCGAATCGTGGCACCTTAGACAACTGGGCCACCCGTGTCCCTGAAATCATTCTGAAAGACTATCATAATACTACACAGTTTCTCATTCCCATATTACTTAAGTCAAAGACCTGCCATGAGCTCAGTAACATTGAGGACATTCAACCTAATGAAAGGGAAAATGTAAAACAATAATAATCCCTCCCAACGCCCCAGTCCACCCCACCCAACCCAACCAAACAGGACATGGCAGTACTCCTCCTTTTCTTTACAAGGCCATGCCACAGGCTGTTAGCCTGGTTACTAGGCTGCTTCTTTGCACACAATTCAATTGAATTACAAGAAGAATTCAAAAGTATACTTGGGAATAATTTCAGCTGTTATCACATAACCTTAAGCCAAGAAAATTCCAAATGGCAGGACTTTCTATTGGAAATGCTTCTCCTGGAACTGGAATCTGATAAATGGCTGGTGTTCCGGATAAATAGGAATGTGCTGGTATGTATCCTGTAGGTCCTTGTGTTCAACTGAAGTGACCTGAAGCTTTACAACAAGACCTATACAATGTGTAATAGTATAAGCACTAACCTTAGGCGACTGGCATATGTGTCAACACAGCCTTTCATCTTGTCCAGCAGAACTTCAATGGCAGTGGCTGAGTCTGGGGCACCATCCTTCTCCAGTGGGCGCAGCAGTGGTACAAGAGAAGGACTGACTGCTAAGCCTCGAAGAAGTTCCAACAGTGCTCGGTATAGTGGAACATGACGAGCCATATCCAACACAGAGTCATTCCTCAAGTAGGATGATATAGCTGGCACCAAGCAGGACTGAGAGAGCAGATCCAACATGACTTCTGGAATAAGGCTTTTTTCTGAGGGAGGTGCATAGTTGGCATTATCAAAATCTTTTGGTAACTGACCACCAGCATTGATGTAACTTCCAAGAACCTACAAACACAAGAAAAACAATGAAATGTGACATACAAGATCTCCAACTATATTCCTTGCAAGTACAATCAATCCTATAATCCTTTAACTTACATGGCATAAGACACAGCAGCTTGAACATAATAAATCAGGAAACTTCTAATACCAGAAATTGCCGGCATATGGTACCTGCAAGAGACATGTGACATGTTCCTCTTCACTTCTTTGCCTCAATAACGCCTGTTCAGCATCCCAACTTGACGTTGTCGAACCTGTCCCAAACCCTGTGCCTTTGGCCCAGTAGTGTTGTGTCTTCTCCTCTGTCTGGCTCAGTGGAAGATGGTTGGTTGACGACGTCACCTGCATGGCAGCCAAGATAGCATGGGTCTTGGAGAGAGATAGGGAACTACCATTTCATTACCATTCTCACACTTAACAGCTTTGATCTACAATAGGGTGCCTTGAACTGATCTGCTCTATTACCATTCCTTGATATTTCTACGACTATTTCTTATCATTGAGATATGTAACCATATAAACCAAATTATAAAATATTATTAATTAATATTGTTGATCAGGCCCTTGTAAAGTGCAGGTACAATATCTAGCCACAAAGATATTAATGAGTAACATCCTACCTCCTGCTGGAATGTCCCCGAGGTGATGCGAGGTGCATGATGACTGAGTACGGACAAACATGCCAAGATAAGATGAACTGCACCGATATCAAGAGCCATTCGCCTCAACAGTACACCATCATCTGTTGTCAGTGGTGTGGCATCAAACAGTGACTTCAGCACAGTGAAAGGAAGTGTAGGTAAGGAGTTGGCCAGAGGTGAAGTTAAAATGTGACCTGAAAAAATGCAATGAGTCCAGTATGTAACAATGAAATGAAAAATAATAATATCTTGAGAACTCTTAATATATATGTGGAATCACATGACTATTTTATATTTTAAAGTTTGACTGGCATAAAAGATAACTACCTCCATCCCCATCATCTGTAACTCCAAGGACAAGTCTCAGTAGACACTGTGCCTTTTTCCTCTCTTTTAGCAGGACTTCTGCATAGCCTGGTAGCCGTAGGAACAAGCCAAATGCAATGAGTGAGTGAGGAGGTATGGAAGGCATGCCAGTAGAAGAGTGGCGGGCAGTCCTGGGTGCAGTTGGGGCAGGAGAAACTGGTTCCACATACGGCTGCAAAATAAATACATTCATCAAAAATAGTTACTGGAATAAAATCTCTTTAGGAATTTGCTGGTAAAATATAGGCATGTGCAAGATCCAGTTGAATCTGCCCACCATGTCCATCCAGAAGCAAATATTGCCACCGTCCTGTAGCTCACCTGAATATTTTGTCCACAGCTTAAAATGCCAACAAAGGCACATAACATACCTTGCCATAAGCGGCATTTAGAAAGCTGAAGCATTGATAAAGACAAGGTTGACTTCTGGATTTAAACTTTCAGGATTGAAAGAATAAAAGAAGTTGAAATCCATACGTCAATCCTGTCCTTGTTCGTTGTCTAACGCTGCATTCAACATTATTCCAGCAATATGCAGCGGTCTGTAGATAATGGAGTCTAGACCAGACATCCAGAGATTGACATCATGAGCATTGATCTACACAAATGGGATACAATGACATGCATCAACCAAGTCAGTGAGTCTGACCACCCGATCTGGTTAGTCACCTCTTATGACAAGCATGGGTTGCTAAAGACCAATTCTAACTGGTTCTAGCTAAAAAGGCTAGTAGCTTTCAATCTTCCATACCCATAGTGATACTTTTACTAGCCAGGAGCAACGCCCAGTTTTACTTACATCATAAAATTCATCAGAAGATTCCACTGTAACCCAGTCTTGACCAATGTCAGCTACATTGTTATTATCAGTTGTAGCCTCTGGAGATGCAGCTTGCCGGGTGATCTCTGGGTACAGTAAGGGCAGGTGTTCAGCAAGGAGAGCAAGTCCCCCTACACTCGCAAATACCTGCAGAGCTGAAGGAAAGGTAGCAGAACACAGCAACACCTGATTGGGGACATCCTCCTCCTTCATGTTCCAGTCTTCCATTGGCATTGCACCTCCAACATCTACAAACAAATAGAATCCATGGAATTACAACCTTCAAAATTCCTCTTACAAGCGAAAGACATCGCCTTAATAATAGGACGTTATGCGTGAGCTTGGTGAGTAATTCTACACTGACTTTTATTCTGATTATTAAAAAAAGTACCAAGCCTGAGTTAGCATAGCAGGGTTTCAGATCAGTTCATTCTCTTGGACATTGACTGAGTGTCATCCAAAATGTAGTAGACATGTTTAAACTTTGGTTATGATATGGAAGTATGTCCAAGAACAATTTTGCTAAAATCATTAAATTGTCTTTATAAAATTTATCTTCTGCGAAGTCACTGACATAGTGTGAAACTTTGATGATAAAACATAAAACTTAGTACACCTACAGATTTCCAGATACAGCCATGATTGTTTAATGCCACTAACACAGCAGCACACAACAGCGTCACTAACTTTTATAATAGGATGAAGGAGCTCAAAACAAGGCAAATAAATTACCATTTGTAGGGTTTAAAATGAGTAAGCCTAAAAATTGTATATCAAACATCAACATTTCATAAAACATGGAAAAATGTATATCAACATGAAAATTAGTTCCATGATGGCATGCAGCAACCTCATCAGTGACATCCATTGAGGTCACATTGCTACTGTTTTGTAATACTTCACATCAAGTCAAGCCCCCAAATCCTGTTATTTTAGCGAGGGTGTATTCAGTATTTTAGCTTAAAACTGCATCAGAAAACAATTACAAGTAATCAAAAACTATTAATCAGATGTCATTGAGTGGTTTAGTCACAATACAACGTCCACTAGTGATAAGAAAGAGATTAACCAGGGATATTTACAGAGACAATTAATTGCAACAGAAATGTTATTTGAACATATCAAGTATGAGGTAAGTTTGCACAGATTTGACATGGTTTTTTTTAGATTTGATTAGATTTTTTTTACAACATATGACTGATGAATAGACACATGCCCTTTCAAATCCTTTTCTGGTATGATGACAAAATCTATCAACGCAGCCAACTTCATTTATAGATAATCATAATAATTCATTGCATACACTGCAAGTGTTACATTCCTACCTTGTTCCTGTATGGAAGATGAGAGGCGTGTGTGAGACTGTTGAAAGCGGGCTGACTGTAGGCGCATGGTAAGTTGTAGACATGAACTGGCAGACGAAGCCACAGTTTCACCTCTCTGTTCCACGAGATGCACTAACTGGGACAGTGTCAGCTCCGATGGAAGAGCCTTATCTTATGAAAAAAAACAAAGCTGGCTTAATGTTTGTTCTTTCTTATATGTGTGCTAGATTAAAGATTCTGCAATAAATTCTTACACAACAGATTAATGTTATCAAAGTACAACTGACTTTTTCTGAAAATGTCTTACCAAAATAAGGCTACCAGGCTCTTTTGCTGACTAAAAACTTCTGGATGACTCTACTTGCTCAGAAAGGCCAAACAAAAATAAAGAAGAATCATCTCGACATGTTTATTATTTTTTCACACTGACACATGTTTAACTGGCTATGCAGAGTGTAAAAATTACAACTTGCATCATGAATGCAATTGCACCACTAGCAGCCATAGCAGAACATGGTCAAAAGTTGAAGTTGTGTCAAATATCTGACTGTCAACTATCCATAAACAGTTGTGTAAGCAATAGTATCTTGCTGCCTGAGGCTCTTGCACTAGTGCAAGACGGGAAACCTCACTTCTTTCCTGTGTGTGCTAGTGCCAACAACTACCCCATGAGAACATTCATGGATATGAGAATGATCAGAGTAAAAAATGAACAAGTCAGGTCTAGCCACCCCCTCTCCACTTTAGTATCTAGACTGTAGGGTAGTGAGAGTAGTAATATTGCCCATGGTCCAACAGAGTCAAGCTTTCAGGCAAAGCAAAAGTTCTTGTAGGAGAATGGTTGTCTGCCTTGCACAAGCAATTAGCTTGGTGCACAGTAGCTGCAATGGAAACTGTACTGAGCCCATATGGTTCTTTTGATGATTGATTAAAGCAAGGTGAGGGTCTTATGTAACCGTGGCCTCGTTGGTGATGGTAGCTAGGAAATGCTGGGGACCTTCTCTTCTTCTCCAAGCTTGAATGCAGTGTGGTGACCGTGAAGCATGAATACACCCTGCACACATGATCCTGATGAGCTTGGGCGGTTGAGGCTCAGGAATACGACTCATTCACCTACTGCATGGAGAACATGCTGATCAAGCGGACATCCCCGAATCAGTGACTTCAACAATATCTCCTCAGGGACCCACAGCCAGTGGTCTATCGCTACCATCATGCAGAACCCATACAGCTTTCTCTTCAGTGTTGCTTCGGAATGTGACCCCCGATCCCAAATTCAAATGTCCCCCCCCCCTCTTGACTGGGGGATGCTTCAGGGTCACTGTTTCTTCTACATGTCAGCCACATCTTTTGTAATGACCGTAACTTCTGGTCAAACATGGTCTGCATCGCTTCCTGCAATGTACTCTCTCCGTGTAGATGTACTTCAAGAGATTTTCTTCCTTATGGTTTCTTGGGCAGGCAATGTCAAACCACAGACATAGAGGACACACACCACAATCGTCTATTCCAAATCTTCTTATAGCTGGGAACATTCTTCCGGGGTGTTGACACTAGTACACAGGAAAGAAGTGAGGTTTCCCGCCTTGTGCATGCACAGGAGGCTTGGGGCAGCAAGACACTATTGCTTACACAATTGTTTATGGGCAGTGAAGAGGACTTCTGTTGAAAATCTGAAGATTTTATAGTGACCCAGAAGCATAGGAATCAGGATTTTCAATATGGCAAGCTGTGGCGAATCTCAAGAAGAAAAGCGCACACTGGATGCCAGACAATCAGGCTATGACATAAACTCACTTGACTTTGACGATGTCACATAATACGCTACTTAACAGCAACCTGTTTGAGTCTGTTTACATGTGTTCACCCTGTAGTTGACAGCATGAGAAATGATTGACAAAGTCTGGGCAGATGATCTATATATACTCAACCAGGTGATATGCTCTCAGCAACTGTTCTTTACAATTCAGCGCTAACAACCCATGGCATTGAGATCTGAATTCTGTGGAGTTTTACAGACACCATTGCAACAACTTTTCATTAGTTGTACATACGGCCTTGTGGTTTGACACTACACAAAAGTGACCATACCATAATATATGCCATAAAGGAATTTTTTTATGCGCCTTTAATATTATATCCAATGATTTCTTACTTCAAACAAATATGTTAAGATATAATAATAAGAAGAAAACTGAAGAAAGTGGTTACTTGGGAGGATCTTGTGATGTAACTGGAGTGATGACATGGAAAACTTCAGCTGAGATGACACATCCTCCAGTGTATGTCGGCCTCTCCTTGTTGGAGGTCGAGGAGGAAGGGCAGTCTTTGTCGGAGATGGACTTTTCTCTCGTCGCTCTTTAGCTGAAATACCTGATATGGAAACAATGGATGCTTTCAAACCAAGTGGACATATATGTAAATTCATTCATTAGCAGAGATGATGATTATAATGTTTTACTGAGAAACACATTCATCAGAAGAATTGTTGTTTGTTCGTGTGGACTACATTATGACATGTTAAGCATACAAAATAATGAACAACAGCATATCTATAACCCATTCTACACGCTCACATAGTAAACATTGCAAGCAAAGGGTTCAAAATAGCAAAATGTGGTGATCAGCCAGGTACCTGCAGCATTAGACAGGTATTCCAGCATCTCAAGCCCTAACTCACTGGGGTCTATCTTGTCGTCATTACTGTTACTCTTTGTCTTTTCATCCTTTACATCAAGGAAGGGAGTTGTCAACACTGGAGCATCTGAAATGCAGCCATATAGAGGTCCACATAGTTCAAATGAATACTGAACAACATAGTAAAACCAACTGTGAGTGACGAGAGTCATGCAGTCATGCTCATATTGGTACATGTAATTTCCAAATATGATGTCAGATGGCACATAAATATTTACACTGAATATGAGTCAATTTCACGAAGAGTGTAATTTTCAAAAAAAAAGAAAAACTGAACAAAAAATTGGGGGTGGGGGTGTCTATTCTGTGGCCAAAATGAAATTGTTTATTATGGCTTACCAACCAATGAAAAAATCGGAAACTGTATAGGTCAAGGTCATTAAGTTTCTAGGAATATCTATTGCAGAAGACATTCATGTCATGAGAAGATTTTTCAGTGTTTTTATGAACTTGTTCTAAAAATATTCAGTCAAGAATTTCTAATATTATTGCCATACAAAATATTTCTGTTCTTTTAATTAACAACAGACCTGCACCAATGCATATACATTTGTGCTTTTTGTGCCAGGTTCCATGAAATTGCATGAATGTCAAAGAGCGAAGCCTCACTAAAGCACTGGTTCAGGGACATCATCCTTGGTTTGGGAAAACAGCCCAATGCAGTGACTTCTAAGGAAAAAAAAATGCCATGCTCTTAACATTAACAAGAATATTACATGCACATTTGGCTTAAAAACTGCTCGATCATACGATCTCTCTGAAATGTCCAAGTGCTGCACGGTTTAAAAAAAGAAGTAAAGTGATGAAATTCATATAAATTGATAAAGCATCAACATTTACATGGGGCTGCTTAAACAGTGCCACAGCACTGAAGACAACCTGGATATGTAGTAAACAGTCTAATATGTCAACAAGTACAGCCACTTCAGAAAACTCTCATCCAACTATTCTCAGTGATGATATTCATATACTTTCTGTGAAACACTAACACTAAACTCTAATGACTTGAACAACATATGATGCAACCACAAGGAGAAACATACATTTGTTCAGCTCCATCGGTCTGGCAATTTCAGAGGAGAGAGGGTTTACAGAGCCAAATATACAGTTTGAGAGTATTTAACAGCATGTTCCAGACACAAAGGTCAAAACAAAGTCAAACTTCAAAATATCAAAAGAAAGGTAACAGGTCCCAGGTAACTTGCACACATACATGCTATTTATGGCCATAACTCAGCAATTTATGTTCAAGATGTAATGTAAATTGGTTAGTGTCATGTAGATATAGGCCATATAAAGAGGGATATACATAAAAAAAAAATTCACTTGTGTACATTAGCACACATATAAAGAAATTTCATAAATACACACACACAAAATTACATGATGAACAAAACATGCAGTCATTGCTATAAACAGTTATTTATTCTACACAGCTACTGTTGCTCACATGATCTGTCAGCAGGCACACAGAATATGTTTAGTAAAGCTGTAAAGAGAACAAAATTTTATCTCACACCAGGATTTGGTGAGCTCTGTATCTGTAATAGAGCTATGAACTGCATTGGACTAGACCCTGGCATCAGTCTGTTTTGAACTGGTTTTGTTGGATGTACTTGTTCAGTTATCAAGATGTTGTTATGTATACCTGCAACTTTGTTGAGAGCATCTCCACACGGAGTGTTGATGTTGAGCATGACTGTTCTGTAGCTCCGCCCTGCACCATACTGAGGATGGTGAATCTGGTTGCCCGAAGTGAGAGTTTGCAGTCGGCACTGAAGACTAGTACAGTGAAATGCCACTAAGATACGTTCATCTTCCAGTAACACTTGTAGTAAGATGCGTCGTGTGAAGCCAGAAAGTGGCACAGCACTTACTATTGCCCCTGGAAGAAATCAAAGGTGTCATTACTTACAACAGAAAACTTTTCTTCAACAAAACGATAAACATCACATATTTAAACGTGACATATTATCCAGAGACTTAACAAATCCAATACAGGATATAAATAAAGTTTTGATGAAATACAACACAAGAAATGTAAGCTACCTGTTCTGGCATGACCCTGCTCACGGATGACATCACACAATACTTTGGCAAAATAGAGCTGGTTGATAGAGTGACAAGATATCACTCTTGTGAAGAAATCTACAGCTGATGACTCTAGAACTGACCGTTCCTCCGCAGTCATAACCTGCAAACATCATGTCACATATTCATCATGTAATTGCTCCTTATCAGGCAATATTTACTTCTTATTTTTCTTAGTCTAAAGTTGGCATTGTTTCCAATATGGTTGGTGTAGCTGGTTCAAAAGTCAAAATACATTAAAAAGAGGAGAATAAGCTTTTTCACAAACTATATGCTTGATGTCTATTCAGACTATTTCGACCTAGGAACTATGTGTTACAACACAGATGAAAGTAAGGGTACAAACCTTGACATGTATTTGTGGAGTATGCACTCCAGGATGAGCAGTCTGTGAGTATGTATTGCACAGCATGGTGAGTAGCATCGTCCAAAACACACTGCCCTCTTGGCTCCCAACCCAGTCCTTCATCAATGTTTCTGAGCTCACTTCGGCAAAGAATTCCAATATTGCAGCAACCAGTTGCCCATTCAATGACCACGACTTGTCTGAAACATAAAAGACAATTTAATGTTTCACTGCACAATAGTTTGTTTCTTATTTATTATAAATTGGGAACTATGCCTGAGCAGGACAACGTCAGAGACTCTGATGGATATACGTAGCGTTTCTGACATGTAAATCAAATGTCGACCTTGGGTTTAGGGCAAAAGACTAAAGTAAACTGGTATGAATAATGAAGCTGGCAATGTAGAACATCAATATTGTTTATAGCATTCATGGCCTCCAACCTATATACAAGAAATTATATACATGCATATGTACAACTGTATACAAATATCTATCAATTTGAGCTCAACAGGTTTTATTTTTGTCTTTTGTATGAAGTCAACCTCACCTGTTTCAGCCAAGTCTGGTGTCTCCTCCTTAATGACAGTGATTCCTTCTGACACAACATTTGTTCCACTTCGGCTGCTGCCTGTATCATTGTTCTCTGACATCCTCACAAACTCACTCTTACAGAATTCATACAAGCACTGAGCTAGAACAGCAGGGAAACCAGAGTCCAGGAGTTGCTTGATGGCAACCGGAGATTTACAAACTAAGGCCAAAGTGGCAAGTCTTGATTCATCCAGCATCATGTGACTTAATTCTTGCAGTGTGATAGGTGGTGAGTTTGGAGGTCTTGGCGGCACATGACTGGCTTCTTTTGAATCATCAGTCATTGTCCCTTGATGAAACTGAAAACTGTCTTTGCAGTCATCTGATATAGACGCATTCATACTGTGATCAAAATTGATGATTATTCCCATCCACTCAAGTATCATTGTGAAAAACTCGGGCTGGATGTGGCATGCAGCACAAAGGACATAGTCCAGTGACTTCTTCAGCAGTGAGTCAGATGACAGCATTGTAGACCATTCATATAAACAGCTGTTGACAGAGAAAGGTACATTTTCAATTCCACACACAACTGGGAAAAAACCCCGATATATTTCAATAATTAAACTTATGCTGAACTGAACAGCTAGAAAAGAGAAGGCTGGGATGGAGTGGTCAGTTTGTGGTGGGGTGGGGTGGGGTTAAATTTTGGGTCAGCATCTGATTGAAAACAACAGTGCCACTTAAGCTGAGTACCACCTGACAACTCACAATGCAACTTCACAATACGGGTTGACAATACCTCTGGCATCACAATACACCATAACAAATAGTAACAAATGATGAAATCAGTGAAATATAACTCTGAAACCACTTGCTTCATACATTTATACAACTTCTTTTCTGTTTGCAGACTTTTCAAAAACAAAATTTGCCCAAACTGAAGACGTATATGCAGTGGGCGCATCATATAGCTCACATGATGTTACAACCATACAATGTCAACAGAAAAAGTCACTTAATAAGTTGCTGTCAACATCAAAATACAAATACTTACTGTATGTACCGTATAAATAACACAATTCAACAATGTTTCTTAATCTGCAAAACTGTGTTTCTATTATTAACTTTGAAATTAAGGTGGGTTATGGGGGCCTTGAGGTTGGCTTCTATATTATTTGATTAAACACTGATTGATATAAGGGCACAGTAATCACACAAGAAAACAGGTTATGGCAGAGACTTGAAATCACTTTCGATACCTATAACATTCCATTAGGGGACTACTCACCTAACCAGGTCCATTGTGATGATGTCAGCCAAGCTGTATGGTACTGGTAGTTCTTGGCTCTGCCACAAGACTGCAGCAATACAGTGGACATGAGCTGGTGCTGGGTTAGGCAGGGTGCTGAACCACATGCACCCACCTGCTTCTCTTCCAGGATCACTACCACCTCCAGCATTCTTCTGGACAGCCTGTTGACCACTGTCTCCCAGCCATTGTAATACAGCCTGCACTCTAATAGAATTTGAAAATATATTAATTGTTAAGTTTGGATGTAATGTTCTCAATTAAAAAAATGTGAAGAGATCCCAAACCTTAATCAACAAATAAAGCATACCATATTTCCTCTCATAAATATTCCTGCGTTTGTTTTTAACAAGATTTCAAACCTGGAAGCTAAATGAAGGCTCAGTTGTAATCAAAGATCAGGGACCTGTTGCACAAAGCAATCATTGCACTACAACAGTCGTAAGTGTATGTTAAAGTATGGGAGTTATTATCACGGTAGCGCTGCAACAGTCATAAGTCTATGTTAAAGCATGGGAGTTGTGATCACCTTGGCACTGTGACAGTATTAAGTCTATGTTAAAGCATGAGAGTTAGGATCACCTCAGCACTGTGATTGCTTTGTGGAATGGGTCCCTTGCTCATAATATTTCAACTGGAAGTTCAAATGTGAGCCTTCATTTCTAAGCTATTATATATTCCACGTAGAAGTACCGTATTCGACGTAATAAGCGCCCAGGGCGCTCTCAAAATTAGAAATAGGGGGCTCTTATTAGAATATTATTTTGGTGGAAAAAGAGAGAGTTGAAAGATAAATTTCGTGGTTTATGGTGACAGCCTGAAATGTTTATGTACGACAGAGTGCATATGCGCGAATAAAAAAGTCTTGTGTACATTGATCAATCGGAAGGGGTGCTTATTAGGATTGTTTACTAGCCAATATATCAGCAAATATCGCCGTGGGCGCTTATTAGAGCGGGGCGCTTATTACGTCGAATACGGTAATTAAAATCTGACATACCTCACGCCTATTGTGCCTATTAGAGGCCCAGCACTTACTGGTGGAAATACAGTATTTATGGTTGAAGTTAACATTTTTCAGAAAAAAAAGTTGTATTTATTTCAGAACATAAAATGTCTGTTAGATTCTAAATACAACGGAACAATTATATTAATTTAATCCTGACTATAGTTAATATATATTCAGAAGGGAATATCTTACATGTATAATATGATTATGGTTAAATACCTTGCTTTTGTTCCAGAATCTTGCACCATTCCCAGCTGATAAAGTAATTCCACAGTTGATTCACTGGCAACACCACTAACTTTACCGAGGTAGGGATGGGCATCTGAAAAAAAACACAAAGGAACTCTAAAAACTCTTGCAGTGCAGAGTGCTATCCTGTTTGATCCAGTGTGCAAGAAATGTCCACAAACAGAATTCAGGGGTTGAAAAATCTAGCAAGAGTTTGTTGGTCCTGTATCGAAGGCTGACAAATTACACTGGTACCCAAACTGTAAATCAAAATATTTCTCTGCTTGCTGTCAGTTTCCCCACCATGGGAAAATCTTATGTATTTGTAACAATTATAATTAGACTCTGCCTAGCAACAAAGCAACTTATGTCAAATTTATGTAGAAAACCGAACTGTGGCAAGTACGCCGCTGTGGTCCATCAATATCATTAAATATCTTTAAACTTTTTCATTTTCAACCCCTGGAATTGGATTTAAAAAGTGTTATCTAAAAAGGAATCAAAGCCTTGAGTACTATTGGAATTCAAAGAAAAGTTATTGTATTTGCCCTTCACAAATTAACATTGCATAGCAGTTCTCCTGGACATATCATGAGCAAAGCAAGGTGCCAACCTTACTGTTATTTGAAGAAATGTCATCTTAGTGTTTGGATAAAACCATACTGCAGGAGGAGAATCAATGATATTTTGAGTAGTGTAATATTTCCTGTGTCCCCCCAAAATTCCTTCAATACTGGGTCTCCAGAAAGAGTGCTAACCATCTCTTTGCCTTAACATAGAGCAAATAGCTGATTGATTATATTAGTTTAGTCCTTCACTATTGGACACATGGAATCTCTCCTGACCTCCCAATACAATACAGCCAGAGCACTGTGCCACAAAGCCAACAGTGAACCAATCAGCACAGACAGCCTGCTAGCAACCATGATCAAGAGATATCACTTCTAAGGGGTGTCCCACAACTCTTCCCAAGCCTGCAGTCCTGACTAACAAGCAAGGAACTGAAAAGTAAATCATATTGTACTCACTGTTTCCTCTGGCTAGTGGTGGACTGCTCAATATGTTATCAATGAGTGCAAGTCCCATAGGTAAAGAGTGAAGGCCAATCTTCAGCAGCACTGCCTCAATCTTAGGTGTGTAGATAACAGCAGTTGGTGACACAAGGAGGGAGGCGCAAGTGGTCAGAAGATTTGGTGTAGAGGCTGCTGCTGCAGCCACACGGTCTTCCACATCATCAAACGCTGTTAGACAATGGTGAAGAAGTCGAATCCAACCGATGCTGGAAAGATAATAGCAATTGAAACGACAAATGTAACAGTAAACAAAATTAAATTACAGGAATCTGAGTATTCTGTATATTAAATACTTAGCCTGCTATGACAGTGTGCAGTTTTCACTGATGAAAACAGCTTGCCCAAACACACCATAAAAGTAGGTCACCCACAGAGTTTGGTGCCCCTAATGTTCCTTCTGCTTCAAATGTACAAAGAAGTCGACAATATAAGGGAAGGCTGGGTAGGCCAAGTCTTTGTCACAGGAGGCTACATACTGTACATAATACATGGAATACTCAGATTCCTGTAAATTATTACTATCCTGCTGGGACAGTGTGCAATTATCCCACAACTTGGTGGAGAGGCTAGAGACTGGGTAAAATCAAATCCACAGACAATTTAGAAAGACCAAACACTGAAATTGATGACCCTGAAAATAAAATCAGATATACTAAATTAAATCCAGATGGGTGGGGACATAAAGGTAAGTTTCCAGAAGATCCAGCAAGGCAAAGATGAATGTGAAACCGTAACTGTGCTGATATGAGCATCTGGAATCTGAGAGGCACTACAAGATATCCATGATTGAAGATTTATAAAATTTTGAAGGCCAGACTTGTTTCTAGATCACTATGAGACACAAAATTTGCTTACATGCTTCTATTAACACATACCACATAACTCCTGTATACAAATATAGCAGGGGAGCGAAAGATTACACACTTCAACTTCAAGAATGCACTACAACACTTTCCAAGTTATGTCTTTGAACAATTTATCCCTACCTGGAATGAGAGACTGAATCTTCAGCTGAAAAGGATGCACCAGGTTTAGCACCAGTATCTCTGAAAGCACTGTAGCCCATAAGTAGAATCTGAGAAAGTCCAATGGTCATAGAGTCCCGAGCTTTGTGGAGTCGGATGGTGACAGATGACGTCACCTCCAGCTTCTGTAGTTGAAGTTTGATCACCGCCAGACTTGATGTCATAAGTGGTGGGCACATTGGGGTCACAGTCATCCCATCATGACTTATCTCCAGGGATACAAAGGATGGACAAGCTGAAAATATGGAATCACATAACCATTACATTCAACTGACTCCCAAAACACCAACAACAAAGAAAGAACTCTGTACCACTACTTGACACATAGGCCCTTCCGATTTATATATATTAAATATTGGTCTCTCAAATCTCAACAACGTTCTAAGTCATATAGATGTCACAAACATCTGCAAAGTTCAGCAAAAACATCTTTTACATATTATTTTATTTGTGGGTTTTTTTCCTGATCACAATCTCAAGAACTTTTCAACTACAACTTCTCAACTTCTATTAACTACACCATAAGTTTAGCACCCCCTCCTATTTTGGCCATGATGTCAGAAAACCTATGCGCTGGCCCGAAATCTATGGCAAAGAAAGAGTAATTCATTGTTGATAAAGAAGAACAACCATGATATTTTAGGAAGTATTTATATGATACTGGTGGACATTTCATTATTGCCAAAGTTGGTACCCCTGTACGTGACTTCAGTACGGAGCTGCAGGGTGCCAAAGGCAGTTGTTGCTGGTAAATTGACAGCGTAATTACATCCAGAAAACATTGCTCTCTTCCAAAGCCCATGAAAATTCACAAACAAATCTCAACTCACTGGTCCACTGCACAGGCACTTAGTTACAACAACTTATCAAGGACAAAATCAATTTCAGAACATGCAAAAGTAAGCCAAACATACACAACAACTGTGTGAGGACCACAACAGTCACCTCTTTCAGATGCTGGCATTGAATGCTTAGTCTGTGTAACAGAATTTCTGTTCAGCCTAAATATTTTGTAAGATGTACTGTGCAAGGTCATTTCAGATTAGGGCGATTTTCAATATATATGGGGGAATGGCGCAAGTGCATTCTAGATGCAAACCTGATGCTGTGAAATCATGGAAATGACAGGTCAATACAATGAAGAATCCCTCATGTCATACAATGCAGTAGTCAAGCTTGTCAATAGCAGGGAGACTGTCAACAACTACTTTGGCAGCGAATGATAGTAGTGACGATTAATCGTGAAGTAGGTCAATTTCATCCATGTCAAAGTTCAGGGGTGGAGCGGTATTTATTTGTAATTTGTAATATTTACTGGGGGTAACTGATAACTAATTACAAAATTCAAAGTAAAAAAACCCAGAATGTCATCTCTTAAGTTTGCTGAGAAATAAATTAGTTCGGAGCTATTTATCACTATTTCTGTAACCTGTGACCACCACAATGGAACATGCCATTTTGATTTCCAAGAAACAACTTAATCCATGCAGCACAATTATGCAACAGATGGCAATAGAATTAAAACATACCTTTTGGAGATTATTTGACAACTTCCTTTTGAATAATTATGTGTTTTGAACCATAAATTTGAACTAGTCAAGAATATGAGTATTTTAATCTTCAACTTGAATAATACTGGTTACTTTTTTAACTACTTGTGTCGACACCTTTTCTTTTTAATTCGCAAACCTCTCGCTAAAGGTTCGGTTCCAAATAAAAAAGAAGAGGTGCGACAACTGTAAATTTCGAAACACAGTAGGTTTATCTGCTAATTGGTACAGTTCAGAACAATCAACTGATATGCCTGGTGCATGTGCACATGCTTTGCGCATCATAACCACAAACCTTATAACCAGACATTCACATCTTAGCTGTGGATAACTGTTTGTGTCACTACCATAATTACAGTCAAGTCCCATTTATCCGACATCAATGATTGCATATGATTATGTCGGATTAACGAGTATGTAGGATTAACGAGACTTGACTGTACATTCAAGGTCACTTGGCGCTAAGGTTATTGTAACTCCTATACCTTAACATAGACTAATGACTGTCATTGCGCTACAATTGCTTTGTGGAACGAGGCCCAGGTGTACATATACCAGGGTTATACCCATATGAAGTGAAAGAAGGACAGAAATCCTGGATAAACAACTAAATTGAACATACTTGCTAGAGAAGAACCGTGAGGTTGAATCTGCACTTCTCTCAGTAGAACAGCAAATGGCAGCTGTATTGTAAGATCAACCCAGGCTTCATCAGGATAGAAGTGATAGGACCAGGCTGCAGATCTGGCTCTCCTATGTGGCGGTGACGTTTGGATGAGGACATCAGCTGGACTAGCTGTTGGGCTGCTGGAAGAGACTGTGCCTAAAAATAGAAATGTATCTTACTACTTGGCTTGTAACGTTTATCATACAGTAAACTATGGTTACCGGTATAACAAACTCAAAACATAAAATAACAGAAGTAAATACATGTTATAAATATATTATTGATATAGTTTCATTGACATACAGAGACGTGAGGTCACTTGCCGTCAGTCAGGAAATATGTTATTATGCTTTGAACATTGACCCTTTGTTAATTGAGGGTGTAAATTAAAGACAAGGTGTCAGTACTTAACCCAGGTAATCATTTTCCTTATATTGTTCATTAGCGCTTTAACAGCCTCACGTGGCAGCAGATGTTTTGATAGGCTGATTGGTGACACATGAGCAGCTCAGGGATTAACATTTCGTTATAAACATTCATATATTGCCGTTAAGTACACACAGGACTAGTCTAGTGAGTTTGCTATATCCGTAAATTCGTTTTAAGCGTGTTTGTTATATCCATCAATCTTATATGATATGATAAAACATAAAGTTATTGGCTTGAATAAAGACAAAAACAGTTCGTTAGAACCATCACTTCAGCATAAACATGTTCGTAATAAAAGTAGTTTACTGTACTTCACTACTATATATCAGTGTTCACACACAGTTTTGGAGTAAAGTGGCGATACTTTATACAAGTTCTCACAATGTGTTTGTCACTGTCCAGGTCCTACTGATGGCGTCATCACCTATTTCAGTCACCTCGACACTGTCCATGTTTCACAGTGACGCCTCTCATCCCATTCATTACTTTTGCAACCAGCTCATATCAATTCAAGTACTTATAAGAATAAAATAACACACCATTATTTATTTCAAGTTTCTATTTTCAAAATACTCCTTAGTTTGAATAAACACTAGCCACACCTAAATCTATAAGGGCGAACATTGCCTATCTGTGACACAGGATAATATCCAGACAGTTGTTTATACATCGGTAGCAATGGGGGTAACGTGCAGGTGAATCAAAGCCCTACTAAATACAGTACAAAGCAAAAAAAAACAATCAGAGTCCCAAACTTCTAGTCCCATTCCTCTAACCAGTTGAATCACAAACCTTCCAGTATCAAGTTTCACTGCTCTACAGCATAAATGCTTCTTGAGTTACTGCTTGTTTGTTTGTTAGTTTTGTATGTTGTTAACACCGGACTCAGCAATACTCCAGCTATATGACAGCGGTTACTGTGTTAACGAACACGTGGAAGGGTATGACCTTATGAGTGAGTGAGTGAGTATAGTTTTACGCCGCTTTTAGCAATATTCCAGCAATATCACGGCGGGGGACACCAGAAATGGGCTTCACACATTGTACCCATGTCGGGAATCGAACCCGGATTTTCGGCGTGACGAGCGAACGCTTAAACCACTAGGCCACCCGACCGCCTATGACCTTATGAATGATTAGTATGATTGGTAGAAGAATGTGATGAATGGTAAGATTTAGACAAACATTTTGATGATATACATCAAAACCCATAAGAACAAATACATAAAAAGGTATTACCCAAAAGGGAATCTCTTGAAATTTGCAGCCTATGATAGATATAATGCAAATATCTTATTACCCATGGGAGCAAAGTTCTGCAGTCCATCTGTATTTTCTGAATCTGTGGAGTTAATCTTGTGTCCATTAGCTCCTGCTCTGCCATTGTTCATGTTCTGCATGATGGTAGAGATCAAGCTGGAGTTGGTGCAGATGAGACGGCGGTTACAGCTGACCAGATTGCTGCACACCACCTCAATGCCACCTGAGTACACATCAAATTAACCCATCAGATAACATAGGAAACCAGTGATTCAGGTGAGGTCAAACTTGAATCAATAATCAATTGATAAATACAAGCAGTATTAATGTCTATATGAGTTGTGTACTGCAGTCCTGGGGAAACATACTATCTTGTGTACAACATGAAGCCAAAAACTTCATCATTTCACTGCAGTAGAAATCATGACTGGAGTAAGCAGGAGATCACTAACTGGGTCCAAACATCAACATAAATGTACATATTTGCTATAAATAGTACTAGGTATGGTTATTTCCTATTTTGTACATCCTAAATGAAACACTTTGTTTCTTATGTATTGAACACACTGAGATTGACCAATCAGCAATTGAAGAGGAAACATCCAGACGCCATGCATGCTATTTTGCTATGAAAACATACTAATAACTTACAATACTCAAATAACAACGACCATTTATCATACAATTATTCATTCTCAGACAACTAAGGTTTGTTTCAAAGCATCCATAGCAGTTAACTGATCCTGGATTCTGTAAAGAATGGTGAGTTGGTGAGATGTCCAGATCATTTCACACAATTCCATAATAAATGATATACAAAATATTGAATAAAATATTTATGATACAAATTAGAATAACAAGACTGGAATGTCACTTACAACCTGTTAACATACCTTCTCTGGTGCTAACATGTTTATGTTTTGATTTGTAGGTCAAAATCTCTTGTCTGTGGGAATAACATGCATTATTAATTTAAAAAGTGCACTTTATACACAAGAACAATTGTCCCCTAAAGACAAGTGTGACTTGGTAATGTCCAGAAACAAAGGTTGTGATCCAAGAGCCTAACTAGTTGATGTGATGGCAGAATGTCACATCACTGTAACATGAGTGGTCTATGACTTTCTAATCAAGTAAAAACATTAATAACAGAAGATGATATACTTACCTATATCCAAGAACTGCTTGATATTGTGAGTACTGTTGAGGACACGTAGGGTGAACCATAGCAGCGGCTCCGAGAGCCTACAGAGTGTGCTTCCAGAGAGATAGTGGAAAAGAGAATCCAGCATTGGCTTTGAATCTGAGTTGCAGCTTGCCAGTGTGACAAGGATCTGATATACACAGTCCCCTACAGAGACAACATCTCCACCTGTCAAATTCTCCTGGAGGCTCTGCACTCCAGCATTACCAAGAAGGGTGGCCATGGCATTACTGTTACAGAAACTCAATGTCTGCAGAAAATTTTGCATTATGTATTGATGTGTAAGAATAATTTCTGCAACACAGTTGTTTGTCTCCGAGGGCTGGCGCCAGTCAGAATTATTCATCTCCAATCCTGCTGCTACAGCAGCCGCTGATTCTGTCTTTTGTTCATCTGTTTGGTGTCCCTTTTCATCATCTGAGAGTATTGCCATCACAGGTGCTGCCACTGGGGTTGATGTAGCCAGTACATGACTCAACTTGTCAGCATCTGAAAGTCTATTTGTCAGTGACATGGGAGTCAGTGTTGGATCATTTCTTTCTTGTGAAGGAGCTTCTGGGTTCCTCGAGTTCCTGCTTGGTATATTTACTTGAACAAGTGTATTGACCAATCTAAGTAAACTACACATTAGCCTATCGCGACTGGCATCACCAAGTCCTGATCGAGTGTCCCCACCTCTCAAAAGTCCTGCAAACAATCCACCAAAGCATGACCGTGCACTCACATTGTTCTCGAAGGAGCTACGACAAGTAACCCGTTCTTGGCAGATAATGTGCTGATGAACAAGTGAACTAATGGACTGAATGACACTTATGGCATTGCTGATATCCACTTGGCCATACTGAATGTCCAGAACAAACTCCAGGAACTTACACTGGGCATCCAGAGGACCCATACAGCTGTAGAAGGCACCTCTGTTGAGAAGAAGCATACAAGATTAAGGCTTTCAAATATATGAGGATTGTTTGTTGTAGTAGATGTTTGCATGGATGACATACAATATACTTATAGTAATTTACACTCACTCATATTAAGCCAAAACATCATATACATTGCACAGATCATCATGCCTAGAACATTTGGAGATCTCTTCAGCGGACCTTATAACTCAAAGTATTGATCCCTATCTATCCACCATCAAAATGACATCAACATACCTATGAAGATATTATGTGTTTTGTGGGCTTAACTCGGGGTGCAAGCAATCTCGTCCAACATATCAAGGTAATTGTATTAACATTTCAGAGGTGAGGATATGCTAAGTATATTGTATATCAGACATAACAAACCAGATATTTAGATATTACATTTTGTTAAATAAATCTTAAAAGTTCTTGGAACAAATTACGAAATTTATTCTTAAATATTCTCATATTTTGATTGACTTCGAAAAAACACAACTACGTCATATTCCAGTCAAATTTCCATGATATTTCTGATTCCAGTAAATTCATGTAACAGCCACTCTGAACCATTTCTTTTCTCTCGATAATGATGCATAGGAAAAGATTTTTCTTTCATCATTATGTAGCCAGTATGATGTACCATACAATGGCCAAGAAAAAAGTGTGATAACGTAAAGTTAACAAACACACCCAAATTTTAGACATTTTGAACACAAATGCCTGAGCAATGACCATAAACATTTTTTTTTAATATGCCTGCTTTGGCAGCTTTGTTCATGAAACCTCGAAAGTTACTGTTAAAGTGCTCTTCTGGGCAACAGAAATATTAGGAAGAGAATTTGAGATGAATATATCTAAATATCTTCCTTAATAAAAAACCCCATACCTTTCTGCAGTCAAAGTGAACACCAGCTTGAGCATGAGTTCTCGCAAATTCTGAGTGCTACTCTCTGCTGACTTGATCTGCATTCTTCTGAGAAATTCATCAAAAGCTTTTGTTGCTGATGGTCCTACCTGTACAATCACAATTAAGATATTAGGCAAAGGAGTTGCAAAAAAAAAAAGTTTAATAAATACTGTGTGGTGTTTTTTTAATAACATCATGTACAACAACAGATGCTGACAATTATGATGCCTGTAACTTGTAAATGTTTCTTTCATCAATCTATTTTACGACTTATCTGAGAATCGCCCATCAAATAATTAATGTGTGGACCAGAATTACATACCAAAAAATGACAAGAAGTCTCTTATAACGTTATACAAAGGGTGAATGTCCTGACTGTGAGACGTGACAGTGAATGTCCTGACTGTGAGACGTGACATTGAACCTCACCTGAGATGTGATAGTGACCCTGACCTGAGTGAGAAATGACAGTGAACCTAAATGAGACCTGACAGTGTATCTTACCTGAGACGTGTCAGTGAACCTGACCTGAGACGTGACAGTGAACCTAACCTGAGACGTGTCAGTGAATCTTACCTGAGACGTGTCAGTGAACCTAACCTTAGACATGACAGTGAATCTTACCTTAGACGTGACAGTGAACCTAACCTGAGTTGTGACAGTGAACCTAACCTGAGACTTGACAGTGAACCTAACCTGAGACATGACAGTGAACCTAAATGAGACGCGACAGTGAACCTAAATGAGACGCGACAGTGAACCTAACCTGAGACGTGGCAGTGAACCTAACCTGAGATGTGACAATGAACCTAACCTGAGACGTGGCAGTGAACCTAACCTGTGACGTGGCAGTGAACCTAACCTGAGATGTGACAGTGAACCTAACCTGAGATGTGACAGTGAACCTAACCTGAGACATGACAGTGAACCTAACCTGAAATGTGAAAGTGAACCTAACCTGAGATGTGATAGTGAACCTAACCTGAGATGTGATAGTGAACCTAACCTGAGACGTGACAATGAACCTAACCTGAGATGTGAAGGTGAACCTAACCTGAGTGAGACATGTCAGTCATTTTAGAGAGTGATGTAAACATTTATCCTCTCTATCTGGATTAGCCAGCATACCTGTGAATAGTAGATGCTAGCAGCAGTTGGACCACTAGTAGATACACCAGACAGGAATTTCACCAACAAAGGCATCAAGTTGCTCTCTTTCAGCACAGCATTCACCATGGATACATCTGGTCCAGCCACTTGAGAAGCTGTTCTCTGGTTGGAGAAGAGGCAGAGTGTTTGAAAGACAAATACCCAGCTTCGCACTGGCAAGTTTGGTGTAAGGACCACAGCTTCTAGCAGATGAGCCAATGATGAACCAGTCAATGGAACTGATGGGATGCGAGACGGATCAAAGCTAGTATGAAGTGGAGTGTCATCATGCGAGCTGTCTTCATTCATTGTCAGCCACAACTGCAGGACAGTGTCCAGATTCACACGGCGGTTCAGCAGTTGAGAAAACAGGTGGTTGAAGCACTGACTCAACATCTCACTGGAACTTAGTAGCTGAAACATCAACAAAAGAGAATGGAGTAAGTTCACTTTTATAGAATCTATCAAAGCCTGAAACACCAACATAATTTATCCATCTTCATGTGTTTATTTCCACTTATATTACTTGATATTGTTTATTTCCTTATAACTGGAACTACAGATACCCTGTGATGTGTTGGATGTATGCTTGCTTCAGACAACTCATCATCTGTGGAAGGAGGCTGCAGTGGTGTGCTTGTGCTGCTGGCAAGTGAAAGAGCAGGTGGCAAGGAACTGGAGTAGGCACTGTGAACAGTGTCCATTTGTACAGACAGCATCACCTGAAAACATTAAGGTGATATTACAACATTGTAAAACAGTCCTTTTAAACTTATTGAAGTACTGAAAGCAAACAAATATAAACATTAAAGTACCTTGAGCCTGAGTTCAGCTTGTGTCTCCAGACCGAGCTCCAATCTTGCATCTAATGCTGAGGAGAGACCTTGGCAGCCACTCCCTGACTTGGAGGTGTTAAGATAGTCTGATAACTTGCTTTTAAGGTTCTTCAGCTTCTGCTTCTTGTCATATGAGGTCAAATTTCTGAAGAAGAGAAAAAACAAACCTAATTTAAACACACAACTAACATTTAGAAAACATATTTTGTCACAGACCAAAGAAAACAAAGCACTGCAGCTTCTATGATTAAATTCACATAAAACGTTAAAGCATCCCCATTTACAAGGGGCTATTTAATTAAGATCAAAGCAATTTCTACATACCCTGACATTGCTGACTTAATGTGGTCTGCCAACTCCATGGTTTGGTTTGGACCATCACTAAGTCCCATGTAGACAACATGGAAAGGTCCATCATTAGCAGGAGGCGGCTTGACAGACTCTCCAGTGACATACTCATGGAGCTTATCAGTGGTATCATCATCCAGCTCCGGGTCATCCAGCAGCAAGTCCACCATCATGGAGGAATCCTTGTCCAGTGTTGTACTGACTTCCCCAACCTGGGAATTCTCCACATCTAGGAACAAACAGTCAGATCAGAGTGAGTGAGTGAATATGGTTTTACGCCGCTTTTAGCAATATTCCAGCAATATCACAGCGGGGCACACCAGAAATGGGCTTCCATATTGTATCCATGTCGGGATTAATCATCGAGCGAACACTGTTAATTGAAGTCTTAGATCTCTTCATGAACATCAAAACACAAATATCACATTTCACAACTACATTCAGTAAAACTGCTATTGGTCAAAATATCAACAATAAAAACTTTGAAAAAGATTTTTGTTAGAAGTCTTTCGGTTTGTTACCTGTCATTTCTCCATTGCTATCATCAAATGTTGGGAGACTAACACTCTGAGCAAGACTATCATCTGTTTCTGTCACTGTTGCAGACATCTCGTCAGGTATTGCTGACAAGCCGGACATTGCTGGGTAAAGCCTTTCCCCTGTTAACACAACAATAATAAATCACATCACTATCTTCATGTCTCTAACCCTGTGTGCTATTATCATCCAAGAAGCCAGTGTTTTCATATCAAGGAGCAAGACAATGATCAAGCACATACAGTATCGACCTAAGCTTCTTTCCAGAAAATGACACGTTATTGTATCAAACATGGAATCTCTTAAACAAATACTACCTATTCATTCTGACAATAAAAAATCAACTCTACAAATGAAATCATTTGGCGTGCACATGTATGCAAAGGAATTCTGTCAGCTCATCAACAAAAAGACACTGTGAATATTTTGCACTGTATAATTTTTGTGATTTCAACAACATGACAGGCATAATCTCAAAACTTATTCCTTATAAGGAAGCGTTACTACGTTTCATGAACAAAAGGGACATGGTTTACACAATGATTTTGCTTGTCCAGTCTTTTTATTTGTAGCTATATTAGATGTATGAATTCAGGCAACTAACATCAATAGACCATTTTGATTAATTTTGAACACAGCTGTACAATTGCAACATGAATGCAGGCCCATAATGTTTGTTTGCTGCTTAATGCCGCAATCAACAATATTCCCGCATACCTTTATGACATATTAAACAATAACATTGAGCAAAGCCTGACTAAGAAAATCCAAGTTATTGCTCACCATCTTGCACATCCTGCAGTAGACAAGTGATAGCATGGCTGGCCCATGGTCCACCCCAAGTGATACTGCCATGGTTGAATTCTTGGTTGGCAACAAGCAGAATTAATTTTTCCAGTTGTTCCTGTGTCATGGATTCCGTCAGGCTGATAGCAGGGCGTGTACTGTTACAAATTCTAGCAAACACCTGTAATGTAAGACCATTGTCTCACCTTACTATCCATGACATATATACATTTAATAAATAGTAAATACCTACATGTCAGTATGGGAGAATTTTATCTTAACTGTCAGTGAGAAAAATATAAGCAGCTGTCATCATCAACAGGCATAAAAAAGTATCACAAATTGTTAGATCAGATTTAGATTGAATTTTATCTTCATAACAAACTCAAAACCTAGCATCTTTTCTTAATTTGTTTATCTCCCCAGCTAAGCCTGGAACATCCATAAAACAAGAAACAAAAAAAAGTGCCTGCTCTAACTAATGGCTGTATGAAAATGTTTATTGCTGTCTTAACATCCATATTAACTATCACACCTCGCACCAAAGTTCTATTTATTTTTGACATAGTAATGCCAACATTGGAAGCCATACCAACCTTGCAAGCCACCAAGAACAAGTCGACATGGCATGTGAAGTCCATGCTCAGTAGCAGAGCCATAAGACCTCTAACCACCGCTAGACAACGATCCCGCGGCAACACAAGAGTAGTATCAGCCTCATCTTCCCCTCCATTGGGAGCAGCACCTCCCTCTTCTCGCCATCCAGGCAGCTTCTGCAACATAGCGGCATCGGCCCGTCGGATGTGAACAATGTCTTTTAAGTGCTGCAGGAAGAACATAAATGCTGAAAATTAGTGGTAAATTTCGAATTTGTACCACAAATTATTACCATGGTCTTTTCAGTTAAATACAGTTTCAAAGGCTATGTAGCTCACCTGGCATGAATATGTAAATATTCAGGTACATACATAAATATTGAATTTTTAATCAGGAAATCGAAGGCAGAGTTTGATTAAGTTCTGGCCATACACATGACAGGATGAAAACAATGGTGAAACTGTTGTATGCTTTGAAAAACCTAATTCATGTTATTGTCAAGAACAGCTAAAGCAGGTTGAGGCTCAATCCAAAAAGCAGTTCTGAGAAAAAGTAGAAAATAGTAGTTTTGCAACATTGTCCAAAGATCAACATTAACAAACCTGAAACTGCTCATGCAGTCGGTGCCAAAAACTTTTGAGTCTACTTCACCAAAGATGGCTCCCAGCATCGTTTTCAGTAGAATTAAGTGTTATCATATATGGACTATTTTTAGCTGAGCTTACTGGAGCGATTTTTGTTTAAGCCTTAGACTAGAGGTTCAAGTCACAGACTGCTCATGGTCAATATTCTTCATATCTAGTTCTTGTGGTTTATAAGAAATACATCTAACAATATATAATGACTGAAATACAACTGAAAATAAATTATAAAGTAACTTATCTAAATCAGAAAGATATCTAAACTTATGTATATCAAAGTATTTTCAATTAAATAAATCTAAGCATCCCATCCCCCTGACCTTCATTGTCCTATCTAAATCTGCACAGGCATTCTTAAAACTGCCAGTAATGTCACTTCCCTTTAACTGTCAGTTTTTCAGCCTCATTGGCCCAGTGATCCTAGGATAATGTTCACAGAGCGGGGGAAAATATTTTGAGAGAATTTAAGAATATGGTCAAAGTGCAAAGGTCAAAATAAGGTCAAATCATGGTCATGCCGTGTGTGCATGTGTGGCTGCTTGTACTGGTCCGGACTAATGCTGGTGCTAGCCAACAGAGATACATGTACCATGCTGCATGGATACCCCACTTAGGCAGAGAATACTGACTGAGACGACCAGTCCTTGTTTTATTCATTTGATGCTGAGTGCCAACCAGGGTCACAAGAAGTTACATCTTTTATCATCTTTAGGTTTGACACAGCCAGGGTATCAAACCACCGACCTGAGGAGAAAATGTCTAAAGACAACACCAACACCAACAGCTGCCGGGCAACATACACTAACTTGACTTTCAGTTTCTAACAACTTTAAGGTGACCTTGACCTTTGATAGATATGGCATCAACACTAGATGTGGTAGGATTGGCATATATACATGCAAAGAAAGTTCACTGACTGTAGAGGTAACTATACCTTAGAAACTGACTGATATAACCATGATTAACAAACACTTAAATCCTGACCTTTCCAAACCAAACCCCGACCTTACGTAAGTATTCTGTGTACCAAGTTTACTGATAAATAGCAGTCATTAGAAATATCGCAAGTTTTTTTTCATAGGGCTTCTAATTAGCAGATTAGGAGAATTTGCAAATCACTTAAAAACTTTAAGACAACATTGAAATTGAACATTTTGTCCTTGAGGCAGACAGTCCCAAATTCCCATTCTCAAAAAGGAGCTCTCACTCATAGCATGAATGTTGCATCAACAATCTTTTGCTGTTTACAGAAACATTATATCATATCTATATAGTTATCCCCTAGCCAACACAGACAACTTCCACAAAGATAAGAATAAGTTTGTGCTTGCCAAAGAGAAAAGTTTTTCTTTTTCCAACAGTTCATGATAATGAGCAACTGACCTTGGAAGCATACTGTGACAACTCCTTCTTAAACTGCTGCTCCTGCTGCTTCATGAGGGCCTGAGCCTCCTTCCCCACCACACCCTGACCTCCACTCTTTTCAAGCTGGCTCTCAACAAACTTCTTCTTGGCCAACTCCAGATCATGAAGCCTTTGTTTGTGGTGTAGAATGCGTTTTTGAAGTGACCTCCTGTACAGTTTGCCTGAACGAGATTTGCTTCGAGAAGGATTGTTAGCCACATGACCCTGGATGAAACCCCATCGGTTTGCTTGACATGTTCCTGAAATGAATATCAAATTAAATGAAATAGTGAATATTGAACATTTTCTAAAAAGTTAAAAAACTTAATACAAACACATAACCTTCTTACCAAGGCAACACTTTTTACAGGTTCGACTGGCCTGAGCCAAAATCATACACATGAAAGTAGGGTGTAGGGTGTATATTTATTTGCCAAACCCCACCATCTATATTTTATTAGAAAATATAACTACAAAACTTAAAATTGCAATTAAATTCACCATAATTTTGGTGAGTAGATAACTGATTGAATGCATTGTATGTTGTTTCTAGCCAAAAAACAAACTTCTTGTAAAAAGACTAAAGATCCTTGCAAACCCTTCCATTGGGTCTCATCCTAGCTTCACAGTGAAGAGGACTTATGGACTTTGTAAGAATTATATCAATTACGGTATTCACTCAATAGAGGACTGATATCATGATTAACATTTCTGATGTAACATCTGTGATGTGTTCTTCAAGTTTTTGAAGGGTCAATTGGAATCGCACAGTTTAACAAATGAAATATCAATGTTTGAACATACAGCAGATTATTTGTGTGAAACAGACCCTCTATTGCATGTTATTCTGTTAAATACATACAGGCACAACAATGATCCAGACCCTCGAAATTTTTATTTTAGCTTACAATGATCTCAGCACTGGGACAAAACTTATGGGTGAGAAGTACTTGGATTTTCAGATGTGAGAGGACATGAACCATCAGCTGTGTGTGTCTGAATCGAAGGATTACAAAGTTGAATAAAATTATAGCCTTGAATAGGAGCCCCATGTCACCCAGCATATCAAGATGACGAGTTCTGACAAGAGAGAAACTCACCTGCATCTTTTCTCAGATTTACTTTTTCTGCTTCTTCTACTCCCGGTGTAAGACCAAAAGAGTTGTCGAAGTTTCGACATAAGAAAAGAAGAATCCAACTGACCAGTGATAAGTCCAAACAACCTTGAAAGATAAATGCAACAATGAACACAGATCAGAAATAGTATGTTTGACATATTAATGACAAATATTTAATTGATGCCCTTATCAAATATCACAGTAAAGAGGCACGCTGCATAGAAGTAACCCATGTGACACACTCCCAAACATAAACAAAACTGATTCTCCTGATGTTAAAAGTGAAAGTGCTACGAACATACCTATTGTGTTTCTGTGTGAGGCAGTATCAGGTGCACTTGTAAGTGGGGACAGCACCTTGGCCAACATCGCTAGTAGAGATTCCATAATGCTGACTGAGCTGGGACCACTCAAGGACTTCTGACCAAGGGCACTCAGCAACACAAATACTCTACAAAATAGAAACACATCTTCACAGCATTTGTGATGGATACACGGAATATCATTCAGATGGTGTACACTAATATGAACACAATGTTGTCAAAAGCAACCCTTCTAACACTACCACCAAATTCTTGACATGAAAATGAAATGCTTGAAATACTGTCTCCAATGCTGACTGAAACTACAAGTCCTGCTCATCAGTTAACTACACAATTAGAAAAAAAACATGAACATAAGATAAGCACTTTAGCATCTTAGGTTACACTGGAAAATATGTTAAAATCATCATTAAACAGAGACTGTTACAATAACTTAAAAGATAACAGACCACACAGCTATTCTGTTACCTAAAAGAAACACTGGTTAATGTCCATACTTTTTAAAATAATTTTATCATAACCAGCAAAAAGTGCTTTCACAATATTCAAAGCTTTTTTGGGCATGACATGAATGAAAGAAAAAGTTCAACATACCTGTCTTGAGGAAATATTTGAGTATATTCCGAATGGAAGAATTCCTGAAGCATATTTCCCAAGAAAGTTCCCCACCATGTCTGACTGCCACAGATCCTAGACAGTAGTAAACCTGTGCTGACTTGGATACGCCTGCTTCCCAACAGACATAGGTTCTTGAAGAGAGTCTCACTTGTCTGTGGTGTAAGTGCCATGTACAGAGACAGGGGTGGCTGTGGAATTGTAGGAGTGCAAGTACTCATACTCAGCAGGGTATCAAGCAGGTTCTCCAACATCACCCTCAGCTTGTCTGTTGATGTTTGCCGAAGCAAAGTATTCATATTAATATTTTCTTCATATTCTCTGCCTTTGATACCAAGTGCTCTTTTCAGACGGACAATTGCTCTTTGAGCCAAGTTCAGCTGCAACTGAAGCTGTAGGCAGTCATTATATGTCTGAATGATACTATTATCTTCATCATTTTTCTTGGTTTTCTTCAAATAGTACTCAACGTGTGATGCGGGGAATTGCATACTATCCACTGCACTGAGAAGTGACTCCAGGCGAGTCCGAGTAAGACTGTATCTGCACTGAAGATCCTCTTGAAGTGACATGAAGAGTCCAAGTTGTGACAACAACTGGGACTGGCCCTGAACTTCCAGTTGAGCTGCTGAGTGACTGCAGGAGGGGGCACTCTGGTCCTCCACGTATTCCTTCCATTCCCATGGTAGGATGTAACAATGACCATAGAAAGCACCTATAGGGATCCGCGACCGTGTTGTTCCGGCACCATACCTTCCTACAGTTGTAATCTGGAAACAAGCAACAGTGTCATTATCATAAAACTTAATTTATGGGAGTGGAGTGGAGTGGAGTGGAGTGGAGTGGAGTGGAGAGGAGTGGAGTGGAGCGGAGCGGAGTGGAGTGGAGCGAGGTTTTACGCCGTTTTTAGCAATATCATGGCAGGGGACACCAGAAATGGGCTTCACAACACATTGTACCCATGTCGGGAATCGAACCCGGGTCTTCGGCGTGATGAGCTAACGCTTTAACCACTAGGCTACCCAACCGCCCCGGAGTGGAGTGGGAGTGGAGTGGAGTGGAGTGGAGTGGAGTGGAGTGGAGTGGAGTGGAGTGGAGTGGAGTGGAGTGGAGTGGAGTGGAGTGGAGTGGAGTGGAGCGGAGCGAGGTGTTACGCCGTTTTTAGCAATATCATGGCAGGGGACACCAGAAATGGGCTTCACAACACATTGTACCCATGTCGGGAATCGAACCCGGGTCTTCGGCGTGATGAGCTAACGCTTTAACCACTAGGCTACCCAACCGCCCCGGAGTGGAGTGGGAGTGGAGTGGAGTGGAGTGGAGTGGAGTGGAGTGGAGTGGAGTGGAGTGGAGTGGAGTGGAGTGGAGTGGAGTGGAGTGGGGTGGAGTGGGGTGGAGTGGGGTGGATGTGACAAGTGTTTTTTTAATCATGGGGGAAAAAACACACCTTCAAAACATAAGTAAATTTGCACTTGAAAATCAACCAAAGTATATTGTTTGTATGTTGTTTAACTTTTACAGATATCTTGACATCATAAACTCTGGTATAATAACCTGGTACAAAATGCTGCTTACCTTTAGGTAGCGACAAATGGGTGGAGGCATGATATTGTTCATGACAAGAGTTCTTAATCCTATGTCTGAGGCCACAACTAGTCTCTGTCCATCAACCTCTTCTCCTTGTATCCACACATCAATAGAAAGTGATGCAAGGTCAACACAGGCTGGTATTATCACATCAGTCAGAAGAATTGGCTTTCCAAAGTCAAGAGTCACAAAACGCCTTGCACCTGAATATCAAAACAAAATACAATGACAAGGAGAAAATTGTAACAGAAAGGAAATAAATTGATATTATAGATCAACTCTATGTCCATTTTAGAATAAATGTCGACTGGGATTCAGTTAGATTAGTAGAAGGATGAAGACTAATGGATTGATGCTGGGTGATAATTTGTCAGTAGATATGTTTACCTGAGTGCATCCTTTCAATGACAAGGACCTGGGGTGGAGGTGGCTGCAACAGAGCCTGGTTTTGGGGAAAAGCAAATGAAGCTTTCTGTGTCTGCTGCTGGATCTGGGATGTGGATGGTTGACCGGAACCACCTGCTAGTGAAAGTGGTATTGTTTGTGGGGCAACTGTTTGCTGCTGTTGCTTGCTGATATCACTCTCACCACTCATCAGCTAGAACACAACATTGTTCAGTGAAAAGACAAACAAAGCAAAATGATATATGATAGGAAGTACATTTATCTGTTAGCACTATCATAGGTTTTTGGGGTAAGACAATTACTGTTGACAAATATCAAAATAATACGCTGATGTTAAACTGGGTATGAACTCAACAGCATGTAATAAGCATGGTATACCATGTCAGCCAGGGCCCCTTTTTAGTGTCATCTTGTCACTTTGTCATCAAGAGATCATTATAGATCTTCAGGTTTAATCCAATCATGTCTGAAATTGGTAAAACTTATCTCCAAAGTAATAGATGACATCAACAAGTGCATTGGTTGCATTTTTTCAACAATTACTGAAATAACAATGTTCTTCCTCAAGTGCTTCTAAAATGTTTGATTCTAACATACAGTCAAACCCTGTTATCTCAAACCTAGCTGTGTTGTAACTTCCAGATATACTGACTTTCAAGGCAGGGACATCCAGGTAGATCAAGTAACAGTATTATAGATCCATAGCAACATGATTGCATACATGAGAAATGAAGAACACAACATGTGAATGCAATGACAAACTGGTGTATATTTCACAGACAATGATCAATAACAATACATACAGTGAACATGTGCCACATGTAGGATTGTAAACTGTCAACTTTCCTTTGTGTGTCAAGTAAATAAATTAGATCCAGTTATCCCCAAGACCTCGTAATTGCTCACCACAATGTGAGATGCTTATTTGCACTTCTGAAAACTGTTGATGTGGCAATTGCCAACTTCAAGATAAAAAGTATAAAATACAATAGTAAAGTCAAAGTAGGGACCTAGTCCAAAATCCACGATAGTATTCTGTATTTTTATCTCGAATTCGAGATAAGCAGGCAAATTTACATGCAATTATATAGTGAGGGGTCAAAACCAGGGAATAGGTACAAGATGTCGGTACATTCAAGATAACGGGGAACGAGATAATTGGGTTCAACTGTATCTCTAATTTCATTATTTTACGGTACAGAAATAAACCCACTCAAAAGGTTAAGGCAACAACAAGTAAATATTTCTTATAAATTATTCATGTTGATACATTACCTTGGAAACTGATGGTGGTGCCACAACCTGTACATGCCAAGTTTCATTTGGTGGTGTAACAGATGGAGTCATCAAGTTGGGTGTAGTTTTTGGTGTTGGTGGAAAGAGCTCTGGAGCTTTGGTTACTTTCTTTCCTGGGGTGTGGATAGCATCTGTGATGGCTTGTTCCAGCTGCTTGTAACTTGGATGCAACTGTTTGGCATATATCTGGGCAAGTTTCTTAAGGGAGTCTGCCATTGCCATGCCAGTCATGCCAGAGCCGCCACTGATGATAGGTGGAGGGTTCTCACCAAAGTTTATTGTGCCAGACATGCCTAGGGGTGCAGTGGATGGGAGTGACGTATTACCATTGGCATCCATTCTTTCCACTCTGGTGCCATCACTGGTAGCATGGCAAGTAAAATGAAGTGGCTCAGCCTCTAACAGTCCCAGGACATGATTCCGGGCATAATCCACGGGAGACTTTCCCGACTTGTCTTGTGAAGAATTTAAACACAACATTTCATAAAGATCAGGCTCATCCTGTTGCCGGGTAGCCTCAAGGGCTGACTGTACTGTAGGCGTTGTTGACATAGACTGTGCACTGATATTGTTAGCCTTGGCAATTTGAAATGCACTAGGTTTGACAGTATTCTTCAGGCTCTGAGGGTTCTCAAGGTCAAATAGATCTGGTTCCAAGGGATGACCATACAATCCATATCTGTTAATAAAACACAACATCATAATATACCAAAATCTTCACAAAGTTTACACTAGATTAGAATGATAATATATATGAAAAAGAAGCACCCCTTTGTAGATATGTCATAAAGGATTGTCTTCAAGGCCTGTTGCTTTTGCAATTGTTTCTTGTAGATGGGCATGATGTTATTGTGATGCATTTAAAAGTGTTTTTCATAGTTCCTATTCACATAAAGCATTATGAAGGGTGTTGAAAATAAATGCTTTTAACATTACATTTTAATTATCTTCCATGATTGATCATCTGCTGCTTTTACAAACATTTGACCTTGAAATAAGGAAAACACCATTATTTTATTTTAAACCTGTTATCAAAGTTTTAAAACAAGATATATGTTGTCAGATCAAAGAAGACCTCTTGTCATCCAACATATAAGCGTATACAGTATTTTGGTTATATCATGGCATATCAGCATGTAGGATGAAAGCCTGAAGTGATAAAGGTCCAAGACATTCACCACTTTTGAATGAAAGGCACACACACAGGTTATGTGTGATCAAGACAAGTCTGGGTTTCAAACCCACAATAATGGGATTCTGGAAAGCTCACAGTAAATGACTGAGTCACCTGTGTCCTGCATGATCATAGATGAACCACAAACTGAAAACTGACTGACAAAACTATGTGTCAGACAACATGAACTCACATGAGACCATTTGAGTTAAGACAACTAAAAAAATGTTAAATCCTTAATGCCAAAAGGCATCATTATTCCACTTGGTTATTAAATGTGTGAAAGGTGGTTTCTGAATAATTATCTGAAAATAAAACATTACAAAATGCATTTTACTGTAGAATATTGAGTAACCAAAGTATCAACTATACAGATTTCTCTTACCTTGCCTTCAGCAGAGCATGTAATGGAACTGCTCTCTCTTGATAATGCTTGGCAATTGCACACAAGAGTTCTGTACATGTCTTGGCAACAGTGTTGATATCCATACATTTGACATGGTTTAACACGGTAAAGAACCACTTCATGGCCCCGGCAGATGTGGCACATGGGAGTAAGGGCAGACAGCTGATCATTGCTTGCAGCATGAGGTAACTGAAGGCTGGGGCCAGGTCTGGATCTGATGATACTTTAGCATACCTGACAATCAGTTGCAAACTGTTAGGATTTACCATATAGAACATTTTAATCAATTAACTCTAAGGCTATTGTCAGACAATAACATTTTACAAGATGAAGCAATTTAGAAAGAAAATACATACCTGAAAAAAATCACTGAATAGAAAATTCCTGCAAACTCAAAAGTCTAATTCGAAAAAATAAAATACTTGATGTTCATTGATGTTTTTTTCATGAGTAAAAATATCATTTATACTTATCCTGAATATATCATATTACATTATGTTTACTGACGATTGTGATCTTTTGTACTAAATGAGTTGAAATAAAATTTGTACTCACTCAAGTAGTAGCGCCAGTAAACGTGAACACTTGTGAGCTGTTGTTCTTGTTCCATCTATCAGACATGCCTTCACAATGTCCCTCAGATGTTGTTGCACAACAACAACCAGACAGCGACTGTGCTTCCTGCACATATAGATGTTAAATACAGAAATGGTTCACAATAGTTGAGAATAATTCAGCCAACTTCTTTCTAGCTTTCTTCCAGGTGTCAACCAGAATGACAAACACACCACGGAGAGAGAGGCACGCTGCAAACATCTATCTTCGACTAAAGACAGCGAATCCTTGCAAATTATAATATGATGACTAGCACAAATAGGAAAGAAGTGAGGTCTCCCGCCTTGTGCATGTGCAAGAACTTTGGGTACATGTGTTCATGGATAGTTCACAGTTTACAGTGAGACTTTACAGTTTAAGGACAGCCAACATACAGGGTAAATGGCAATGATGTAAATGAGATACGATATTGGCAGGAACTGACCCTGTAATGTGGGCAGACTGGGACACACCCCAATGCTTAAAAATGTGTAAAAACACTCCAGGGAATTTGTTTTAACCCCAGTGGCAGATTTTTCATTTGGGCGACGATTTACCTTATCATTTGTTTTTGGCAATTTCTGTTTTACAAATTCAGTTTACTTGCCTTTAAAAACTCTATATCCCATACAGCACTCGTTTCAGTTCAATGGGCTGTTCGGTTTTTTTAACGATTGTTAGAAACTGCCTTCATCCACGCAGCCAGGATTGTCTTACAATTTCTGAGATGATGTTAAACAGTAAAAACAAATTGAATTTTATAGCTCAGTGAACATTCTTTGAATGCCACTATTAAGTAGACATGTATTTTGTTTATGTGGGAGCAACTGCTTATGAGAAAACATTAATGAAAATACATCTATCAAAACTACTACAAGTGTACTACAGCATACCTCTTGATAGGATCATTCATCTGAATTGCAGTGACCCACGTCAGCACATCCAGTGCTATGTTCTGAGCATGTTCAGCACCAATTCCACCCAATTCGTTTTCACTCGGAAGAGCAACTAATTTCAACAGTCTTTCATGAAAGCTCTGAATTTCAATCATTGCATTTCTTTGGGGTCTCTCTCGTGGAATGTTTGTTCTTTTCATTTTTCGTACAGTCAATGAAATTTCTTGAATCCAATCACAGCCTTTCACATCAGTGAGTTTTTGTTTATTTGGTGCTGTAGCTGCTAGTCTCTCTGCAACACTGGCTCCAGGCATGTAGGGCACATTCTCAAACAGAGACTTAATTGTCTTCTGCTTTGAGGAGTTAGAGGAGGACGCGACAGGAGTTGACATCTTCTTTTTAGTTTCCTGGGACGGACGAAGGAATTGGTTAAAAAAGTACAACATTTAAATCAATGCTTCAAAGATAAATATTGCATAGGTATTTTCTCACAGGCTCTGGTACTCATTCGTAGTTAAAAGCACAGTTTATCTACTGTCAATGTAAAGTGTCAATCAATAGCCATAATCTAACTGGAAGGGTCCAAATGTTCCAGGCACATAAACTACGTAACTTTTAACATCACATATACATAAATATTGGTAATCATTATTAGCATGATAAACTGTAAGGTTTTGATGAACAAATTCATCTTTTGCATTGCATTTTATCACCCCAATTACTATTTGTTTCTTTGTTGTTTAACGCCACACTCAGCTATATTCCAGATAAATGACGGCAGGCTGTAAACAATGCAATCTGGTCCGACAACCCAGTGATTGACATTCTCCGCACAGACGCTCTCTCTACTTGAGCTTGGAAGCAGTCTCAGAATTGTTACTTTTATTACAACCGTATCTATGGTTACTGATCATGTTAACCGGAGGAAGATATTTCCCATTCCTATCAGTTAGATATATACAATTTACTGAAATTACCTTTGCAAGATTTGAATCCTCTGGTTTGTTTGGGAAACCTTTAATATGCAAGAGAAGTGAGCGTGGTTTGGAGTTAAGCAGCTGGGGGCTAGTAAGAGACACTAGTCCACTATTTCCTGACAGATCTAAGCACGCAGAGATCTGAATCGGTCCACAAAGAATCTCTGCATTGTGACTTTCCAGAAATACTGGATCCAGCACATTGTTGGCGTGCTCCTGCTGCGTCCCCCCGCTGGCAAGGTTACCAAAGTCCACTTTTTCATCCACTTCAACCTGCACTGACCGTGAACCATGAGACTGTTTACGAATGTTTCCTATGTTCTGCTTGAGGAGGGTCACTTCAATGTTTGGTTGCGTTGTGCACATTGGGTGTACAGTGAACTTGAGGTCTACATGGCCAACACAACAAGGACGAGGAAGTACTATCTCCAGAAGATGTTCATCCCATGTGTTGCTAGCACTGAAAATATAATGGTTAACAAATACATTTCCCATGAAAACACAAATTTGCTGGTTTGTTAAATACATAGTTGACTCTCAGTAGTATGTCAAATCCTTTGTGAGAATAACCTAGCTATACAACTATTTTCAACCCCTAAGAAATGTTTTACATTATTTTGTCCTGAAACCAAAAGAACTTTAAGAATCCTGCTATGGTAACAAACATCACTGAAAAGTCATCACATTTGTCACATCAGTTTCTGAAATGTAAAACATGTAATTTTCACAACACTATTAACACAAATGGCCAGTTGTTCAGCATTGTTCAGTGACGAAGATGATAAGTAAAAAAAAAATAATTTAAAAAGAGACCTCAAACTTCCTACCCACAGATAGAGTTCACCTCATTTGGGGGCGTTAAAGTATATTCTGATAGAAGAGAGAAGAAACTTACAATAGTTTGTATCAAGATAAGGAACAATTAAGCTCACATTCTCACACATGACTACAATATTTTTGTATATTAAATTGTACACAGGGCCATGAGGCCATACCACTGAAAACAATCTTGTGTCTTGATAATCAAAGTTTCCGATTTTTTAGCTTTGTGGAATCTGGGAAGAAGATTCTAAAATATTTTCACATAATTTGAATTGTGGGGGCAGTATTGTTTCAGTTTTACTGAGGATCTGCTGACAAAAACCTTTTTAGTATGTTATTAATTTCCTCAAATGTTTTTATCATCATGATCATGTGATTCTGAGGTATAATTTCTTGGATACAGAGCCTGCCTGTTGATTACGTAACTAGTAGCAAGTGTCCTACCTGTCAGGGGCTAGCTTCCATGTGCGAGTATGCTGTGTTGTCTCCCCTTGTTGTTGTAAGTGCTGGGGATGACGTCGTTGCTGTTGCTCTTGCTGTATCTCACTCCAGCATGGAGGTACAGTTGCTGTGTAGCGAGGGAATAGATTCTCAAACTGAGTAAGACTGTGAAGTCCTGACAGTGTCTCAGCTGCCAGAGGTTTCTTTGCTAATAGTTCCATTCCTAAAATAGAAAAGAAGATATAAAGAAATGACACACTCCACATGGGCAAGCTGTCACAAGAATGTACACAGGTACACAGAATGTTCACACCAAATCCCAATGAACATAACCATAGACCTTTACATTTAACAAAATTTGAGAAGCAATCTGTAACCCAGGATGAGACGTCCATCAATTGATCCACAGTAAAAACTTCAGAGCAAAAACCTTTGACCTGATCCTCACCAAAACAGTACAAGCAGATGGTTTCAGTGGACAAAATCATGGCTTCAGTTTTCTGGTATAGAGGGAGAATAACCATGATTGAATATCTGTAACAAGGTGGGACTATCAAAGATTAGTTTAGAGAAACAATCAAAGAAAAACGTTGAGGAGAGCTTTGTTAATGTGTGCTCCGGCCTCCGGAAATTCCTTTCTGAGAAAGTTTGAACATTATTAGAAGTTTTGAGATTATTATTGGCAATTGAAGTCCAATAAACATGCACTACAAGAGCTCATAAGGATTTATACAGAATTTGAGTCACAAAAATTAAGGGTCACATCTCGGTGCCTAATTACTTCAGAAAAAAATTGCTTCTTACCACTACTGGACTTTCCTACTGGGTGGTCAACAACATCTTCAAATTTAGCTTTTTTACATGTTGAAGATTCAGTGTCCGGTGAATGTTTGGTGGCTAAATCTTCCATCTCTATTGCAGAATCCTGTAGCTCCGGACTCTGTTCGGATATCTGGTAGAAGTGGAGTTTCCCAGTGTCTGTACATACACACAGACGTTCAATCCCTGAAAACAAAAATATTTTACATCTCATCTTGTGGTGTTTTACTTCAATATTCATAAGCTATGCAACAAACAAAGATCTCTAATCTCATTCGTGATTCCAATTTGGATTCTCAAGTGAAGTCAATGTTTTATTTCTTCTTCTGGCATGATCAATCTGAATCCCATTGTGTTGATAGAAATATCAGATTTCAGATTCCTAGAACTAGATTCTTAATGATATTTCACCAATTTCATTTTTCACCCTTATATACTTACAAAAAGTTTTACAAAACCCACTCCATAATTGATCTTAACCTAAGGACACTGACATGCTGTCGATTACTCTTTGAGGTCGGTGGTGAAAACCAAAATTAAAGAAAACAAAGCTCAGTCTCCAATGTTTACTCCAAGTCACCTCTACACCTAAATGTCACTTCTAATCGTAATAAAGAGGTTGTTCATCCATATATCTTATCCTTACTTAGTACTCCAATTTCTAAATGCCTCTCAAACAAAGAAGTTAAGTCTTATTTACCTGTACAGTAAGCAACAGAAATAAAATTTTCATCTTCCAGGGGATGCATTTCTGCAAGCAACTGCATGTCTGCCAGGTTAATAAGCCAGACACTACCACACATGAGTGTGAGAGCCACTTGGCCAGGTACACTGCATGGTTTTATATGACTTGTCATAACATTGTCCAGTGTTGAGTCCTGTTCACGTGTGCCACAATCTTCCTCCTCCACTTGGTCTTCCACTTCTTGGGGCAACATAAGTAAGCTACACACAGCATTTTCTTTCTTCTCAATGACATGGACAATAGATGGCGTTTCTTCCACCACGGTATTGCTACCATCAGTTTTGAGTTTATACACTAGGAGCCCACCACCACCACCACCACCACTGTGTTCTGTGCACCCATTAAAACTACCATCAGCAACCCCATTTGAAGTGTTGCTGTTTGATTCTGATGTGTTTAAGTCCTTCTTGGGAGATACAACAACAACTACATACTGCTTGTCTATTGATGGTGTTATTGATGCGATTTCATACTCTTCTCTCTGGAACTGTTTTGGTAAGTCTAAACACTGGATAACTGTCCCAGCTCTCAAAGGCAACTGTGTTTTGACTTCTTTTTTCTCAAAGTCATCAGACATTTTCACTGTTTGCAACACTGGCATGTCAACTCCCAAAGAACTGCTACTGCTATCATTGTTGTTCTTGCTACTACTTTCTGGAATGCTATCTTTGAGTTGTGAGGTTTGCATTGGACTTGGAGTAAAACCTACAATCTGAACATCTGGATCCGCCCAAGGATCATTTTCCAAAAACATAGACCAATCCGGATGCATAGATGATAGTCCAAGAGGGGTGATAACACCATTCTCACCCCCAGTTGGCGGTTTTGCTATCGATTCAGAATCAAACTGTTGTCTTATATGACTAGTATTGATACTAGTTTGTACTGAAACCATCAGTAGGTATGGCAGAAGCTTTGTCTCTGGTAGAATAAAGTCATCTCCATCCTCAGAGTCAGAAATTATCCGAGGAGGAGAGTCACCACTAACCACTTGATTTACTTTATTCATCAACTGTACAGTTTCACTTTTTGCTTCACCAATTGATGACTGCAGCTGATTGTCTTCTATATGTGCACATCTTGTCTGTCGAAGTGATGCACCACAAAGTAGACTAGGTTGTGTAGCACTGTGGGTCTTATCTGAATTTCCTGAATGAAGATCTTTCCCACAACTGTCCTTCAGCTTCTTTAACAAACACAAGGCTGAAACAAAAACATCCTCTGATGGTCTGGTCCTCTCAGTGGAGACTGTAGGGTCATCTGTTGGCAAATAGAAAAACAACCTGTTCACTCATCTCAACACACTATCATGATACTGATTGTACTCAATTACTAAGTTGTACAATACATCAAAAAGGCTCTCTAGCTCATTGCAGTGCCTCGTACACACAAGGCGTAGCTTGTGTGCTACTGATAGTCAGAAGGGCTAGTGACTATTGAGACAGTAACTAGTACTTGAAGGGACAGTACATCGACGGTTTTGGTTTTTTTTAATCATGCAGAAAATAACTTCCAAGTGTGATGTCACACCTTTTGCACAGTTCAATTCTCAAACCAAAACAACAGAGCTCTGCACAGCGTAGCCGACAATACAAGCACTGCACAGAGTAAACTGGCTTCAGCTCATGTGTTTTTCCAACAAATGAGTTTCAAAATAAGAACCCAGTGTTTATCAGAGCCTAGATTACAAAACAAATATGCCTCAGTCGTATGAAGTCAATCACTCTGCTACCCGGAGTTTATTGCGGTCAGCCATGTACCTCTATCACATCTTACACAGTTCATTCATGTGTTTTTCATGTTTCATTTTGTACGAGTCTACACATTTAGATAAACACATGTCCTAAAATGTTTAACTTTCATTGAGAAAATATCCCAAAACATGAAAAACTACTTCCTCCACGTGCCATCATCGAAGCCCTTCGGAGAGAAAGCGATAGTCACTTTGATATGTAAATCTATATCGTCATGCACCTCACCATCGCAATTGTAGTAGTATATCCATATAATTTTGAAAAACAATATGAAAGGCACACCAAAGGCTTGCATTAGGCTCGTCTGTTCTTATTTCAGAATAAGTGTTTGTTTACAAACAAGACAAAAGTCCATTCATGTGATAAATCTACACACATTGTGTGGTCACTGGAGCAGAAACTTCTCTCATGGAATAAGGAAGTTATCAGCTATTGGTATTGTCTACTAACAATGCTTCAGAACAGTTGACATATTGTCCCTTTAAAGGACTATATTTTTACCGCCCATTAAAACACCAAAATGTAATGCATCAGATACTTCAGAATATGTTCAGAATATCTGGTAGGGATTTTTGTGTGATGTAAAAGCATTAACTTGACCTTGTGTATATGCTTGAACAGAATTGACAAGTATAAAATCAAATCATGCAGTGGTAATTCATGACAAGGGTATTATACACAAGCATGTTACTAGTCAACAGGATAGCATAGGTGTTCCATAAATATAAAGAGAAGCTTGAATGTAATTTTAACCTTATTGTCACACTAAAGTTGACAGTCCCTTACACAAAGCTTTGTTACAACCTTTTGACCATAAGTTAAGGTTAAAATCTTGAGGCTGGTCTGACAAAACTTGAATCACAAATGTTGATTCTATGTATGTAGTCACATAATTTCTTCCAATCTATTACTACAGCTATACATACAAATGTTCGTACAATACATACATGCACTTTCATCATGCAGTGGTATTTCTTGTATTTCATCCTCAGAAGATGCCCCAAAACATTCCGAGTTGTGCTGTGTCCTCTCCTCCTCATCAGCTTGCCTTGATCTAAAACACCATCACACTATCACAAGCAAGCACACAAGACAAGGCAAACCTCACTTTCATAAAGGAAGTAGACAAGACAAGGTAAATTCTTATTACTCTTCTGGGTGTAGGATTAATCTGAATATCAAAGACAGACATTATTATTCAGTTGTACAACTGTTTTGAGAAGGAAAAACTTCTTCAACCCTGCTAAGCGAGCAAAGTGTCACATTCTACTAAATGTTAGCCATGTTGGCTCTTCTTCTATAGACATAACATAGTATTTGATAACAAGATCCAACTTACTGTTGTGATCTTGAGACATCAGTGTTTCTGTAGGTTTCTCCAATTTTATCGGTTTGAAATCCTGTTTTCAAAGCCACTTGAGTATCTGAAGGATCTAAGTTGAACTGACAATATTTCTGAAGAAAAGAGAAAAATGTTTGATTTTCACAAATGTCAGTCAGACATATTTGTTTCAAACATGAAAAAAATTGCAAAACAGAAAACACATTGACCATAGTGTGATGACCATGACAAATATAATATAACAGACACTTGTACTTGTATAAAAACCCTCTTGTACTAGAAAGGATGTTACAGAATTTAAAGGAAAATGACTAGACATGATGATTTACCATTTCTCGTTCTGCTAGGCATTGTTTTAAATGCAGAGATTAAGATGACCATGTGTATTGTCTCCAAGATCAACCAGTGATTCAGTTAAGAATACCAAATAAAATAATTTTAAAGAATTTCGACGAAGAAATTGTATCTGAAACTATTTGATTTTACCAGGAATATAATATTCAAATATCATGTTGTTTTAGTTGCAGCTTTTACAAAATATATTTAGAAAAACAAAAATCATAAGCATAGCACTGTTATATTGCTGGACATTGTTTGGAACAGTTTGGAGAGTCACCGTAAGAGTCTTTCCGCGGTCTTGCTATTTCGATCATGAAAACTATATTGACTCTTAAAGAGACCAATTATAGCCTTTAAAATATATGCATCCATTGACTGTCAACTAAGGTTTATTTCAAGGCATCGTAAATAGTTTTGATGGTAAGTTGCTGCAATCTGCCAATCGGTCGATGATGTAAACAATATTGAATAAAGTTATGAATAAAACTAATAAAAACAGATTACAAGTCCAGATAAACAATAATCATTTTTTATAACCAGAGATAAAACCAACTCTGCATCATGCATAGAATGCTTACTTGAAGAACTCGACTTATGTTCCAGACACATATATTTCCATGTTTTGTTGAGGTTGCAAAGAAGTCTTCATCTGATGTTGTTCCAACACAATGAATCTGCAAAATACACAAACCAAAGTTATTATTGAAACCGGAAATCATTTGGAATTTGTGCTCCATCAGATATATATGCTGTGACCTTTGAACCTAGACATTGACCAATTTGATCCAACAAATCTCCTAATTATCAACACTTCCAGGTAATGTATTCGAATCAATGTGCTGTGTAAAAGTGATTCACATTCCAGACTTTTCTGGGAAACTGTAAGTAATACAAACTAGCTAAGGAATGACTGGTGGAGTTGATACTTTCTATTGAAACACAGCATGATCGAGTCCAAAGAGATATATGCTTTATATAAGATATGCATGTGTTTCATTAGAATGTAGTTGTTTCTCTTCATTGTCTGTGTGAGCTGATGTACTTGTGAGACATGATAAATGTCATTTTGTGATGAATTCAGGGTGTATGTATCGCTGCTGAGAGTGAAATAGGTATATGTCATATCATGAGCATCTCAAAACTGGCACGCACAAAATGTAACTTAGTAAACACTATCCACTATGGCATGAATTAACTTTGGAGTTTGTGTTCATTTTTTAACATACAAAACGATTCCAGAGTTATTGGCAACATTTCAGAATGACTAATAGTATCTTGATAAGGTACAGACACTCGTGATCATAAATGTGGTATTTCTGTATTGAATCGTATCAAAATATCGGATATTTAGACTTCAAAACATACATGAAATAATGCTGTGAATGGTTATTTCGTAAAATAGCCCAAAATGATATTTTCATTGTACCTCATCTTCAGAGGTTGTTTACAGTAAAGTGGCTTTGACTGATATGACCACAGGGAATATCACAGATAAAAGAATTTCCTGCAAAGTTGAAAATTGTGAAGAGTTTTTAGGTATGTAGTGTAGTTTGGTTTGTTGATTAACACCATACTCAGCAATAATCCATCTACATGGAGGTGGCCTGTAAATGATCAGGGTCTGGATCAGACAATACAGCACTTGACAATAACGATCCATGCCATAGTCATAGTGATAGTGTGACGTTAACATGTAACCTATCAAGTCACATACATATCGGTAGTTTCAGTTTTATGCAAATTCAAAGTGAGGGTTGAAGAACCTGGACATATTTGTCCCTGTGGCGCCTGTGGCAGCCCAAAATTCAAGACTTTGCAAAGAAGATAAGCATGAGCTTAAAAAATTCAAGAACTTAAAACATACCTGAATTGCCATGTGACCTTTGTTTTCATGTACATATGACATGTCTACTAAGTGAACTTGGTCCATTAAACAGATACACATGCCAACTTTCAAGTTTGTATCTAGCAACCAGCGTGCCTGACACACATTTCACCCTGGTTGCATGAACTTTGACTTGGCTAGTTATTGAAACAAACAACTATTGCCCAAAATGGAGATGGAAAAAGAGAATAGAATCCATGCCATGATATAATTGACAGTTGAGCTAACAACTAACCAGAAATACTTCTGCTCAACTGTGTGGATTCTATCTGTCTTTTAGATATGATGTCTCTACTGATTTTGAAATTGAAGTTGAAATAGTTAAAAGGCAATCAATTCTTTTAAAACTTAACATTCAGAAACCAGTCAAAGGTTTTCTTAGTCAAAGGCAAGTGACTTTGCTTTTGTTGAAAATGACTAATTTGGACAACCACTGAAATAAACTTGATTTTTTACATGTTTCCAATTCACATTTGACCTAAAAATAATAATCAATATTAACTGAATAAAATTGCTTGGAAATGGGTCCATAGTCAATTCCAGTCATTATCATACAAGCTTATAAAAACAAATTAAACTTTTCTGTATTGACTGGCTTACTGGTATTATCAAATTTGACTCATGTATGCAAGGATTTTGTTAAATCCATCAATGTTTAATATTTGTGACCTGCCACAAGAAAACTGAACTTATGGGTGCTAGAATATAATTGTGCTGTGGCGTCATAAAGAAAGACATTTCACTTCAACTTTCTTAAAAATGACCTGAGTGCTGACTGCAGAACAAACGTTATTTTTTTCTTGGTAGTTCGTAATGTAATCAAAACATAACCTTAAAACATTTCAGTATACATTAGATGTCATATCGTCAGTATTTCAGCCATTGCACAATAATCACCACTATGTGGTAAATGTTTATATTCTTCCGGAGATTGCAAGTGTAAATATATGGCCCAAATAGCAATATTGGTCCATGTTAGCTACCTACTTCTTCACCGGGATTTCCATGAAGCTGAGCAGGTTGTGTTGCATAGGTCACTGAAATGAAGTACACACATATATATATATATATCAGTTACAGCAAAAATATAAACTCCTATATAAGATAGCTATGCGATAAATCACAAAGAACAATGAAGAATAAGGCATGGTATATTTCACGATAAAACATTCTTCTATCATGACGTCATTTCTGGAGATTCGAACATATGCTGGCAACTTGATGACATCATAAATTGAATGATGCTATTTTTGAGAGGGTAGTGTGTACGTTTAGAATAAAAGATACATACATTCTCATTATTCCCTGTTGTGAGATTATTCAGGAAATACCAAACTTAAACCCCCTGTTCATAAAATGGACTTATATGATATGGATTATATTCAAGGAATCATCATTACTTAAATACGGATGAATATTTTTAAAGCTTGTTAATTTTATTAACACCCTAAATGAGGCTGTACATTTGCAGTCAACTTGAGTTACTACGGTAATTCAATCAATGGGTATAGAACACTTCGTTATACCATCAGCATGATCAGGAAGTAGATGTTTAGAATTAATATCCATGCCATATAAAATGTCCCATTTACATAAACATGTATAACTGGATCTGGGATACACCCTTGGCATGGAAGTTGCTCCTCTGTGCTCTATTTTCAGCTATTGTTTTTATGAACCTTGTGGTTTCGGAGCAGATGTTGAAAAACAGTAAGGTCATTAACAGTGAAAACACATCAGAAGAAATAGTGCCATAGGGTATGTACACAACGGCATAAAATGTTAGGAAAGACAGCCACTTGCATAATTATTAAGGCAAAAAAACTAATAACAACATTTAACGATTTGAACAAAATATGATGTCATGGTAAGTTTGGCTCCTACACCCTGGTGGTGTTTTCCCATTATGACTACTGTTTCAATACACATATTCCTTGTAGTATTCATTTGAATTATTCATTTATTCATCAATTCATTAATTGAAAACCCACATTCAATGAATAATACAAGCAAGATGACTGGACTGGCAATTATGTTTCAATAGCAACATGTTTAAACTGTACATTAAAATATCAGAAAGATTAAAACAAAATTTCACCTTCAGAGATGAGAACATTTTTCTTTAATTTGTATAAATTTGGCAATTCAAAGATGGCTGTGGGAATGAATTTAATTTGCTGCAGAAATTCGCCTGAAACCATAAATTTAATGTTGATTAACTTGGCTGGTTGGTGTTTCTTTCAAAAGGGATTAAACATTAACAGAACAGTGAGACAGTTGCATGTTGAACAGTGTTGCATAAGTGGTACTAGTCTATGACCAGGACAGCTAAACCTTGTTGATATTACATATCATATTACATACCTGAGAAAGGTACATTTTGAGTGTACTCTCCCTTGACAAAAGGACATGACGGTGAGTGACGTTCATGTTCTGACCTGAAACAGAGTAGCCACCTTGAAGGATTTGTGCATTTAGCTTTGAAGGTTTGTATTAACCAAACCTGTATTCTCACAAGATCCATTTACAAATACAACAATGGGAGTAAGTTCAAATTATCATTTTCAAAAAGTGTGACATCAAACATTAACATTGACTATCAACACAAATGACCAAGATAAACGTAGTTTTCAATATTTATAGTAAAGTGTGACAATATGTTTGGCTCAACAAATTTAGATAAGTTGTTATTTCTGAAGAACTGGATAAACCATGTATACTACTATGTGAGTCTCAATATTTGCCATCATGATTGTCTGGTGAGTAAATGAAAGACAAGGCAGGACATTCTAACATCACTTCTGGGTTTGGAAAAAACACATAATGCCCAATGCATGATAACTTTGAAGCAGTGAGTCTCATTGCCCTATGCTTGTAGCTATCTTAGGAAACAAAATATGAGCATTTTCAATTATAAATGCTCAAGATATGTACACAAGCTTTTGGGGATGTCTACTTTATAGTGAGCGACCTTGACCTTCAACTCCATCCAATCACATGAGAGAACATAACTTGTAAGGTAGTGTTATAAGTCAGAAGTCTCCATACTATACTAACAATGAAAGAAACTATATTTAATTCATGACCTTCAAAACAACCGTGTTATTTGATACAATCATTGAATTCTCTTGAACTGATACTGTTACCAAACCCCTTTGATATTTCATAAATCCATCTGAAATGTCCTGAAATTCTTAACATTTTTCATTGTTCATTATTTGACCTCAAGTGACCTTGACCTCACAGGGATGTCATCCAAAAGTTGATGCCGCTGAGACCCTGCCTTAGAGATCATGTGGTGATCATGTGATGGTGTTGGTGGTTGCAATGTTGGCGCTTATCAATAGGAGTGAGCAATATGCAGTGACACCTACCAGGGTTCATCTGTAGGTTCCCAGCACACCAGGCATACATTGCAGGTGAAGCACATTGCTCGGTCATCTCCTGAAGCATTAGGCTGGTGGTAAAATCCAGCCTGGGCCATGGGATCTGGCAGTGCCCACCTACCATACAAATACAAAATCATACATACAAAATAAACTTATTTAATATGATTTTCTGTCAAGAGAAAGTTCCCTCTTTTCCAGGTAAAATAGTTTGACTGGTATTATATGACTTCATTATGAAGAGAAATATCTTCAGTGTGCCAAAGAAAAAAATGGTGGCAGCCACATTAAATATTGTATCAGGACTCTGTGAGTACTTTTTTCGGACATCATAACTGGGATCATTCATACAAAGTTTCATTTTCATAGGGCTTGTAGTTTTCAGAGGTGTCAAAAATGTGTGAACACAAGTAAAACAGGGGTATTGGAACAAAATATGCCACCAAATGTGTTATATGGAAGAATGTATCCAAAGAACAAAGGATACAATAGTCTGACGTTTCTTCCACTTCCAGTTACAATTAACATATCAAGTGACATTAACATAGAGACAGAGACACAATAGGTTTAGAAATGTCGAAACAGTAAAAGTAAAAGATTCGCAAGCAAACTAGAAATGGAGTTGGTATAAATCCATCAACACATCTCAAAGCTATCATCTGGAAATCAGCTATATTAAAGTCATTATTCTAAAAAGCAAGAATATGTTGAAAGCAAAGCATTACATTATTCAGCGTGATCCTAACGCTTACTTACTTGTAGTTCATATGTGGCCACTTTGTGAATGTTTCCCTACGAGCAGCTTCACTATACATGAGAGCTCTCTCCACATGTCCATTTCCAATATCAGGCAGTGTGCTGGGAAGCAGGTAACACAGGCGGTCACTGATGGCTGATGCAATGGACAGCTCTGGGCTATGCACATTGCTACGTTTTAGCTCATTTACAAGGCCAGAACACACAGACTTCAGTACCATGTGAGGCAGTTTGATACACACTGAAGCCCACTGAAAACAAAAAAAACATCATCAACATGATCAAGTATATAGGAAAATATATTCTGTATCCAAATATTCACACTATCCAAATATTCACAGATTTATCATTCTCATAGATGCTGTGGTAGCCACACATTGAAGATATCAGGGAGATGAATAGCAGAGAGATCCCAATATGGCAGTCACAACTAATAGACTGGTATATTTAAATTATTTTTTTAAATATTTTGTTATTATTATTTTTTGCAATCATTTTACATTTATTTGATAAAATGTGACATTCCAGTACATAGTTGATTAATCATCTAAATAGATGATGGCAAGTTGACCAAAATTTATAGAATAGGCCAATGTCACACTCAATAATCGCTGAACATTTAGTTAGGTTGTAGTAGTTTCTTATTTCGTTCTGAAAGACTTAAAATGATGGGAGTCTCTTATTTAACTTACTTTTAAAAATAAGATCTTTTGTTATCAAAAAGATGATATTTAGAGGGTCATTGCGCTTTTCTGGAAAAACCAATCATCACACGTTTCTTTGTAATTTCGATTTGGATGTTAGCCTTTTGAAGTAGCCAAACTTCAAGTTGACGCCAGATTTGCTGAACCATACTACAGGACCAGAAAAGATGGATTGGGGTCTCGATATCAACTGAACAAAAACTGCAATTTCGACTTTCAACATAACCTAACTTACACAAGAGAACATTAGTAGGAAGTATATGATGAAGTATTTTGTATTGGAGCCATTGCAGTTTAGTGTCTCTCGTACATCGAAAAGGCATTCTATTTTATTGGGACCAGTTATCAATTGAATCATCCTTTAGAATATTCTTTTCCCATTTCGTACAGTCTACATTTTTTGTAATATTTAAATTATGTCATGAAACTGTGACTAGCACCACTTTTATAAATTTTAGTTTCATCATTTGCAGCGTGGCAGCAAAAACATGCATGCCAAGATTCTATTTCAACAGACCAGTGGTACAAAAGGAGACGATAGTCAACAAATAACAATGGACAAGGAAGATAAACACATCATGATATATGCAAAGTTAGGCTTCTAGTTCATGGGAGACAAACTTCAACCACAAATCAATGGCACACTGGAAAAGAATAGCAAAAAGACACTTGCTCAGCACATACATTAAAGTTTGCTGAACGTTTTACAGTGGGGTACTGTGGGGTTAGGGGGCTTCTGTGGTCCCTGAGATTTGCTGCTATAGTATTTGAACATAGGGAGACCATAAATATTAAACTTTTACCATTAGGTTTGTGATCAGGTTTGTGACCCTTGCATTCTATGCTTATTTCAAACAGTATTAGTGAAGTCTTTACCAATCAAGAATTGTGAGGCTGTCAAATGGCTGTATAATGTAATCTGTTTGATGTGACAGTATGATGTCAATGTAATATTCTCTAAACTTCAAGCATTTCTCTTCTTTTGAGTGAGCAAAATGGCCAACCATCCATGCACAGCTTTGACCTACTTGAATTTGTTTCTCTATTTTCTCCAATACCGAAGTTGTTGAATCATGAAACCTTGATGAAGTATCCTACCAACAACTTCGCATGTTGCTTGGACCATTTCTGTTTGAAGTTTGATTTCTTTTTTCCATAGCAATCATATGTGAAAACCTAGTTTTTACCATTGCTCCCCAAAGTATGCTGGTAATTAAATAAAATATGGTGCAGGCTAGAATGTGGTAGAGATATGCTTTTCCAATTTTGCAAGATGTCAGGGTAATGGCCATTACAGCTCAATTTATCCAGCAGGCAGAGCTAAGAAGTGGGAAAACAAATCAGCAGACTAAAGGTTAATGGGTTTTCGATTATGGCTGTCACAGTGCCATGTTTACAATCAGATCAGAATTCTATGATCATTATTTAGAGACACAATTGCAGAGATAATTCATACAAAGCTCCAGGTTCTTAGGACTTGTTTCAGAGTAGATGTTGAAAATGCAGTAACACATAAAATCATGGGTGCATGAAGGTCACAGCTGGAATTATTGACGCAAGGAGGCCTTGTAGGACTGAAAGACAACTGACTGACAACCGAACAAACCAACTGATACAGCATAACAGACAACTTGAGACGACATTATCTCAGTTATCAGGAGATGACATATCCCCCTGCTCTGGTTCAATTTGGAAATGGAGTTTGGCTACTAATACCACACTGTTGGTTCAATGCCATTGGATACCTTCAGTTCAGAGCAGATAAAAAAAATACTGATGTGTATTTTCCAACATCCTAAATCATCAAAAGGCACCAGTTCACCACTAGACTGATCTTATTGGGAGTTCTACTCCAGAAATGAGCACAACCCTCATTTTCAGTAAACTCCAACTTGTCAAGTGTTGTCGGCATGAAAATTTATTAAAAAAAACATTTATAAAAACTTCCAAATCATCAAAAGGCAAAAGTTCACTACTTGACTGATCTGAACACAAAGTTTTACCAAGGAACATTCAACGGTTCTGGATATCTGCTCGTTAAACGAGCACAAGCCTCATTTTCAGTACAAGTCCAACTTGTGTTCATGAATTATAACACAAATCCGAAATCATCAATAGGCATCAGTTCACCACTAGACTGATCTGCATAGCAAGTTTCAACAAAAAATATTTAACGGTTTAGGAGTTATGCTCTGGGAACGGAAAACGGATGGATGGACGGACATCCTGATAGCTATATCCCCGGGTTTTTTTTAACCAGGGTGATAAAAATCAATATTTAGAACACATTGTGGTGTTATCATTGGTGGGAACATGCATGTGGAGTTGTAGCTTCATTGGTCAGTTGGTTTCTCAGAAGAAGATATTTACAGTGCAAAGAAACACATTTTAAAAGAATTTTGTAGCATGGTCAAAGTGTGAAGGTCAAATGAAGGTCCCATCACCAACTAAACACACACACACCTAATTTCATTACATTTTGAACAATACTGACTAAGTTTTGGCCATAAATGGCTTTTTTAATTGGATTTGAGCCTTATGAACAATTCAGGTGCCATCATTGGTGGGAACAAACAGGCATGTGAAGTTTCACCTTTATTGGTGTTGTGGTTTCTGAGGAGAATATGCTTAAGTATTTTCCAAAATTGGCTGCTGACAGACGTATTTGATTTGCAACAAAGGTGCCTCAACACATATTTGATTTGCAATCAAGATGCTCTGAATAGTGAGTTGGGTTAAACGCCGCTTTTAACAGTATTCCAGTTATATCACGGCGTGTCAGCTGAATGTGGGAGGAAAGCCTCAAGTGATGCAGGTCTCAGACGTTTACCACTTTGGTGAAACCCACGAGCACGGGTATGGTGCTGACAAACCTAGAAACATAATCGGGACAAACCGGGATTCGAACCCACAATCATAGGTTTCTGGCGTGCCCAAGGGACGCAACTCTGCACAGCGAATCGCGGCTCCTTAGACAACTGGGCCACCCGGGCCACCAGTGCCCCCCCAAGATGCTCTGAACAAACATGGAACTACATATTGTGACCATCTCAACCATCAAGTTTCAGTCCTCTGGCCCTTTATGTTTCAGAAAAGATGATGTTTGAATTATTTCTTTTTAAATATAAAATGGCTACATGGCAGCCAAATTGAAATTTCACTTTTGATGCCTTTCACAAACTTGAATCCCTTTATCATGTTTATAGTAACAAATATCAACACAACAATTTCAGCTGAATCAATCAAGCTATTCTGGAGACCAACTACTTGCAATGACATAAGCTTTCATGGCTTTTATGGCCAGGTGAACTAAAAAATGGAATATGCTACTCATTGGTAGTAGGTCACTGTAAGCTGTCACGTCTCATACATGTGTATTCAAATTATATAACAAGCAAAATCTTTTGTGAAAATGGCAAACATACTTTATGAATGACCTTCACTGTGACCTTTTTTTGTGGACAACACGCCTTTTACATTTCTCAGCCCCACCCTTAGACAGACCAAGATTCATTGACCTACAGCAAATCCTTCTTGAGGTAAGAACACTTTCTTCATGATATGGCCTTGAGGTGCCAAAAACAATTTCAAAGGCTATAACGAAGATATGACAAATGCATTACACAATATCCCCAAGATGTCCAAGCACTGCATTGTTTCTTGAACAAAGTGTGGTCGTGGTGGTGACCTTAAAGCATCCCTATTTACATTATATATGTTTTAATCACTATACTAACCTTTGATGTTTTGTGGTTTCCTTTGGTGGCCTCGTGGGCAGATTCTACACCTCTCTCTAACTCTTTTAGGACTTCCTCCACACTGTCCACTCCTGGCAGGTCAGCATTCATCAATGCTTTTAACAGCTGTCCTGCCTGAAAAAAATAATAATAGTGAATTTGTGGGTTGAGTTAAATATATATTGCATAAAAGCAAACTTGTACAAACAGTTTAACAATTGAGAAAAAAACCCATTGCAAATACTTGCAAAAACAGAAGCAGACCCTCCACCATTTCTAAGCCAAACAAATACATGCGTACAATCACACATCTCCAGTGTGATACCATCACTTTCTGTTTGGTGAAATGAATATCTACTACAACCTCATACCAGATAAAAGTACCTTGCCTACAGTTAACATGAGGAACCGAACAATGTTGCCACTCTGATGACATCACTTCCAAATGACATTAATTCTGTTTTGCTCCACGCAGCACAACTTTTTTGTCAAATTCAAGTTATAACTGTTTTGGGAACCCCAGTCTTCTGGGTCATTAAGGCACAACCATAGCAGTTGAATCTCATCTCCCTCAACTTCAGCAGTACCCTAGGTGGTAGTGCTGAGGGTAGAAAAGTACAGGTGTGAAGATTTTTTTTTTAAATAATGGGACGTCTGCTGATTTTAATACAGCTGGTCTTGCCCAATATCTATCAGGAAACTACAAAATATAACAACAAACTTCCAGTGTTCATGTCTCCAATCTCAGAACCATTGGCCCGGGAATCACACCATGCTTGCCATTCTGCTGGGAATAGACTGACTGGTGTCGCCTTGACAGGACATCAGCAACAACATTTGTATCGCCTGGGATGTGGCAAGCCTTGGCCACCTGTGGCAACCTGTAGACCTGGTATGGTCTGCCAAACATGTGACTGGAGTGTGTTAACCTCATGTTGTTGATGTAGTGTGCTCTGACGTCAACAGTTCTAGCAGACACTGCCAGCCTTGAACAGACCTGTCCTGACTGAGAATCGATACTCAAGTCAATGCCCATGCATCTTCCCGAGGCAAGTGAGTTAACTGACTATAAAAGTCCAGTTTCCACCCTTGCCAAACTAGGCTGGTATTATGGAGTTACATTTTGGCTGGACTAACGAGTCTATGCATAGTCCAATCAAAATCACGCACCGAAATCGAAATCCGGTTCGTAAAGTGTCATGCAGATTTCGGTCGACTGCAGGATTTGCAAAGCATGTGCACCGCTAACTCGTAGTCAACAGATATTTTCCAAATCTTTTCATGCTTTTAATCAAGGTGCTCACGTGATTTGATGCACTTCGCAATGTAAGACTCGTTCCATCACAATATAGATCTTGATTATCAATCAGATCGTCTTGACTGGGCGCTGCCGTTTTGTTTGAAGCAAATGCAAGTGATACGAGAGGTTGAATCTGATTGGTCAATAGGAGAGGCATAGAAAGGACATAACTCGTAATAGCCACTGAAGGCGCTACGATCGAGCCCAGGAATTCCAGCCTAGTTCGGCAAGGCTGGAAACTGGACTTTTAAAGTCAGTTAACTCTCTTGCCTCGGGAAGATGATGCCCATGTTACTAACGGCCCTCTGGCCAGAGATCATGTTGCAGTCAGTGCTCTCAGGCCTCAACCAGCCCTGATGTTTGTCCTCAAGCTGGCACCTCTTGTGGCACCAGTGCTCATGCTTCACTCTGCGCCACTCTTCATAGAAGACAGGACAAGGTGACACAAAAGAGCTAGCTGTCCTGGAGGGTGGTGACATCTGGGCCAGACAGGAAACAGCATCAAACAGCTACATAATCTTCATGGCTGTTACTGCCAATCTACGCAAATGCGATACGATGACATGCACAACCAAGTCAGCAATATTCCATCTATATGACGGCAGTCTGTAAATAATCAAGTCTGGATCAGACAATCCAGTGATTGACATCATGAGCATTGATGTAGGCAATTGCGATACGATGACATGCACAACCAGCGTGTCTGATCATCCGATCCCGTTTGTTGCCTCTTACGACAAGCAAAGTCGCCTTTCATGGCAAGCATGGGTTGCTGAAGACCTATTCTATCCCAGATCTCCACGGGTCTCATGGGATAGTAACAACAGTTACTTTACTCCTGAACGTCTTTCTGCAAGCCTGTTGAGATTTACTGTTCCTGATACATCAAAGACAGGTTTCATCATGCTCTGGGGATAAAGCATTACATTCTGCACATCAGGCACTGATAGTTAAGAATATTTCTTCCATGATGAAACACATGATACATATAAGCATGGTTAAACATCCCACTGTAAATATAAATCAGTCATAATTGACAATGGTGATGACACAATAGGATATGTAAACCAGTGTTGGCTGAAGAGCGCGTTTTTGCGTCTTGGACACACAAAAATAAGTTTGAACGCACCTGCGTAACATGTGTGGGTCTCGTGGACGCAGTGACTGGGGCTATATTAATTTAATATTGAATTGACACTGTTATCGTAAATCAAAGACGTACGTCTTTGCGTAAAGGTATTTGTTGCCAAACAAGACAGCGAAGCATGTTGATTAACACTTCCGTTTGCTAAACCAAACCAGTTTCATTATTCTCTCCCTTTTTATGACAAATACCCAAACCGGTTTCTTGACCTATATCTATTGTCGGTTTTGCATGTATTAATTTTCGGTATGGTCCGTAGCTTTGCTTCAGCCAATCAGGTGCCACATATTAAGCAAGTCGGATATAGTCGTAATTAATTTAGCTTGCTGATTGGTCGAAAATATCCTGACCTTGTGTCAAACTAAAAATAGCCAGGGTATACTTCAGAACGTGGTAACAGTGACCCGCGAAATCGAGCGACCGTGTAGGATGATACGCTATGTTATCGCGGTAGTTAATTTATAATGGATCGTAGTGGGGCACGCTTACAAACTTATTAAATATGTGATTCACAAAATGTTTGTTGTTCATTGGATTGATTGATGCTGATTTTCTTTACCGAGTTCGGTAAACAAAGTACCTGTCATTGGTGAATCTTACCGCAGTAAGTAAGGCTGTGTGGATTATATGGTATATCACTTCCTGTTTTGAATTTTGCATACGACCGAGGTTTGGTCAAGGGACTTCGTTTGAACAAATGGGTTCTTTTTCTAATCAATTTTGAATGGAGGAAGGGGTAATTCCACTTCAAAAACATCCCAGGAACTGTCATAAAAAAGTTCACGTGTGTACAAGTAGCCGTGACATACCGCAATGAGTCCTGTATTCGATCATGCGATGAAATATATCGTGCTTAGATTTGCATAAGTAAACAGTCGACAGGTTGTGTGGATTACGAGATTTATCAATACCGCGATACTGTATATGATAAAGAATGAATGCGAACACTTGAATGTACAATGATGTAAGCATTGTTTTTATTTAGCGGACTCTGAATATTTAGTTATTCTACAACAGACTTATCAAGCTGATAATAATTCAATATCTTGTGAGTCATATTAAGAATTGCAAAACACATTTTGCCAGGACCGTTATTGGTGTAACTGACATGTTTAAACATTTATAGCACCTGAAACATGTTGACTAGATTTATCAAGGAAATGCTGGATCCTGAACATACTCTTACTAAAAAAACGTTTGATATGCCAATTATATTTTATGACTCATTGATCATTGTCACAGTTACAACATGAACTCAATACTCAGTACAGTAGCATCAGAACAGCCATTGAACTTAACTGAATCCAAAACTTCAAATCATTGGTAGATCTCGGTAAAAACATTCACAAATGTCTGTCACAATGACCCCTTACCAATGGCTGACCCGTGTACTGCCTTTTCATATACGAAGTTAGATATTAACATGGATAATTTTGTGTTATAATATTCATTAATATCAAATGTCCCTTTTAAGAAATTGTTTGTCCCTTAATGTAAACCTCTTGGTTATGAGAGCAGGATGTGCCCTGATGTGAACCTTTCTCTCACTTTGCCTGTTTGTTGATATTTTGCAGTTGCGAAAAGATTTCTTATTTTTCACAACCACTGTGTTCTGTTGTTAATGTTATGTTATAATGCTATAAATTAGACCCCTCCATTTTTGTTTGGGACCCCTAATTTTATGATGAAGGGGTCCAAGTGACCCCAAGAAAATTTAAGCCAGAGCAGACACTGGTAAACAGAACAAAAATTATTTGTCACTTGTCTTGGAAAAAAAATGCTAAATGAAAAATCCCACAAAGTATAACGTAGTAACTTCCAATAAATGTACCTGCAGAAGTTTTATCTATAACATCAAAGGAACACAATAAGGATATAGTTTCTCAGTAGCAAGCACATGTGTATCCCTATGTGCATTGAGAAGGAAAGTGAGGGTTCAAGGACAGATAACTCCCTCTTGGTAACCTGGAGGCAGAAGAGGCATGTTTTGGAGCATGAACCAAAAGACTTTCTGGTTTTAACATCTAATAAGTAAATATATGTTTCCTGAAACCGGAAGTTATTTGATAAGGTCAGACATATAAATGTGTGAATGCTAAGTGAGCTAAAGCCATGAAGAATTTCAGTTCAGTGCTCTTGTTTTCTGGATAGCCAAATGATAGACCATCTATATTGACCACCATCTTTGTTAAACTGGATAATCCAATACACAGAAGTACTGCTTGGAGTTCCAAGTCCTAAAAGCTCCAAGACAGAGCCTCAAGCCCAAAATTAAGAAGGGTGGCTAAAACATTCTGAGACTTACTACGAAGGATGTATAGTATACCCTTAACCGTTTGCATGTATTAAGTACAATACTTCCCATACTTACAGGCAAAATTGAACCAAATACACAACCAGGCAGCATATTTCTGCAGGCATTAAAGTGACTAGTATCCACTGTTGACGAAAAATGGACAAAATTGGCTACCCCGCTATCATCTAAAAGGGCTAACTCCAATAGCCATCCATGCAGACATTGTGTCATCTTTCAGGGATGATGCTCCTTCCTTTGCCACCGCTATGAGAAAAGCAGCAGCGTTCAAGAAGGAAAAAGATAGTCTCTAAGATGATCCAAGATCAAAAAGACCTCCATAAGCCATCACAAAGGAAACTGTGGAAACATGATGTAAATAATACTAAATATGGATGATCGACAGAGGATCAGAAATACTTGAGACTCATCAGCGCTCTTGAGAAATTACTTTGTTTTGAAGGAGACCAAGCTGATTTTGAGCCATTTGTAAACATGGAATAGTCTTGAGTTCACCACTATCAGCCAGTGACTAAACAACAGCCAAAGCAGTGGAAACCGCCATCTCTTCTGAAGACGATGGCAGTCTATTTCATAAGCTGGCAAAGTGATGGATATTGTTTCCTGGGATTACAAAAGAATCCTACTGCCAGTACTGGTGGACTAACTCTCGAAAGGTCAGAACATTAATGGCCAATATCATGCCAAACTGCCTAGGCATCTGCATGAGCATATCAAGGCTAAACATCATGGAAACTCACTAAAGGTGTGTTGTTCCATTAGGACAATGCATCTGTGCACAAGTCTGTTGTAGCCATGGTTGCAATAAGAGTTGTGGCAATACTTTGTTCAAGATATGATACAATACAATAAGAAGGCCTATTGAAATACCCAATTCTCGACAATTTTGCATGAATGTTTACAATTAATAGGACATAAACACTCTTAAAAACGCTTGAAACTTCCTGAATATCATTTTACATCAGTTAAATTTAATAAGACAGCACAAAAATTATCAGCCAATGAAATCACATTGAACTGGTGTGTCACAACTCTCTTAACCAGACCAGTGCTTATTAAATGTGGCTGGATATCAACTTGTTCAAAACAATTGCTGACTGGTTAAAAAAGTGGCCTAACAAAATCAGTATAATCTAAATATGTTTTATATTTGTATACTTATCCTGCATTACTCCTTAATGCATTTACTGCTGATGTTTTACAGAAAGACAAAGCTGTGAGAGGTACAGCTGAAGAAGTTCTTCCAACTAGTTGTGTGACTAATCCCATCACACATCGCCCACGGAAGTGATGAAGTGATCAAACATTACATTACTGCTTGATCGTAACATCTGAAGACAGCGTGCTAAGGCATCGACATAACGAACGTGAGAAGAATTATAAAATCGTAGCTGAATCTAGTAGATATGGCCAGAGCTACAGATACCATTTTGAGCAATTGAGTTCTTACTCTAGGGTTTCTATTTTAATTGGGTTATTATATTTTTCATTGGGTAACCAATATTTTTTCACTCATCTATTCATCAATCTATTGGGTTAGTGAACATTTTAAGATTTTAAAGAAATGAAATAATGTTTTAAATGTATATAACTGTTCTAAATAAATAGGCTTGACCCGCAAAGTAAATAAGCTCGGAAATTAGCTCCTTTTGTATGCATGCTAAAAAAGGTTCATTCGGAATTTACGCAAGTAGTTTATATACATTTGAGTTTTGCATTCAATGCATGCATTTCTGCATGTAAGTTAATTGAAAGAAATTGGGTTTTGAAAATGTTCTGGGGGTATTTTACGCAAATAGGCAGCTTATCTGTAGCTCTGGATAAGGCTGAATATTTGATTTTTGGTCTGAATGATTGTACCGTATGAAGTAAGGTGATTGTTTCCATCCCCTGGGCGTCGCATAAGTGCTCCCATTCTTATATCAAGGTGAAAATGAATGGAGTTGCATGTATTGATGTTTAGCGACAGGCGTCTGATCATGTGGTTGTAGCATTACGTAAAACTAATCATGCCAACCAATCTGTAAAAGTGCACTGCACTACTAGCATTAGGTCAGTTGACCCAATTCTGAAATAGCTGGGTTAGGAGTAACGATGGCCAAGCGGTCAACCATCCAGTCAGGGACTTGGTTATGGCTTACATGAATGTCCATCACAAGGGAAGGCCGTCATACCTAGGCACAAAAGAACCTTCAGACAAGTCCGAGTGGAATCCACATGATCTGCACACAGGAGAAGGGCTCCTGGATAGAAAAGACTTGGAGCTACGCCTAGGGCATCCCCCAGAAATGAGAGACCTATGTTGGTGAATATGACATCCCTAACTGCAATGCACGACTGTGGCTTTCACACATTGAACTTCATCCATTTAAATAATAGATAAATAAAATATAAATACAAAAAAATCATCAAAAGACACCACTTTATCACCTGAATGATCTATATAGCATATTTTAAGAAGAAATATTCAATGATACGGAAAACAGACAGAAAGACTGCTGATCTCTGTATCTCCCCTGTTTGAAAACATGGGGGGAAATTAGAACTGTCTGGCAAGCATAATGCAAACGATGAGGAGATTACTTCTGCTGTGGAGGACTTTTTACACCACAAGGAGGAAGTCTTCTACACAAGTTTGATCCAGGCATCATTGGCAGAGGTGCGTTGACTTCGGAGGGATTATGTATATGTCTTAAGTATCAAGATTGTTAAAGACTAGTGCATAAGTAGCTGATGATCAACCATACTTCCACTTTGTCAAAGTCTTTACAAAAGCCTTCATCTTTCACAGACAAGCCATAGATATTTTACATGGTTGAACTTCAGACACATGCATGCAATTACAATGTTTCATGTCAATATAGGTAACAGGGCCATGGAAACCATGGTACCATTTATAAGTACCCAGGGGTATATATTCTCTGTATAAATACTGAGGCCAAACATATTAACCAATGTGAAACAAGTATCTACATTTCAACTAAGTTTCCAAATCTGCAAGAATGATAGTACTGTTTTTCAACATAAGAACGTCAGGTAGATTTTCTTTCTCGTGACCTTGACCCTTTCATCACCTCATGAGAAAGGGATATGTGAAAGATGTGTACATATCAATATCATTGCATGGTAAACAACGGTGGGGATAGTTAATGTAAATGATGATAAAACCTCAAAGCGGTCCCATTTCACGATGTTGCTTAATATTGGTCAAAAAGCAAAAGATCTTAGTGTACAACAACAAAACCATAAGTTAATATTGCAACAATCATTCATGGAATATGAGGTCTTTATTTGTTGAAATATAGAGGCATCCTCTACTGGGAATGCCAACTTGAACGTACCTCAACTAGCGGTAATTCACACTTGACAATATCTTCAGAGTGCTTGACAGGAATCTGTAGAGCAGTGTCAAGGAGCAGCACCCCCCTGAGATCCTTCCTGACCCCCAGGGCCTGGACATCCCAAAATACAGTTTTCTCTTTTTCTGATAAGTAAACACACTGCAGATTTCCATGTTTCTGTCCAACTGCAATAAAGCATACCAAACATACAAAATGTGAAGAGCTATATACTTGAAATTGATATGTACCTGAATTACAATGATTACTGTATGAGATGCATTGCTACAAAGAGAGATGCTACAAACTGATAAAGTATACCAACACTGAAAATACCCTTTACCATCAGTTTCAAGAAGAAACAATGTGAAAAACTTTTCTTGAATCAAACGGTCATTCCGAGATAATGCAAGGCTCACCAGATGCAGTTGAAACAGCGTCATGATGTCAGCCCATCATTATGTAACTCAAAAGTATACTTCATCACCTAATAAAGTACTGCCAGCACCTTTGATATTTTAGCAAAGCATCTTGCAATCTAAAATATATCCCATTGATTGTCTGATAGCATGTTCAGCGATAGAAAGTAACATTTTTAGTTCACTAGTCCTCATAATAACAAAACTCTTAAAAATGGCAAATTTCTACAAGTCCTTACTATATCTTAACTATTGGACAATTTGGCAAGGACTATAGGACCAATTTCTACCGCTGATGTTTAAGGACAACCATATTCCTGACAAACCATGGAGAAGGCACACACATCCATGAAATACATATTTTAGACAAATAAGCGTCTTGTTTTTACTTTTCCAGACAGTAAAAGAATTGTAAACACATCGTGGCATGGTAGTGGCACTCAAGTAATACATATAATTCAATTTAGGTTTAGGTGTTACACTTGGAGACATCTGCCCAAAACAAGGTAGTTAACTGACTGTAAAAGTCCAGTTTCCACTTTTGCCGAACTAGCCTGGAATTTCTGGGCTCCACTGTACTGCACCATTGGCACCTGCGAGCTATGCTCCTTCTACTGACCAATCAGATTCCACTTCTCATATCATTTGCATTTGCTTCAAACAAAATGACGGCACCGAATCAAGATGATCTGATCAATAATGAAAATCTATTTTGTAACATAAAGGGTCTTATTTCGAGAAGTGCATCCAATCACATGAGCACCTTGAACAAAAACATGAAAAGATTTGGAAAATATTCCTTGACGCCAAGTTGGCAGTACACATGCGTTGCAAATCCTGCAATCGACCGAATTCTGTATGCCAGTTTACAAACCAGAAGTCGATTTCATTATGCAATTTGGATTGGACTATGTATAGACCCGTCCAGCGAAAAATATAACTCCATAATTCCAGCCTAGTCAGTAAACTCCCTTGCCTCGGGAAGATGACATTTTGTATTTTAAGAGGTAAAGTTAGTAAATGTAATTATTAAGTAAACACCTAATATGTGGCCTAGTTAATCTGTTTACTGAGGAGAAAACAATGTGACCTATAGGATCAATATTAAATTATCTATATTCAGTGTCTGAAATAGCTGCCTGCCGCTATGTAACATTTCTGTCATGATAGGGGAAATTTATTCCCACCTGCCTGACTGTCCAGTAGAATATGTCAATACTTATTATTAGGGCTTCAAGCCTAAAAGGCTAAGATCCCTATTGTAATCATTGTAATCATTCTGTTTATTAATTATTATCATCTATTATTTCTTATTCCGCCATTTTTTGTACCAGAGATAACTCAACAACCAATGATAAGCACTCCAAAACAATCATCAGCAAGAATCTGAAGACTGCTCCCCTAACAATCTCATGGCTCTAGACTCAAGGACAAAGTGCAGATATTTCAAAGTTAACTCACTGAAATCAACTTTTACCAGCAACTATCTCAGAAACCAATAGTCTGATGGCCTCCAAATTCTGGATACGGAAGTGGCTTCAGAAACCTATCACTGTTACCTTGATATCCCATCCGCTAAATGGCATCATTTGGCAGCCATATTGGACTTAAGTTTTGGCCATGTATTTTACCATTTTTCTCAGTACTTGTCAGCCAAAATCTGCTCAAATGAAAGTATCCAATCAAATGCTTCCAAATTCTACATACTTTGTATCCAAGTCACCAAGAGACTTAAATGACTATAAAAGTCCAGTTCCCACCCTTGCTGAACTAGGCTGGTATTATGGAGTTACATTTTGGCTGGACTAACAAGTCTATGCATAGTCCAATCAAAATCGCGCACCGAAATTGAAATCCGGTTTGTAAACTGTCGTGCAGATTTTGGTCAAATGCAGGATTTGCAAAGCATGTGCACCACCAACTCGTTGTCAGCAGATATTTTCCAAATCTTCTCATGTTTTTAATCAAGGTGCTCACGTGATTTGATGCATTTCGCGATGTAAGACCTGTTTTATCACAATATAGATATTGATTATCAATCCGATTGTCCTGACCGGGCGCAACCATTTTGTGTGAACCAAACGCAAGTGATACGAGAGGTAGAATCTGATTGGTCCTTAGGAGAGGCATAGAAGGGACACAATTGGTAATAGCCACTGGTGGCGCTACGATCGAGCCCAGCAATTCCAGCCTCGTTCGGCAAGGGTGGAAACTGGACTTTTAAAGTCAGTTAAATCTCTTGCCTCAGGAAGATGGTACAGACCTTATTTGACAATTTTGTAGGGAAGACATCTTCCGCAATATTTTCCTCTGAATACAGCAGCTGCATTAGTTACACAATTTGCAGAGATTGTCTCTCACCACTCTTAGATATCTCATTTGGTTGCCACCATCTTGGATTTTACTTCTTGTTTTAACTTTTTCATAAAGTTTGCTATAAAAAATCTGCAAATTTGCAGTACATAGCAACATTATAAAGGTGAGGTGAGTCGAAATAACGTTGCATCCTAGATTATTGCACTTATATAGCACGTGTGTGTGGCTGCTTGTACTTGTCCAGACTAATGCCGATTTTATAGTGCCAGCCAAATGAGATACCATGTCGCAGTTTAACATGAATACCCCACTCAGACACAGTCAACGGACGACCAGTCCTTGTTTGTATGTCCTTTGTGTGGCGTCCATTTGGATTCTACTAGTTCCTAAATAGAAAGCTTTGCAAATTGGCATGATGCATAAATCAATAGACACTGGACCAAAAATGTTCTTTGACGCTTGTTAAAAGTTGTGTCGTTTGGCAGCCAATTTGGACTGAATGCATTAATAAATAGAAACGGCATAAAATGTCATAAAGCTCATACTCTACTGGCCAAACAGCTTCTAGATTTGGCATGTGGCACCATCATATTAAACAAAATAAGATTTGGTTTGACTTTACACCAGTTCCTCCGTCAATGTAAAAGCAGCGAATAGTGGTGTTTTTTTATGCAATTTATAGACGTTTCTTTCAACACAAGGACAAAACGCCAATAAAATATGGGCAATACCCCCATTTACTGCCTTCAATGACGGACATTCAGGTAAAAGTATAACAATAACCTTGGAATTATCAATCTTGCTGACTGTGCTTTTGATTTGAGGTTCATAAGTTTTCCTAAACTTCATGTGGTATATCTGTACTTAAATCCAGAAATATAAGCTTTGATATAACTTGAGCTAAAATCATAGGACCAATCTCATTCAAACTAGATCTTAGGTCTCGCTACCTCAAAACAAAGATCTGAAGACATCCCATTACCAATTACAGGTCTCACCAGAACAACCTTTCCCATACTTTGGCCGGCCGAAAGAACACTACAAAAAGTTAACATTAGCCAATCAGAAAGCAGCTTTCTCTACCTTTATGGCACAAGGTTCAAACTGGCGACTTCCTTTCTGGACTATGCTTTGAAAAAGAAATTGATTAAAACTTGAAAACTAATAAATGACCGAGAGATAGACCATGATTTTGACGAAATCAGTGATACAGCCCATAACTGTCATTCGGAATACGATGTGTTAACCATTTCCAGTTTGCATGATTAGAAAACACATTCCAATTGAACTTTCCCAATCTGGTAAGCAACTTCCTGATTGGTCGGATGAAAGATCGCTCTGACATGACCCATAATGGTAAGACCTAGAGATCTTTGTTTAGCGCTAGCAAGAACTAAGATCTGATTTTAATGAGATTGTTATAGGACTTTCAGTCGAAAAGTGTTTGGCAGGCCGCCTTTTTTTCAATACTGGAAGTGACATAATCAAAGCAGGAAGTCAGCATCTGTTTTCAGAAACCACAAATGACATAATCCAAACCAGAAGTACTGAACACTTTGTTACAAGCTAAGCTAGTACCATGAGAATTCCATATCAAAATCCTAATTAAATGATGTGTTTACCAAACCTGGAAGTGACTTAATCTAACCAAGAACTGCCAAAACCTTTTTCTGAGATAGAAACCAGGTAACTTTCAGATTTAAGTGAGTGAGTGAGTTTGGTTTTACGCCGTTTTTAACAGTATTCCAGTTATATCACAGCGTGTCAGCTTAATGTGGGAGGAAAGCCCGAAGTGATGCAGGTCTCAGACGTTTACCACTTCGGTGAAACCCATGAGCACGGGTATGGTGCTGACAAACCTAGAAACATAATGGGGGCGAACCGGGATTCGAACCCACAATCATAGGTTTCTGGCGTGCCCAAGGGACGCAACTCTGCACAGCGAATCGCGGCGCTTTAGACGACTGGGCCACCCGTGCCCCCTCAGATTTAAGGCTTTAATGCAGTATGAATGAATTTTCTGAAACCAGAAGTTATTTATAGCTAACTAAAAGTAAACACTAATAGCCTTGTTGCAATACAAGCTACAAGTACAACCATGGAACTTTCTCTAAAGAAACAAGAGCTACAGAATATTTTTTTTTTTCTGTTTCTAAGTACAATGACAGATGGTATCTGTTGACTTTCATAAGACTTTTTAAGACCAGACAAATTTACACCTTAAAAACTACCTAAGTGAACTAAAATGATGAAGAACATAGATACGTAAGTCCTTTCTGATTCGCCAAAGGTGTGGGGATGCGACTGGGCAAGTACCTCAACCTTGATAAAGCAGTAAGAGTGGTGTCCTTTGAGACCAACATTGCCGCTCAGTCATATTTGTATTTATTTTTGCAGTTATTTTAAATTTACTGTATTAAAAAGAATCTCTTTACATCACTCCAAATCACAACTGAATTTTTTCTGAGTCATGTCAACATTGCCTGGTTATCAGCTTCAGTGTTTGTGAACATTTGAACCAAATATTTGAGTGGTTCATCTCAGGAAGCGGACCAATCGAGTGGAGTTTCTATGAACCAAAGTGGAAATATATATTTAGTGATTTCACAACCTCACACTGAAGTGTCAAAATCAAAAATGACCTACCCAACCCACGTAAACGGAGGAATTACAAGGACCACATGCTAGATTTTTTTGTCTACTGGGGTTTTAGGTTTTGGTTCAAAGCTGATCTTTCTTCTGACAACCGATCATAACATCCATATTTCATTATCCATCTCAGATGAGATGTTTAAATGCAAAAGTTTTCCAATAAAAAGACGCAGAAGCAGATGAGTTGCAATCGTATTCACACTAGCTATAACAGGGTGATGACGATAACAGAAATAACTGTATATTACAAATCAATAATACAATTTTTCAAAATTGCATTGTACCAGATACCTTCGTCCATTTCTAAGTTTTTCAGCTGCCATTTTTAGCCGTTTCACTAAATTAGTAGGGGCTTTGGAGACTTCCCCACCACACGAGATCATTGTAATAAAAGCTTTTGTAAGTAAATGTCATCTTCAGTCACCAAAGACAATTAAAAATACTACACGTTTGTTGAAAAGTGGCCCTGCTGCAGAAAACTGATGACCTTGTTCCACGCCATTATGGAGCTTCTATTTTCGAGAAAGTTTTCATTGTTAATGCCTGATGTTTATGAATTGCTTTGGTTTTCAGTTTTGTGGCTTAATCATATAAAACCATACAAATGCACACGTGGTCATTTTCTGCTTATTTTCAGCTTTATCCCCCTATTTTTCAAAAAGAAACACTATCACATGCCCGTGTGTTCGAAGCATCAAATGCATATGGCCAACATGTATCCCGTCTAATGCAAATGTAGGATGGTACACTATATCTTGCGGTAGTTAATTAATAATGGATAGTAATGGCGCACGCTTACAGACCTATTAAATATGTCATACACAAAGTGTTTCTTATTCTTTGTTCAACTTTTATGACACATCAATCAGGACTGATCGATGCTGATTTTCTTTACCGAGTTTGGTAAACAAAGTACCTGTCATTAGCGACTCAAGGGCAAGCAACTCCATATTATCGCGGTATGGCTATGTTGTGGTGTGATATGTGTAGATTATGTGGCTTGCATCACTTACTGTTTTGAATTGTGCATAATAAGTATGCATACGAACTAGGCTGGATCAAGGGACTTCCGTCTAAACAAATGGGTTCTATTGTAATCAATTTCGAATGGAGGTATGGTTTATTCCACTTCACAAACATTCCAGAAACTATCATAAATAAAGTTAACATGTATATTTACGAGGAGCCATGACATACTGCAACCAGTCTTGTATTGATCAAGTGATGAAACATTGAGCTTAGATTTGCATAAGTAAACAGTCGACAGGGGGTGTGGTATTATAAGATTAACTAATACTGTGAAAATATGGAGAACGTGATAATATAGAGCCTACGATATACTAGAGTCATACCATACCATATATTTTCATTTTTTTCACTGGGAATAGACTATTCTTAGTCGTAAACTGGAACATATACGCTAGTATCTACAGAGTGCATTTTCCTCAGGTTTTGCCATGTTATATTACGACCAAAATTTATATTTCAAGGTTACTGTTGCTGTGTTCAAGTTACACCTACCTATTTTAGAATTGGAATGCAAGATAAACATCAAACCATGTACAAACAAATCAGAAAATTCTGACTCAAACTGAATAAACATGCATATATGTTGGATTTTACACACTAGTATAACACCTATATAATACAATGTTAAAACAACATAAGAATTAAGAGTTAATTAGACCTGTCGAAATTTGGATGAAAGGGTATCAGCTGGTTTCGAACAGGATATATAACCTTACGAAACACTAATGCACCAATAGTCATTTGGATAGGCAAAACAATACTAATGTTTTCACGTAATATACTTTTAAACATGGAACAGATATATCCGGAGCCGAGTACATGGAACAATCGACTCGTACAAAACGTTTTAACAATATTTCATAACGCATTATTTGACTTATGCCTGTACACAGAACTAGGCCTACCGCAGGCGTTCCTAAAACCTTACCCGATAGGTCAGATTTCTGTAAAACTATCCCTGATGTTGCATCCAATATCTTCAAAGATGGTTCTTTTGTAGTTAAAATGATGGAATTAAGAGACGAATGATACGTTACACCTGTAACTGTTTCCCCAACGGATAAACATCCGTCTTCCCCGACGAACCACTGCTTGTCAGTGGCCGCCATGCTACCATCTAAACTCTCGTCCTCAACATGACATCACGACTAATTTCGGAACTTGATTTTTTCTACGCTATTATTATTGTTTGGTGATCCGTTTGTTAAATTTTACCGAGAATATACGTGTATAGCATGAGCACACGCGTTTTCTATAAAAAGATCACTTTATTGCATTTTTTCACAGGTGACGTCACGTGATGGTTTCGAATGATGTTACCCACAATACAAATGCTCGTAAATAAACTAGACTGGGTTCCTGTCTACCTGAACTAGTAGACAGGCGGTGGATTTGTCGTAGGCTGCGATTGGATGACACTAAACATAGCGTTCATTGGTCCTCGGTATCGAAAACAAATAGTTGACGACGTGAAGGTTGTTAGCGAAGGAAAGGTGCTGCCAACAAAATTAACATTAACAGAGCAGTTTGTCGTAATCATTTTCACTCAAAACGATCTTTTGTGGTGAGCGCATGTCTCCAAGTTTATTCGCATTCGTTAATAATAAACCTCTCGATTCTGGAAGTTAGAACATATATATATATGTCCCCTTCAACCCTCACCAAGTCTTCAATGAGTAGCAAAACTCAAAATACATCACGAACACTTATACAGTGCACAGTTGTGAACTCTTCGTGACATTCTCTGTTCTGTGGTATCATTCACAGTCCTTCTACGCAAAACAAAATTACTGTAAACGACTTCTGAAAGCTAAGTAGGCCTACATAGTGTCAATATCGCAATTTGTTACATTAAATACTAAATTACCATTCACAGCATCATTTCATCTTTTGAAATCAAAATATATTATACTTACTCAGAGAATTTAATTACAAAAGCATATATATATATATATATATATATATATATATATATATATATATATATATATATTCCTCATACATTTTAAACTCAGTTGTCAAACAATCAAACCAATGATCTAGGCCTAGATGGAAACAAGCAAAACAAAACAGGTGTAGAAAAGGAAAGCTGTGCTCTGAAAACCGTACTTTTTTGAAAATGTAAAAAAGCCGAATCCAGATCATTGATTTGCAGCGTTTTCTACTAATTGGAGAAATCCATTCATCTATTCGTCATATTATTTGGTCATATTATTAAATTATTAAAGAATTAGGGGATTGGGTAGGTAGATTACAGTGATTTGGTAAATACAAAGGAAAGTGTCAATAAAGTTCCACGTGACGCCATGACTGACGCAAACTCGCCCACAAGGTCGACAGTATAAATTTATTTTCATGTTCCACCGAGTCTTTCGGTTGGAATGAAAAGCATAAAAACACAAAACAATACGCAGATTGTCCTAATCTTCCTGATTACTTATAGGATTCATCTATGTTATACGATCCCCGAATCAGGGAAAATCCTCCCGAATGTTTGGCGTATTCCTATCATTGAACACGCAATGTTCTGAAAGAATGTCACTGATGGTGATGTCATTTAAGAATTGACTTTGACTTTTTGTGAGTTTATTGGAGTATGAACCTGCCTAACCTTCATATCTCTCGGGGGCGGTCGGGTAGCCTGGTGGTTAAAGCGTTCGCTCGTCACGCCGAAGACCCGGGTTCGATTCCCGACATGGGTACAATATGCGAAGCCCATTTCTGGTGTCCCCCGCCGTGATGTTGATGGAATATTGCTAAAAGCGGCGTAAAACCATACTCACTCACTCATATCTCTCGTGTGGGCCAAACTGTATGAACGTTGGAGCTTGTGACAACGTCCAAACAATCTTTGACTATCACTCCATGAAGGTTCATTCTTCAATGAACTCAGACAAAGTGAAAGTCATTTCTTATAATTTTGTATATCACTATTTCATACATCGAGGAATGTAGCGATAGATCTAAACCACAGGAAAATAAATAAATATAATAAATATATAATTTTTTATTCACTCAGCCATAACGAATTCCTGTGATCTGAACGTGTGACTTCATGTTCATACTGACAGCCATACACAACCAACCGTGGAATAAAATAGTTCCCCTAAAAGAGAAGTCACATGTGCGTATGCATGCACAACTTGCTCTACAGGAACATCTGTTAGTTTGTTTACAAAAAATGTGTTCAAATAATATCATCATAATTCATTGGATGAGAGAGGTCTGTTGAGAACAACCTCAGTAAGTCAGTCACAATGACGTCGGGATCCATAGTAAATTATCATCAAGAGATGGCCAAGTTACGCAGCGTGGAGCTATGCCCCGATTTCTCTGTGCGTGTGTATATCACCCACTCGTCCTTTGATGTCATAGTGGAAAATGGATTTTCGTATTGAATGTGTAACTTTATACGAAGGCATACAAATGCATTTGATATCTCATTGTCGTTCAAATAACAGGTTGAAGTTTGTCAATTTAAAAAGAATCGTCCCATAGTACTTTTAGCGGTCTACGATAAAGAGAGGCGAAAAAAATATCCCGAACAACACCATAACCGGATTTGGTACAACTTTTTACCACTTTATTTGGACGCCGCCCTTTGGTTTAATCGCGCTAAGCTTGCGTCGCGTACCAACAGTGGAACCAGTTTAGTAAATAAACTAGACTGGTACCCTGTCCTATTATCGGCGATTAAATACAAATACAAATGGACTCGCCTATTTGGTCATACGGGCCCATACTTCAGCGCTTCAATTTTTTAAATTATGACTTTATTTGTTTGTTTGTTGTTTAACGCCGACCTCAGCAATATTCCAGCTATATGACAATGGTCTGTAAATAATCGAGTCTGGACCAAACAATCCACTGATTGATGTCATGAGCATCGATCCACGCAAATGAGACACGATGACATGCATCAACCAAGTCAGCGAGTCTAACCACCCGATCCCGTTAGTCGCCTCTTTCGACAAGCATAGTCGTTACAAGCATGGGTTTTGGGCGGGTTTTTTTCAAGAACCGAGAAATAAATTATTGAGATCCAAAAATCAATTTTTAGAATTCAACAAATACCAGCATCCAAATACATTTCAAATTTGTGATATCTAAAGGGCCGGTCATTAATTATCCCCCGCCCAACAATGTTGGCGGAGGATATAGAAACGGGCTCCGTCCCCCGTCCGTCCGTCCGTCCGTCCGTCCCTCACGTTTCGTTTCCGGAGCATAACTCAGAAACCGTTCAATATATTTTCATTAAACTAAGCAGGTCTGTCAATTACATGCTGAACTGGTGCCTTTTGCTATTTAGAATTTTTAGAGATTTTTTATTTTTTACGTTTCCATGGCAACAAGATGGACTTAGTTTCCAAACTCTTCTTTTTTTACAATTTCCATGACAAGTTCCACCTCGGTTAAAAAAGGTTAAGGTTTGTTTAGATTTAATTATGTCATAAATTCTGCAACAGGGGCGGGGGATATAGCCACGTTAGTGGCAAACTCTTGTTATTATTGGGGTGGATGGATCAGTGGGAATCAGGGGAGGGTCACCAAAATGATGTCTGTCTCTACGGGAGAAACATTTTATAATAAATCGTAAAATGCTTTTGTACAAGGACATAGCTAGGGAGAGTTATCCAAACATGACAAGCATCACGGGCTTAGTGTTTGGTGCATCTGAAACCTCTGAAACCTCGGCTTCATCGTTCCTCGGTCTTACCAGAGACCATGAAATAGATCTATTTTATGGTCTGTGGTCTTACCAATATCGAGCTGATAACAGTTTCTGCGTGTTAACTGGGAGCACGATATACTGAAACTTAGACGAGGAAATGTGTTTCTTAACCCAGACACTTTGTTACGGCCGTCTGTCAACTTAGACTGGTACCCTGTCCTAGTTTCGCTGCGCAAGCTACACTTAGACTGGTTCGCTGTCCTCCATTCCACACACCATCTGAACGGTGTCCACCCGATCCGTCGAATTTCTGAAATTAAGGTAGGTAAAATAATTCTACGGATCGGGAAAATATATTCGTGTTTACTTAACGTGTCTGCAGTTAGAGTATTCCATTATTTTTTCTCATGGGGGTGATAGGGAACTTGACGCTGTTAGGGACAGTATATGACACCGGACACGAGGACTTGGTTATTTCATATTCTTTATTCTGTCGTAACAAGGATATAACAATAAATTTTCATATACATACAGCAATAACAGCATAATAAATAATCAATATATATATTATCAAACATTTAGTTTACCTTGATGATTCTAACAATGTTCATGATCTTTATTCATAAAAACGTTTACAATATCCACGTTAACATACATACACAAACATAATAAGTAATCATAAATGTAAATATTTATCAAGTAATCTTCATTCATCAATGATCTTTATTCATAAAAACGTTAACAATAGTCATGTTAACATCCATACACCAACATAAATATTTATCAAGTGATCTTCGTTCATCAATGATCATTATTAATTAAAACACTCGTTCTTCATGTTCAATAAATACATCATAGTTTCAGTCGCAAATTTCATTCACAAATGTCACCACACACCAAGAAGGTATGCCACATGATCAACATAGTCCACAGGACTCTCTCACCACGTCTCAGTCTGTCCTTTTCCCGTCGAATCTGCTCGTCGATCTCAATGTACCTTCGTCGGCGGCGTGGTTCACGGGGATGACCGGCAAGTTGTGCAATCTTTACCTGACTGACTGTTCTCTCTTGATGAGTGTGATTAAGCTGAATGTTATTAAACCAAATTGTTCAATTATAAAAACACATGAACATAAAACAAAATGATTTCTACATTATAACAAACAAAATAGAACATCAAATTAAAATATTCAGTTAACATAGAAAACGATATAAAATAATACTACTAATGTTACCTTTGCAACTGCGATCAACACATCGCCAGTATTTTGTGCAGTTGCTACCATCCGTTCACCCCTTAATTAGTGAAAGTAGATGCGCCCAGAGAGTAGTCATGGTTGAGTGGTAGCAAATATTCGACCGATCGGGAAAAACCCAGACACTTTTTTTTCTACAAATTGAAACATTTTAATTTCAGAAATTCGACGGATCGGGTGGTCACCATTTGAACCATTGGTGACATTCCGGGGCCTTCTTGTAACGGTTACGGAAAGATGCGAGTGGTGACGAATGCATCTGAACGCGTTCGGCTCATTCGTCACCACTCGCCCCCTTTCCTTCACGGATTGGTCACGAATGACGATCGGCTACCTACAAAAAGGTCCCGGAAAGTCACGAGGTGGTACGAAAACGCGCCAGTGCGCGAGGAGCGCAAGCGGTCTATGACAGACTAACCAGTATAACTACACTTTGCAGCTGCACCAGTTTACCCCTTGCAAGCTCGACACAGCGATAAGCTGGTTCCCGGCTCCCTATACGCGTTGTCAACTTGCGCCATAAGGCCCCCCATACCACCTTTCCAAGGATCTTGAAAATACTCAACACATTACAATCACTTAACCAGACTGTTAACATAAGTTTGATTGATGTAAATAGTTACTCAAAACCATTCACGTTTCAAATTTAATGGATTTCCCCATTTGACCGCACTGATGTGCAATATTAGACTTCATTACTACCATACATATTTGTGACACTTTGAAAAGGAATGTCCCCGTCATACTGCTGTCACTCAGCTACAATGTTGTACAGATTTAGAAGTTTGTTTGTTTGTTTGTTTGTTGTATGGAGAAATATTCCAGCTATTTGACGGCGGTCTGTAAATAATCGAGTCTGGATCAGACAATCCAGTGATTGACATCATGAGCATCGATCTATACAACTGGGATACGATATGACATACATGAACCAAGTCAGCGAGCCTGACCACCCGATCCCGTTAGTCGCCTCTTACGCCAGCATAAATTTAGAAGTGATGACTGGCTGAATAAATACAAAACCATCCATATAGGGCCTTTTGTTGCGTAAGGGACATTGATTTATTTCGTTGGACCAATGGTTTTAATAATTGTGTTGTATTTGAATGTATTTTAATAAAATATAGCTAGAAAATATCAACACCGGCCATGATTTATTGCTATTCTATTCCATTAAATGTTTTAAACATAGGTAATAATTTATACCACATACAGCACACTATTTTGTTAGCAGAGTTACATCATATATCTTACGAGTTGTTCCTGTTTTTGTGCCAATGTTGGCACAACTTTCCACTTCTAAATATAAACACTTTTGCATCATGGAGTGGAAAGAACAAGTTCTGAATATTTTCAGTGGGACATTTTTATTGTATTCGTGGCTCGACATGTGTCGACACATATAAATTCCCTAAATGCGCATGTCAAGTGTATAATAAAAATCTTTCTCGCATAGCACAATTAGAGAATGTATTCGAAAATCAGCGAAATGTTTACGCAAAGAATACGTTAGACTGTGTTTACTATTATTTCTCTACATACAGATATCATGTACGTTAAATGTATGAAGGTAATATTTTTGCAAATTTAATTTCCTGCAATCAGTTACAATAAAAAATTTGAATGTCTTCCCTGCTCCTGATGGCGGCACATTTAACAAAATGACTAAAAGTAGTTTGTGACGCTTCTCAGTGGAGGCTTTTGTCGAAGGGTAATGCTTCGTCTAAAAATAGCGACCAATATTATTTTTTTATAACATAGTGTATGTCTAATATTTCGAAGGCGTTGACAGACATCGTTTCTTTGGCCTTCGTCGACTCTTATATGTGATATGAGAGACGGGGCCCAGCTAAACCACTGCGATAGTCCGTTCGGATGTTACCGAGAGTGTAACGAAGGTGGCACGCGCTGGGAGGGAGCTTTGTCTTGTGTTGTGTAGCGCAACTGGGACATGATACCAGTCTGTCTGTCAGCTCTGAACGACAACACACGTGCAAATGTGACTGGACTTGTAATTTTTGTGTAGTTTATTATTATCATTGTCAATAATATTCGCCAAGATGTCAGAGGGCGGCTTTCAGGTTATAACACAGAGTGTTGTTAACGTCAGAGTGACAAGCAACGTAAATACTTTTGGAAGTGAAAGACGTTTCCAGAAAGATCTGACAATCGCAGACTTGAAGGTGTGTTTCGGTTGGTTATATACATTTAGATCTACGTGTTTAACCTGGGCACATTCCACAGGAACTCGTTATTGGTCAGTGAAAAAAAATGTATACCCCTATATGTAAGTAGAGAATAACGAGTTCCCGTGCAACATTCATAGTAACAGTAATTGGTCAGAACAGTAACTGAGTAAGGTCCACGATGGCGGTTCAACTCTTGGTACAATCACTTCGTGCACACACCATTTTTTTCCAAATCATGGATCCTCCTGTGTTGACGCACAAAATAATTTTGTTTTCTTCCGTTCAATCTCTCACAACAACATTCATCGTGTGTATACTTTTGATAAGCACCCCATTTGTCAATTTTCGTAGTCCAGTTTAATTTCTATAGCTAATCGGTAAATTTAATAGAACTGATTATATATTTGTGATACAAGATAAATATATATTATGAGCATAAAATAACAAGTATCATTGCAAAAGTGAATGTGTACAAATGTATGTATACATGTGTGACTACAAAAGTTTATTCATGATTGTGTACAAAATTCATGTATTTGTCATGTGTCAAAGTAAGTACTTTAGTGAAAAAGGATATGGATATACAGTAAACATAGATATACACTGAACCGATGCCCTTTTCTGCTCCAGATTCATTCTTGAAGCATTACTCCATAACACTGTGAAACATCAGACAAATGGTGCACTGATGCCACCCTGCTTGATAATGGTGTCAGTATGTACACTGAAACATTGCATTCATTGTAATGAAGAAGTTGTATAAGTTTATCAAGAAACATCTTTTATGCCATAGCCACAAAAAGTAATGTTGGAAAATGTACATAAGTCAATCAGTTAGCAAAACAAATGACAGAAAGTTTGAATTAGATTATCCCCCTGCTAAGCTAGTGTCGACTGCAATATGTAAGGTGTAGCCTTTCTACATGAGGCTGTGATGCTCCGCCGCTTCTATCGAATGTAAGGGCAAGCACGTTTGCTGGGCAGACCTCCATTTTTGATACCATGTTTGTGACAACTGGTGCCGTACAGGAGGAAACAATGTTGTTTGCACCAGTTAAACCGTTACTTATCACCCGATATGATACCTACGTGCGCACCAGGAACACGCTTGTAAAACTGCAGTGTTTAATGGCAGACGTTACAGAGGACGGGCAAGGGAGATAACTCTGATGACTTGCCATTATAATAACCACAAACAATAATGTTAGCTTTGAATGTCTTGTGTTGGAAGCCGCACCACATTTCTAGGGTCAGTAAGGTAATGAGAACTATAGATTTTAGTTTGTTTTGCCTTTGTCCTGAAGGGAGTGTTCATGGGAGTTTACTTTTTACTGATAACAGAACAAGATTGAGCTGTTGACAGGGGCGTCATCTGGAACCATGAAGCTGTCACTAAATGACAAGGACAACAAGAGGGTATGCCAGCTTGACAATGATGCTGCACTCCTTGGCTCCTACCCTATAGAAGATAACATGATTGTACATGTAAGTTACAGCTGTTAAAGGAGTACTTGGTTGTGGTTTCACTGTTCAGTTTTTGTTCATGTTTTTGACAGATCCTTTAAGGCTATTGAACAATGAACTGAAACGTGACATGGGTGATCCAACCAGCAGTGTCTCTCAAGTTTGTTCAAAGTTAATTTTAGGATGTTATAAAGAAAAGTCTTGTCAATGTTAAAGATGTGAAAGGATGCTATGCTGTGTGACAATGATTTACAGATGATACCTTTGACAAATATGGATTTCAAACCGTAGACACCATTTATCATGTGTTAAGCCTGATAAGTCAGAAATTAGATGGATTTTCACTGTGCATTGCTGTACCATCATTTTGAGACTGAAATAATTTCTTTGCAACTTTACAGGTAGAAGATAACTCTCTAATAATTGGAGAATATGAAGATGTTTCAAGAGTGGAAAAGTATGAAATGGCTGAGGAAGACTATTCAAAGCGAACAGGTGACATATTGGTTCAGAAATATCATCTTTCATCATTTTCAGTTTTATAACGTGATCCGTTCCAGAAACATGGACTGAGTATTCTATGAATACACAATGCCATTTAGAAAGTGGTCAAATGTAACAAATGTTATATTTGGGATAACACTTATTATGAGTATTCTATGTTGATGAAAATGGACTAATGGCTACATTTCAGCCACCCAGGACTTGAAAAAAGGGCGGCCCCATGGCCCTCTGAACCTCCAAAATGTGGGCCATTCAGGAAATCTGATGGGCCATTGCTAATAATATTGCTGAAAGTGCCTTCTGTATTGCATAGTCAAGACTTTGTATTTGATTCTCTGTCGATTTGTGAGTGAGTGAGTGAGTAGGGTTTAACATCGCTTTTAACATTATTCCAGTTATATCGCGGCATGTCAGTTTAATGTGGGAGGAAAGCCCGAAGTGATGCAGGTCTCAGACGTTTACCACCGGTGAAACCCACGAGCACGGGTATGGTGCTGACAAACCTAGAAACATAATGGGGGCGAACCGGGATTCGAACCCACAATCATAGGTTTCTGGCATGCCCAAGGGACGCAACTCTGCACAGCGAATTGCGGCACCTTAGAGGACTGGGCTACCCGTCCCCCCTTGTCGATTTGTGATCTCAACGTTTCAATGTACATGTACAGTAATTGTCAAATTTTTAAACTTATCCTATCTCACACTTTGCATTTCTCCCTTCTTCTTCGATCCTATGTGGGAACGTGCTTGAATCATGTTTCCAGCTTCCGAAAATAAAAATAGCCACCCAAGCCCCCCTGCATCTCCATGGTTATTCAAAAGCTAGGTCAATTACGTGCCTCTCGTGCACACAGTGCCTGCTTGAACTGACCTCATGTGTGCCTATACCGTTTCATTCTCTTTTGCAGAGCTTTATAAGGCTAGAGTAATGAGATGCGGGGATGGTGAATACATTGCTTTTTTCATTGGTTACACAACATACAATTTTATAGCCGCAGGTTAAGTTCAAGCCCATTCCTTTGAAACATGGAAGGTCCATACTTAGTGTCAGGGTCTTCAAATGACAGGATAACTTGCAAAGTATCAACTTGTTTAAATGTTTCAGACAGTGTCAGGTCATTTAAAGAAAGAAATAAGCTTGGACGTTTTGATCCAGAAGAACAAGCTCGTAGACAAAAAGATGCACAGCAGAAAGAGGAAGAAGAGAAGAAAAGACTTGAAGGAATGAAGATAGGTGATCGGTGAGTGAATAGAATATGAAACTACCCAGTCCCTTGTCTAGGGTCTCTGCATTATGTGGATATCCATACATACTATCACCAACCCTTTCAACCCAGCACCGGGGGCACGGGTGGCCCAGTCGCCTAAGGCAGAGTTGCGACCCTTGGGCACGCCAGAAACTATGATTGTGGGTTCGAATCCCGGTTCGCCCCGATTATGTTTCTAGGTTTATCAGCACCATACCCGTGCTCGTGGGTTTCACCGAAGTGGTAAACGTCTGAGACCTGCATCAAGCTTCAAGCTTTCCTCCCACATTAAGCTGACACACCGTGATATAACTGGAATACTGTTAAAAGCAGCGTTAAACTCAACTCACTCACTCAACCCAGCACCATCCACCTTAGCAACATTGTATGCTGAACAAAAATAGTAAGGGATCATGAATATTGTTTTGGATAGTGAAGACTGTGCACACAATTTCATGTAAATATCCCCCAAAATAGATCCCTAATGTTTTCAGTTCATGATATAAACCTGCGTAGATTAGAAATATCTAGTTAAACAAACTTCACAAAGAAAACTGCATAGAACATCGGAGTGAATAAGGAAATGGGAAGCTGAACTCGTGGAAATGGCTGCCTTTCGTGAGCCCACATAAATGAGGATGCTTTAAGATTTGACCTCGCTTTCCTTTTGGCTCACCTGACTTGAAAGTTTTACGTAAAGTTTCACCGTTGTGTATTGTACAGCTTCCCACATTAGGGGAGTGGATGACTGGTTTGTTCAATCTTTATTAGAACTTATGATGACTTTTTCAATATAATTACAACGTTTTCCATCTTATATTATTGAACATCCGCAAGTACCGGCACAGTCTTGCAGTCGACTTTGTGGTGTGTTTTGCCTTTCACTTCCTGGTTCGGCTTATCTGCGGGTTATATCATTTTCTTTCATATTTCAATGGTCAAGTTAATACCTCGGCTTATCTACGGAGTCGGCTTATCTGCGGTCATATACGGTAACAATGATCTGCAACAGTACATGCATTCTTGCAGGTTTGGAAACTTTGTGAATAGTTAGTTGTTTGTTTCATATTTGTTGATGTTCCCTACTTTGCAAGCACCCATGTTTTCAACTTGAAATACCATATAAGCCTTAATAAGCGCTCAGGGTGCATGGAAATTTGACCAAGTGGGGCGCTGATTACAACAACTTATTATCAGAGATGGAGTGGCAGTGAAAAACTCCAATTTAACCCAAAAAAAGTTTTTCGAGAATGGTTAAAAAGCAATTACATGCCCCTTTTAAGATTCTGTGTTCTGAAAAACACCCATATATTACACAAGAAATTATGTACTGTCATGTCAATTTTCAGTCTTTGTTAGGGGCGCTTAGAAAGATTTTTTAAAGATTGGTGCAGAAGTGGAATGGGTGGAGCAATCTCAAAAACCATGAGAGATATGTTAACCAAACTAGCCACATAGATAGGTTTAGTGGAGAACTGGTGCCTTTTGACTGTTTAGGACTTTTGAAAACTTTATTTTTTTGCGTTCCCGTGGCAACGACTTTGACTTCGACTGAAAATGGCGGTTGTGCTCCTTTCCAGAGCAGATCTGGAATATTTGCGGTGGGTATGAGTATTTCATGCTTGTTTATTTTTGATGCCGCCAAATGTCTCATTGCATGTTGCAGTTGTGAAGTCCAGATCACTGGTCAGCCCAAACGAAGAGGAACAGTCATGTATTTTGGTAAAGTATTTTGTATTATTGGCCTTAATAGGTGTTTGGGATGGCAGTGGAAGTTTGGAATGTGTACTGATCATGTCTCACTCTTTTGTGTCTTTTTCCTAACAAGATTTGAGAACTTTGCTGGCAAACACAGCCTGAAACACGTTGAAACACCTTACCCAACACAGCGCACCCATGAAGCATGAGGCGGCCCAAGGTGTCATTCTTGTCTCTTTTGCCAAGTGATCAAGACTTGTGTTTTTTGCTCAATACTACACTTCATCAAAGAAGTAGAGTAGAATGTGGTTTTACACCACACTACACTTCACCAACTTTAATTGAAGTGGATCCACATATTACCTAGACCTTCATGGTTGTTGTGCCACGCCTCATTTCATCAACTTTGCTTCATGCCATCCTCGACGGAGCCTGCAATCCTCAAGGCGTGGTGCATCCAGGGGTCCAGGGATTTCATAGCTAAAAATACTTGAATGTTTACCGAGCTAATGCTATCATCAGCAGACCAGCGGATATTGACAATCCATTCAGGACTCCATGAGTTTATATCAGCAGTACGAAGAGCGTTGTTGTAATTGGAAGTGTCTGTTGATTCCACTGTCACCACCGACACATACAGAGGTCACATGCTCTACAGTCACCGATTTGATTCGTTCCACCATTCCCCAGGCTTCTGCTGCTGAGCAATTACCTCCCAGTACCATTAAGGCGCACAAGACTTGTGGGCTCACCTCTAGTCTTTTCTAGTCACTAAGCTGAAGACATTGTTGGCCCTCACCAGTTTGGCCTCTTGGTAATTGCACCGCGAGGGATGACATCCTGTTGACGAAGATGAATTTTCCTCCCTGAGGTTGTACCTGTACACTGAAGAATCCACATTGCCATCTTGATTGTCACGCCTGGTTTATTATTGTGTACATGGTTATTCTCAACTGAGAATTGTTGTAGTCATTAGCGCGGTTGCCTGTTGAGGTTACACCGGTTATTTGATGTTAATCAAGTTGTGTGATTGGAGAGTTTTATGTGACCGCTATGAAATGTTAGATGATGGATCGACCTCCCTCATGTCTCACAGCATAAACTGACTGCCCCTTTTACCCCTCTAGAATCGACTCGTCTTACCATTCTTCAGCTTCTTCCAGGTGAGGTGTTTCAAGTTTCAGACTGTTGCATTTGGAACAAAGTTTCTTATGCCGATAAAGAGACGAAAGGCATAGTGTGAGTCAGGATAAGTAATAGATTTTAAATGTAAAAAATTAGCAGTGTTTTTTTTTTTCCCCTACCTCAAGGTGTTTTTTTTCATTTCATGTACAGGATAAAACATGCCACCTAGGTTTTGGTTGAAAATGTAAGCATGAGGGGGAGAGAATAGCCTGCAGCTCAAGGGCTGTTCCTGTGCATTTACATTTTCAACCGAAGTTGAGAAGTGTTTTGTCCAACAATAAACTGTCAAAATAAATGCAAAAATAAGAAAACATTCAGATTTCTTATTGTGAAACAAGAGTGCAGTCATAGTATTAAAAGAAATCGATGGCAGCACCCGGGAGGAAGACCATGTGCAGCATGCAAACATTTGAAGTCATGACATGGAAGATTGAACACCTTTTATCGCCTTCCCTGATGGCTCAGTGGAAAAACTGTGGGTTACATAAAGTAATACATATATAATACAATAAACAATACATATATAATACAATACTAAACATATGTGAGGTTGTAGGTTGTTTTATATGTATGGAAGTTTCAGCTGAAAAAATAGATGCTTATTAAAAGCAAGTAGGTCTTACAATTCCAATGTAAAACCTCAGCAGGTCTTACTTGACAGTAGTACCTCTCACAAGGTTGCTTTGATACCCAGCAAGATACCTACAATACCATAGGTAAAAGTATCAGTTGGTGGATATGCCTTGGGAAACCTCTAAATGTCAGACCAGTGTCCACTGGACCGTGACTTAATGGTAAATACACAGAAACTATAGTCAAGATTGAGGAGACATATTTTGAAAGAAAACATGCTAACAGTTGGATAAGCTGATTATGTCATTTATGATTGACATGATAAGTTATCTCAGAATACCATAATTCCTGTGAATATCCTACCTCTCTTACGTCATTGCCATAAAATCCTGTAACATCACATTATTCAACAGAAGTCCTCTTCGCTGTCAACTATCCATAATCAGTTGTGCAAGTAACAGTATCTTGCTGCCCAAGGCAAGGCTATAATTAGTAGTTTGATTGCTAAGGATTTATACACCTGCTGGATGTGCAGAGATTTGTGGAAGCCAGGTGCTCTCAGTGCACATCCCTCTCCATTGAGATTGTCTCCGTAGAGGTAGAGGTAGTATTCTTAGAATTAACAATAACTATTGTTTTGATGTCTGTTTAGATCGAGATTTGTCCTTGCACAGGTTCATTGCAAAACTCTGTCCATCAGTCTTTCGGAACCTGTTAGACTTGTCTTTCATGTGATCTTGTCAACACTGAGTCAAGCATCTAATGTAATTTCAGGTGACACTGAGTTCAAGCCAGGCCTGTGGGTGGGAGTGAAGTATGACGAACCACATGGCAAAAACGATGGCAGGTCAGTTGAATCAATAACAAGAAGAATGTTTCCACTTGTCTTTGTTCTGATATTCTGCTGAAAGAATCATTATTGGTTCGTCTGAAACTTTGATATTATCACACTTGCTCAAAGGTTTATGCATCTTTCAGTTTAATTTCTTTGTTTCTTTGGAAGTATTTGTGATGGTCTTCCGGCAGTTTGATTCATATAACAATATATATATAAATCTTGGAAAATTTCTGATGTCCATAATTTATTTGGGGGTCTTATGATTATTATGTAGTATGCTGGATTAAAACAAAATATTGACAGACTAGGGATAATAACCCAACTCAACTAGCTTTGAAAATGACAGTTGAAAACCTTGCAAAGGCCTTGAATATTAGTTTTCAATATCTGTATGAACCTTGAATTATCGTTGGAATAGGTATTGCCTGGTTCAGACTCCATTGGGGGCACGGGTGGCCCAGTCGTCTGAGGCAGAGATGCGTCACTTGAGCACGCCAGAAACCTATGATTGTGGGTTCGAATCCCGGTTCGCCCCGATTATGTTTCTAGGTTTGTCAGCACAATGCCCGTGCTCGTGGGTTTCACGAAGTGGTAAACGTCTGAGACCTGCATCACTTCGAGCTTTCCTCCCACATTAAGCTGACACGCCGCGATATAACTGGAATATTGTTAAAAGCAGCGTTAAACCCAACTCACTCACTCACTCAGACTCCATTATTTACAGGCCACCATCATGTTTCAGTCAAGATAGGTTAAGGTGAGCACGTTGTAAGGCATTGTGAGTTTCTACAGCATGGTTAGCTCGACAGGCATGGAACTATATTTACATGTTTGTTCAGAAAACGTTTCACGTATTGCTTGTGAAAATGGTTATTGAGATTAGAGGATATGCTACAGTGGTCTTTTTTCACTAATTTAACGAAAGGCATCAAAATTGAAAGTTTTGGCAATGATATTAGGACAATGTCTGTTGATGGCTTCACGTTGTGTGTTGCCCCATTGTTGCAGAATAAGAAACTATGTTGAAATGCGTTTACTTCTTTCATGTTTGATAGGAAATCCTCAATAGTTATGCAGAAAATATTTGAATATCTTTGTTGACATTTTATATTGTTCACTACATATCCAGGTGAGCTACAGTGTCATGACACTATTGATTAACTATTAATGTAGTAAATGTGTTATTTTCAGTGTTAATGGCAAGCAGTATTTTACTTGTCAAGCCAAGTATGGAGGATTTGTGAAACCCCTGAATGTGGAAGTAGGGGACTTCCCAGAAGAAGACTTTGGCTTAAGTGATGAGGAAATGTGAAGAGACAGCAGACACATTCAGCACGCTCGATCCAGTGGTCATTCCAGGAACTTATAAATGTAACCTTCAGAGCTGAGCTGCTGTCAGGTGGATGATTGGTCTTGGTTAGAAAATGGCAATAAAAGTGAAATTGAGAAAGATTCTTTCAATCTGAGATGAGCAAACCTAAAGATGGAAAGGACATTGTTCTCTCAAAACAGTGTCCCAAGTCCTGACGTAAGCCTCTCCTGCATTGTTGAACAGTAACTATAATGTATGTGCATGTGGTCAGTCCTGGGTGCTGTTGTACAAAACACCCTTAGCACTACGATTGTCGTAAGTCTATGTTAAGGTATGGGAGTTATGATCACCTTAACGCTGAGATCGCTTTGTACAATGGCACCCATATGTGTCGCACAGAAGCAAGCCACCAGGAAAGGAGATCACTGCGCTGCTTCCCACGAACGTCCTGTCGAATGGTGATCACATCATGTTGTAAGAAATACATTTACGTGCAGCAGCTATTTCTTCTTCTGCTTGTTTGTGAGTGAAGATCTAACAGTTGCTCTTCATCCGCTTCATGACAACACGATATCTGATATTCAAGCTGTGCTGACTACTGGGTCACAGAACTGAGTGTGAAGCATTGTTGTTGATTTATTTCATGTCCTTTGTTTTGGAGGCCATAATGCCAGACTGTGGAACAATGTGTACTGTCATACTGCTTTTCTTGTATTGCCTACCTGCCGTATCTCTTCTGTTTGCTTACAGACACTCATAGTAATACATTCACACTGTGCAGTGTTGTATACAGGTTCAAGTCTCATTGACATTCCTTTCAATGTTCTAAGTTCATATTGAAGTGAAGGGATCCTTTTCCTCATGTTCATTACCCCTATACTGTTGCCTAGATTCTAATCTAAAGGATGACCCTTAATCTCTACTGCTGCCTGCATTATGGGTTCTCATCAATGTGGTGGTTCCGGAGGTTTCAAAATATTACAATAAAGATTGTATAGATGTTTTCTCCTAAATATTTACATCTTGTGAATATATGTCTGTCCAATGATTCGAACAATTTCACTAACCTAAAAAAATACCATGCTATTGTTACATGTCCTGTCATGTATTCTTGTAATTCTTTTGTTTTATAAATTTTGTTACTGTGGATATATTCTATGACTGTTGTTGCCATGTGCTTTTAATAAATGATACATTTATGAGAACAATGATTTTGGATATGTCCTCTTTAAGAAGTAGGATGGTGTAGCATCTTGGATCAGTCCACCTGATGGTGTAGCACCTTGGATCAGTCCACCTGATGGTGTAGCACCTTGGATCAGTCCACCTGATGTCGTAGCACCTTGGATCAGTCCACCTGATGGTGTAGCACCTTGGATCACCTTGGAGGCTCCTAACATGATACCTACCATACGGAGACGCGCTCGGCTAATAATCGCTATTTCAAATTTCCTCAAATACAGAGCACTTCATTCCAGAACAAGTGCTATGAAAATAATTGATTAGCTGACTTGGTTGATGCATGTCCTCGATCCCGATTGCGTGGATCGATGCTCATGATATGAATCACTGGATTGTCTGGTCCAGGTCCAGACTCGATTATATACAGACCACCGTCATATACCTGGAATATTGCTGAGTGTGTTGTTAAACAAACCAACCAACCAACCAACCTTTTCTGGATGAATGAAAGCTGACATCAAAGGGTTTGCTGGGGACAAATGTGAAACCCACCAAATACAATTGAGGGTTACTGTAGGCATCTTTGAACAAATCGAGTCATTCCCATTTAGTCACCAGGTTGCCTGGATTTTGAATAATGAACCCACTTCATTCCCTGTTACACTGTTTAGTGGACCAAAGACTTCAAGAACAAAGCCACTGGGTTGTGTGAGTTAACTGAATGTAAAAGCACCCGCCCGCCAACACAGTTTTATTATCACAGATGTTTCCCACACACCCTGGAACGTTTTAACACACGCTTCCGCCAGCACCTTGGTTGGTGTGTTCGTCAGCGAGACACTTGTTTTGTCGTTCCAGATGAGATGTGGCTTGTCCACACACGGATCCTTCACAAGTTTATCACGTTTATCAAAATATGTTGTTGTCTCAGAGGGATTGAGCATTCTTGCCTTGACTGTGGGCAAGGAGCCGGGAGATGTATGTCGGGGTGGCGCTTTAAAAATCGAGCAGTGCAACCCTTAATGGACACGCGATTCTTGAAGGGGTGTTTAAGATTTACGGGCAACCTCAAAATAAGTTGGCGTCGGGTTATGCCAAATCCTGTCAGTGCAGCCGCCTTAATTCTGTGAAAAATCTCATCCTCAATTGCTTTGGTGGGCGCCCAAGACAACTCTCTCATATTTCCCCCGAATATGATCACTAACTGTCATGGCAGGTAAATACTTTTGATGCTGACATGAATGACAGACCCTGCCCCGTAACAACCGCAACTACACTTTTCGGGCCTGCTTTGAGTATTAGCGTATTTTCACCATCACAAAACTAAGTCTATCAATTTAATACTGCCCAATTTGAATGAATACAGAACCTGTTCGAGAATGTTGTCTTTATGAAGTCCATTTTTATGGAAATATTCGAGAACACGTCTTGCCCAAAAAATGTTGCAGACATGGTGTCGTTTACTTTTTCGGATATGCCAGAATACGACAAACAAGTTTAAGTGACGTTTAGAAGTTTGTATGATGAAAAATAGAGATAGTTCGTCCTTTAGACCAGTCGTACCTCGTCCCTGGCCATGGTATGAGTAAGCTTATACCTCCAGACCAGTAGTTCATCGTCTGCAATCCCCCACGTTATCAACGCAGTGACCCTCGGGATATCTCCTTTTTAGTCAAGTAGTTCCAAGAATACCCCGGAGTTGTAGGGATATACCTGACTTTACTCACTCACTCTTTTGGACATCCCTGTGTGTGTGTGTGTGTGTGGGGGGGGGGGGGGGGGGGGGGGGTCGGTCACGTGACAGGACGTTTCTCTTTTTTATGAACAAACGCGCTTAGTTTGAAATAAGAACAGACTGGTTAAATGTAAGCCTTTCGGTGCGCTTTACATATAGTTTTGCATAATTCAAATTATGCTACAACTGCGACAGTGAGGTGCATGACAATTTATCTTGACACATCCAAGCAACCGTTTCGCACATTTTAGGATATTTTCTCAATGATTTGGTTGGTTTGTTGTTTAACGCCGCACTCAGCAATATTCCAGCTATATGACGGCGGTCTGTAAATAATCGAGTCTGGACCAGACAATCCAATGATTTACATCATGAACATCAATCCACGCAATTGGGATCGATGACATGCATCAACCAAGTCAGCGAGCCTGACCGCCCGATCCCGTTAGTCGCCTTTTACGACAAGCATAGTCGCCTTTTACGGCAAGCATGGGTTGCTGAAGACCTATTCTACCCCGGATCTTCACGGTACTTTTCTCAATGAAGGATAACCATTCATTCTATGACATTTATCTAAATGTGTAAACTCGTGAAAAATATAAGATGAAAAACATATGCAATATATTGAATGGACAGTTTTAGATGTTACAAATCGTCACATGGCGCTGGCCTGTGGCAGCACTCGTAACCAACTTGTGTTATTCCGGGACAAGCCGAATAGCGCAGATTACGGAATGGGGCGAGTGGTGACGAATGCTGTGGAAGAGGTACTATGCCATTCGTCGACACTGCAGGAAACCTGCAAGAAGATTTCCCGGAATAACACGAATTGGTCACGAACGAGGAACTCTGGGTGGGAGAGTGACCCCATATGAGCCCGTTTACCGTCAGTAAAAATCCAAGGTGGTTGTTACTGACCTATTGTGAAACCGTATACCGTCAGTAACTTTTGGTATTTCTTAGAATTTTCTCAGACTTAAGACCTCTTTAGCACTCTAAGAATGTATATGAATACCGCCCCTGATTTTAATGAGATTGAGAAAGTCGTTCTTCGACTCTGTTTTATGTTTTAATATCATTAATTGTGATGTGCCTCGCGTGAGAAAATCTGCCATGAAGCGCTCCGCTAGGCCCTTAATTTCGGTGACCTGACATATAATCATCTGTCTGGCTTCGAAGCCTGCATCATTCATAGGCTGAATCGCATGATGATACCCATCTTCCCTAGGCAAGAGAGTTAACTGACTTTAAAAGTCCACTTTCCACTCTTGCCGAACTATGCTGGGATTCCTGGGCTCGACCGTAGCACCACCAGTGGCTATTACGAGTAATGTCCCTTCTATGCCTCTCCTATGGACCAATCAGATTCCACCTCACGTATCACTTGCATTTGCTTTAAACAAAACGCATGTGCCCAGTCAAGACGATCTGATCGATAATCAAGATCTATATATTGTGATAAAACGAGTCTTACTGATCGCGAAGTGCACCAAATCACGTGAGCACCTTGATTACAAACATGAAAAGATTTAGAAAATATCTGTTGACAACGAGTTAGCGGTGCACATGTTTTGCAAATCCTGCAGTCGACCGAAATCTGCATTACAGTTTACGAACCGGATAACGATTTCGGAGCGCGATTTTGATTGGACTATGCATAGACTCGTTAGTCCAGCCAAAATGTAACTCCATAATACCAGCCTAGTTCGGCAAGAGTGGAAACTGGACTTTCAGTTAACTCACTTGCCTCGGGAAGATGGATGATACCGTCCCGAGTTGACGTTATTTTTAGACATTTAGGAATTCCCCTAAAGTAGTTCTGTGTCTCCGCTCGTTTGACAGTAAATCACGCGATATACTGACGTTCATGGGGAAATATTGATAGTAGCGTGTGACCTCGCCAAGGTGAACACTACCAAGCTGACTGTCGTTCATTTCCCGATGAACGTCAGTATGTCACGTGATTACGTTGTCAATCGAGCGGAGACAGCCAGAACTACTTTAGGGGAATTCCATAATGTCTAAAAATTACCTCAAATAGGGACTGGTATCATCATATGACAATTTCTTTGATTGTGCACAGTTCACGAAAACTAAATGCCATAATAAAGAATGAATTTTGATCTTTTATAACATAATTGTTGTCACTAACGTCTGCTGGTATCGAACGCGTCGCGTGCTTTGAGCGTACTTCACTTGCCCACAGTTTGAGTAACGAAAAATGGGGTGATGGACTTTTTACAGGAAAAGCTAACTTGAATAAAAAATGTATACACACCCACACACCCACACACCCGTCAAAAAAGTTAACTACGGCCTTGCTTGTAGGGCCCTAAATCATCAGGGAAAACTACTGTAGTTTCAAAGGTTTCATAACTGATGTTACCAAATATTCAAAGTGTATTGCAAAACGGTGTACGGCCCACTGTCCGAGAGCGACATCGATTCAGGCTATGAATGATATGCAGGCTTTGAAGCCCGACAGATCAGGTATATATGCCGGGTCACCGAAATGAAGCGTCCATTCGAAGCTATAACAGAGAATGCTCGACTTACTAAAATTCGCGCATCATGGAATTTGCTCACGTGAAGCACTCTCTTCTTCAGCTGATGAACGTCAACAAATACAACCTCAATCCTGAAATTGATCACCTCTGATCCCAATCAAAATCGAGTATTTTCCAAATTCACGGTAGAATTTTCAATATTATATGTTAATGGCAGCTGAAATACATTTTTTTTAATGTTTGCGTACCACTCGTGCTTTTTCAATTTCCCGCAATAAATACTGAGCTCTCACGTGGAGAGTCCCGGATCGTGACCATGACGTCATCCCAGCAGGAAAAGACGCGAGCACTTGGCGATAACCAATCATATCTCGTAAGAGAAAGCACATCACAAATTCACGTGATCGCTAAAAATAGAGTTGGGGATTACCTCATTTCAACCCATGAAAGTTGTTTGACGCAGCATGAAAGAGCACTCCATTGACAGCGAGGAAGCGACTGCGTATGTGAGGTGAGCGATAAGCTTCCGGGTACCGTTGACAAAAAAATCTCAGCCCAACTGTGATCGCAAGCCTGTGTTAAAGTATGTGAGTGTAACCGGGTTTTTTTAGAAAATATCACACAAACGCAGGTTGATGGTCGGATGTCAGCCTGTATTAAAGTATGGGAGTGTAACCGGGGAGGTTTTGAGAAGATATCACACAAACGCAGGTTGATGGTCAGATGTCAGCCTGTGTTAAAGTATGGGAGTGTAACTGGGGTGGTTTTGAGAAGATATCACACAAACGCAGGTTGATGGTCGGATGTCAGCCTGTATTAAAGTATGGGAGTGTAACCGGGGAGGTTTTGAGAAGATATCACACAAACGAAGGTTGATGGTCAGATGTCAGCCTGTGTTAAAGTATGGGAGTGTAACTGGGGTGGTTTTGAGAAGATATCACACAAACGCAGGTTGATGATCGGATGTCAGCCTGTGTTAAAGTATGGGAGTGTAACTGGGGTGGTTTTGAGAAGATATCACACAAACACAGGTTGATGGTCGGATGTCAGCCTGTATTAAAGTATGGGAGTGTAGCCGGGGAGGTTTTGAGAAGATATCACACAAACGCAGGTTGATGTTCGGATGTCAGCCTGTATTAAAGTATGGGAGTGTAACCGGGGTGGTTTTGAGAAGATATCACAAAAACGCAGGTTGATGGTCGGATGTCATTTGTTTTATACTCTTGGAGAAATGAACGAAGGCCGTGTAGAATTAAATACACAGACTTATAATATGCAAAATACCTACACATACAATTAAAACATTACAAATATAACTTATTAACAAATATTAATACTTAAACTTCCATCCGTATCCAGCCTCCAAAAGTTATTGCCGCTGAATCCTTTTAATTATATGTATATTTTATTGGGGAGGGGAAGGAAGCGTGTCTTACCCACATTATAAGTACCTAGTTACACCATAAGTTAAGTAAAATCCACATGAAAATGTCATTTAAAATTAGCTATAATAAACTTGCTTACATACACAAAGTAATTAAGCAAAATATTGATTTTCACATGCACAATGAACGTTATATGTGATTTCACTGTGAATTTGAGTAATTTGTGCTATAGTTGTCATGTGCTAATGTTTCGGCCCAATACGGGAATTTAGAATAAAAACGTGTTAAAACATCTTTGTTAATTAGAAATATTAGTTCACATATAAAAGTGGACTTAATCTAAAACTGTTAAAATAGAAAATAGTGTAGTGTAATGAGATACATTAAAAAATTTGAACTGGTTTCAAGAGTGTATTGTTTTGATTTATCTTCGCTTCAATACACTCGATCATATATATACTTAACAACAAAAGTTCCTGTGACACCAATATTTTAGTGTATTTTTAAAAACAAGTAAAGTTTGGTTTTCTATATTGTTGTACATGTATGGAATCAAGTCTCAAAAAAATGCTACAGAAATGCATGCATTCCATGCAAAAGTTGACTTTTATGCAAGCCCCATGCATTTCACTACCCAAGAATGGGTATAAAAACATTAGCGTTAAAGGGATTCCATATGCATTGTTTAGCATCAGGCTGACAACAACCACTCAGAAAAACAACAAAATTACGCAATTATTCAACATTACGTAATGCCATGCCTGTCCGAAAATGAGCATCTGCGAGACCCATTGGTATGCTTGAAGCAGGATGGAGTCAACGGGATGTTACAAGACAATTTAACGTCCACAGAAACACCATTTGGTGTTTATGGCAACGTTGGCAACAGACGAATGTATTCAGAGACCATCCTCGGAGTGGCAGGCCACGCGTAACCAATAATCGACAAGACAACTGGATTCGAAAAACAAACCTACAAAATCGATTCCAGCCAGCAACAGTGACTGCAAGAAGCATCCCTGGCCTTCGACGAAGATCTTCACAAACCGTACGTCGTCGACTCAGATGTGCAGAGATTGTTGCCAGAAGACACGCCAGACATCCCATTTTGACAGGAAACCACCTTCAAGCACGTCTACAGTGGTGCAGACAGCATCTGCGCTGGACGGCCATGCAGTGGGGACAAGTTCTATTCACTGATGAGTCTCATTTTCACCTCAGCCACAGCGATGGACGGTTTCTAGTGTACCGACGTCGAGGTGAACGTTACGTCAATCATTGTGTCATGGAAGAAGATTGGTTCGGGGGCGGCAGCGTGATGGTATGGGTGGGATTACAGCAAGACAGAGGACCCGTTTGATAGTGGTGGAGGGAAATCTCAATGGACAGCGCTACAGCGACGAGACCATCGGCCCTGTTGTTCTACCTTTTTTGCGTCGTCATGGCCCAGGCATTACCTTTCCACATGACAACGCCCGGCCTCATATTGCTCGACTTGTTCAGCCCTGGCCGGCTCGCTCCCCTGATCTCACACCAATCGAGCACATGTGGGATGAGATGGATCGGCACCATCGATGTCAACCACGTGTTCCACAGACACTCTGGGAACTTCGAAACATGCTCCAGCTGATATGGACAGATATCCCACAGGACTTTGTATGACCCCTGGTCCATTTCATGAGACGAAGATGTGTTGCTTGCATCGCAACCAGAGTTGGACACACACGCTATTGATTTGTAAATTGACATTTTGGCATGTTCATGTTTTTTATGAAATCACACATGTTGTCAGTCCAAATCTTCACTCCAACATGGGAAAACTGCAGGGCTCACGAAATTAGAGCTCTGGCAACAATTCCACTTCCTTAGAACACAATATACAAGTGGTGGCGAGCTGTGAATGAAAATCCCACACTAAGTTTTCATACTTCTACTTACTTGATGTTCAAACCTATCCGTGAAGATATGGGGTAGAGAGGGTCTTCAGCAACCCATGCTTGCCGTAAGAGGCGACTAATGGGATCAGATGGTCAGGCTTGCTGACTTGGTTGATGCATGTCATCATATCCCAATTGCGTGGATCGATGCTCATTACATCAATCAACAGATTGTCTGGTCAAGACTTGATTATTTACAGACCGCCGTCATATAGCTGGAATACTGCTGAGTGCAGCGTCAAACAACAAACAAACAAAATTAGTTCAAACTGATCTGGAAGGACTATAATCATGCTGTAGTCCCCGGGACCCATGGTGGCAGCCCAGGTTAAAGTCTCCAAGTATTCCTGCCACCCTCTTCTTTCAGGAACTTGGGGGAGGGGCAGGGGGTCAAGGGTTTCAGTAGTATCTCAAGGTAATTTGCCTCAGTGAGTGGGCAGATTGCTGGCTAACAGTAACACTGGAATCAGAGGTCGAGTGAGTGAGTTGGGTTTAATGCCTGTTTTAACAGTATTCCAGTTATATCACGGCGTGTCAGCTTAATTTGGAGGAAAGCCCCAAGTGATGCAGGTCTCAGACGTTTACCACTTCGGTGAAACCCACGAGCACGGGTATGGTGCTGACATTCCTAGAAACATAATCGGGGCGAACCGGGATTCGAACCCACAATCATAGGTTTCTGGCATGCCCAAGGGACGCAACTCTGCACAGCGAATCGCAGCGCCTTAGACAACTGGGCCACCCGTGCCCCCAATCAGAGGTCAAGGGGATATAAAGTGATATACAAGATATCTACATGATAGTCTGGTATGTGTCATTGTACAGGAAGTGATGTCATAGGAGATCTCAGTACTGGGATAACTTTAACTATAGGTTAAATATAGTAAAATACATCAAATAAGAAATGATGTAATAGAGGTAGTATTATAAGAATTAAGCACAATAATAACTATTGTTTGAATTTGGTGCTAATATGATTTTACCTCCCATTTTTTAGCAAAGATTTAAGATTGTTATGGCACTCTGATCACTTAGTGGAGCTTTGCTTGTGGGGTTATTACCTCTTTGGTCACGTGGACAAGGTGTCTGTCATCAGATCAGAATGTCTGTGGTTCGAATCCCATGGCCACTACACTGTCAAATATTTGTAAGGGTGTATGGAATCAACATAAATCTAATTGAATGTTTCAGCATGCTGTAAAGGTTTGTATTCATCTGCAGGTTTAACAAATGTTATATTTGGGATAACACTAACTTTCTTAGTAAAGTACACATTCTAGTACTTTTTTGGGTTGAGTCCCATCAGGGAATAGAACCCATACTGCCAGAGCGAGGCACCTAATTGCCAGCACACAAAGTCAGGGATCTTACACACAAAATGAAAGTCCCAACAACTGGTAGTCAAGATCACATACTTTGTGTACCCCTCTGACAAGTGTAAATTGGCACGGCTCCCATGGCGCAAGCTATGAATTCACAATGCCATTTTGTGTGTGGTCAAATGTAACAAATGTTATATTTGGGATAACTCTTTCTTAGTAAAGTACAGATTCTAGTTCTTATGGCAATTTAACATTTGTTACATTAGACCACTTTCTAAATGGCATTTTGTATTCAACTCTGTATGTTGTTGTTTGGCCAAGTCACTACATGATTTTTCACTTTTTCCAGGTTTTGAGAAACATGGGGTCCAAGCACAGTTCTGGGACACTGAAAAACACAAGTTGCTTGTTGTATGAGATCCCAGATGACCTGATTATAGAAATACTCATACAAGTTCCAGCCAGAGATATTGTGAAGAACTGCGTGCGTGTGTGTCATCAGTTGAGAGATATCATCGCCAGCCCCACACTGTGGAAGAGGAAGTGTGAACTGGGAGGGAAATATATTCCTCGTTTTGTGAAGCCAGAAGATTTCAAAAAGATTTTTTTCTTTAACCCCTATACGAGAAATTTGATCAAGAATCCATGTGCACAGGGTAGGATAATTTTTATGCACAATGATTTAATGTCAAACGTTTCACTTTTTGTTTGTTTGTTGTTTAACTCAACACTCAGAAATATCCAGCTATATGACGGCGGTCTGTAAATAATCGAGCCTGGACCAGACAATCCAGTGATTGACATCATGAGCATCGATCAGCAATGACATGCATCAACCATGTCAGTGAGTCGCCTCTTACGACAAGCATAGTCGCCTTTTACGGCAAGCATGGGTTGCTGAAGACTCTACTCTACCCCGATCTTCATGGGTCAAAATGTTTCACTAACATGGGCTAATTTGAGTCGCAAAGGACTGGCCATTAATTATAGGGGGAGTAGTTAAGAGGGAATCTGGGGAGGGTCACAAAAAGATATGACAGTCTTTAGGGTAAGGCATGGTCACAGCATTCACATAAGACAATAAGCAAACACATATGACTCTAAATAAAGAAATCTGATACCTTCGGATATTAAGAGGAGCTAAGTTTGAATCACAAACATTGTATTCCCTTGAAAAATTTACAATCTGGTCAAATTTGACAGGGCCCACAAGCATAAAGCGATCTCAGCGCATCAACTATCGTAAGCCTATGTAAAAGTATGGGAGTAATGATCATTATAGGTCTAAGATCGTTATGTGATGGACAATGGCGGGCACTGCTGTCATCAGGACAGGACTAGGTGGTGGACGGGCTGAGGCAGAGGTATTAGATTACTTGATTTTCTCATCTTTTCTGTGATTTTCATTCAAGTATCTTGAGTGATTCTGACTGATGAATTATGAACATGTCTTAGTGGTTTGTTGTGTCCAAATGTTTCACTGACATGGGCTGCAGCAGACGTCATGACCCTGCTTGGATTCCACAGAGGAGATATGTCTCAATCACCCCATGCTGCATGTAGGAGCTAACACTCGTGAAGATTTCATGGTTAGAAAATGGAAGCAGTGTAGATTGTTGGTCATAATATCAACCACTGGTTTGTCTCATCCAGACATGACTATTTACAAGGTCCTGTAGAATAGGTCTTCAGCAAACCATTCTTGCTATAAAAGGCGACTGTACTTGTTGTAAGAGGCCACAGATGGCAATGGGTGGTCATGCACTTGGTTGATGCATGTCATCTTATTGCAAGGATCGATGCTCACGATGTCAATCACTGAATTATTAGGTCCAGACTCAATTATTTACAGACCCCGTCATTTATGGGCGGGCCATTCGGTAAAAAAATACAAAGTTGAAAAAAGTAAACAAGTAAGCAATTAAGGTCAAATATTACGAATAAAGAACTAAATGATACTATTAAAGGTCAAAATAATTGTCAACGTCCTTTCGTGCTCACTGACGTTTTTTCGTACACATTGTTCTGTCTTTTCTTATGACGTCTTTTCGTAACATTTGACTATTAATATTGCATACTTTTGACATTTATTTCAACTTTGTATGTTTAACCCTCGTCTGTTTGTTTTGTATTTTGACCTTTAGTAGTAACATTTAGTTCTTTATTCGTAATATTTGACCTTAATTGCGTACTTTTGTCCTTTTTTTCAACTTTGTATTTTTTGACCGAATGGCCGCCCATAGTCATACAGCTGAAATATTACTGAGTGTGGCGTTAAACAACAAACAAACAAACAAACAAACAAGGTCCTGTAATATGGCTGGAATATTGCATCACATTCACTTACTCACTCCACCTACTGTCTGTCACGTCTGTTTTTTTGTTTTTATTGTTTTCATTGTTTTTACTGTTTTGTAATTTCAAATTTAAACATGTTACAAGATATTTTTTCATTTTCTTTTACAATAGAGGGATTACAGCACTGGAAAGTCATGCAAAATGGAGGCAGCAGATTCAAAGTGCAGACAGAGAGTCATGGATCTCAAGATGTAGCTCTTACAAATATGAATCAAGGTAAACTCTCTTCAACGAGTGAGTGATTTGACTGTATTCGGCTTTAAACTGTATGTCAGTGATGTCACAGTTTTATCGACAGGACGTGGAATGAAAGTGGTGTTGGAATATTTCAGTGAAAGAAATTTCAAAGATGGGCCCTTATAACCACACATAAGTTAAATTCAGAGATCAAGCGGTGGGAACAAACTTCGTTAAAACGATAATCAAGCTAAAACTTCTTTGATACTTGTTACTTGGCAATTATTTTCCCTTTCTACACTGCTGTTTTCTCTGTAAAAATATCTGTAACAAATGCATCAAAATAAGGTTTTGTATAAATTGTCTTGCTTAGTACATTGCATTTATATATATTACTTACAGACTGCTCTAGATCAGGGCTGCTTTATACAGCAAATTTGTATAATTCATTACAAACCTGCTTTAACACATCTTTGCATTTTGTTATCATCAAAAGTGCTATACACAAGTGCATATCCATATGCTCCTGTAATAAAGTCTTTCAGTCCTCTTCTGTGTGTCATTTGTCTGATCTTGGAGACCACACAGAGTAACCTCCTCTCCGCTAGGTGGAGTTGGCATTATTGTTGGATTCCAATGTGCCATCACCTATCCAACTACCCGCACACGATCAAGGCGGACAGGAAGGGCATACACCATTGTGTTTTAAGGGGTATACATTACAATATTCTTCAGACCCATTCGCCCAAATCTAATGTGCAGAGGGGAATCTGGAGCCACTAGGCAGGCTATAGAAATGGTCTCTTTCAACCAAGAGGCAATAGTCTGCATCTAGGATGTAGATGTGGAAAAGAAGTGATGTATGCTGACTACACATGCACAGAATCCTGTTGAAAATTTGAAGATTTGGTTGTGTTATGACAGACAAAATACAATATTATTGGCACTGAAATACTAGAAAGAATATGAAAACATCAGGATACCTTATAGTGAGACAATACAGTCTGCTGCAGTTTAAAGGAAATTTTATAAAATTGTGCAAGAATAAGATCATCTGCTGCATGCACGCAAGTGAAGTTATGACATATAAGATTGAACACTCTTTTCTCATCTGCCCTTGGGGCTCAGTGGGAAAACAGTGGGTTACAAAACTTAACACTATATATTTGAGGTTGCAGGTTCAATTCATATCATGGAATTTCCATGTGAAATATTCTTTTACTTTTAACCAGTCAAAATCAAATTTGGTTTTATAATTAAATTGATAAACCTTACTTGAAAGAAGTAGCTCTCACAAGGTAACTATGAGATTGGAAGATACATTCACTACAAATGGCAAAAGTGGCAGTAGGTTTATAGTGATTATTGTTCAACTCTCAACAATATTTCAGCTGTATGGTGGAGGTCACTTATCAAGCTTTGACCAGTCAATCCGCCTATGCAATTGCGGTATAATGACCATCAACCAAGTCAGCGAGTCTGACCACCTGATTCCGTTAGTTGCCTATTATGACAAGCATTGTTTGATAAATACTGGTTCTATCCAGGTTTTTTAGGGGGGAGGGGGGTTGATTTATTTAAGGACAAACGTAACCGAAAGGTGGCTATGGAGGGATACCCATCACTGATTGTCCAGCAGTCATCATTTGAAAGGATCCTATCGACATATGGATATGCGTTGTGGATATCAATTTTGATGATAACAAAAGTCAAATTCATGTTTAAGGTAAAGTGTACATTAAGTATATCTGTTCTATTCTTTCACTAAATATTACAGAGTGGTCCGGCCCGATTATAAAGAAGTGGGCCACGTCGTACGGGGCTTGTGAGAAGGTGCAGACAATTGATCTCTGGGACGAGGGTGTGGTTGCTGAAGTGTTGGACCAGATCAAACCACCTATCTACATTTCTGAGTGGTAGGTTGAGAGTAAAGCGAAAATGTTTTGTTTTGTTTTGTTTATGGATTAACAGACCAGAGCCAAAACACATGCAATCAATAAGTACAATATAAAAAAATTGTCTGCAGGACCTTTTTTTAACCCACTGGATATCCAGTATTAAAGTATTTTTATGAAGGTGATCAGAATTTCATCTACTTGACATTGATATTTGTTGCCTTGATGATATTTCATTTTACAGTGTTCTTAACTTTACATTGTCAAAATAAGATACATAATTTTAAAAAGTTTTTTTTAATTTAATTTTAAAAAATATTTTTGTCTGCTCGCTCTCTTGCATTTTGAGGTTGGAGATGAAAAACAAAACAAAAATATGGATGGCCTTACCATGATTAAAGTGATATCTTACTGACCTTCACATCAGACAAACCACATTACAAAGCCAATTTACAGCCTTGGTTTCACAATGCATAGCATCCTACCTATGTGGATTCCAGGATAGAATGTAGGTCCTCAGCAACCCATGCTGGTCGTAAGAGGTAGGATCGGTGGTTAGGCTCTCTGACTTGGTTGATGCATGATACTTTATCCCAATTGCTTGGATCGATCCTCATGATATCAATCACTGGATTGTCTGGTCTAAACTCCATTACTTACAGACTGCCATCAAATTGGAAAATTACTGAGTGCATCATTGTAATGTGTGTGTGTGAGTGTATATATGTATATATGTACAGTGGCACATTAAGAAATTCACAAAATAATCACATGACACATTCTCGTTAGATATCATTTTTACGAAACGAGTGGACTTTCTATGGTATCTGACTGAGCAATCGCTTGGTCAGATACAATAGAAAGTTGTAAAGTATTGTCCAGAGTTGTCTCCCTTGGTAGACAAGCTGGCAGACGACAAACAAGACCAGTGTGGAAATGACAGCTTTGGAAAAAAGAAAGATTATTTCTGAAGTATACAATCATTGAATCCGATAATCACAGGTCATTACAGAGAGGACAGACTTTCCACTATCAACTGTGTTCCGTGTTTTGAAAAATATTGAGAGTGGAGATTGAATTGAGCACAAAAAGGGAGCAGGCCGGCCAAAGATATTGACTGTTGGTGACAGAAGGCGACTTGGTATATTGATGTCTAGAAACAGATACATGAGCATAGAAAATATTAGGCATGAAGTGATTAATAGAGGAAATTTAAAGAGACAGTAAGAATGCATTTGCATGGAAATGATTGGCAGAAATAACGAGGAATTGGATCACCACTCCTAAAACCTGGATAGCAAGAACGACGTTTGACCTGATGTTTGGAGCATAGGAATTTCAATTGGGACAATGTTATGTTATCAGATAGAAGTTCAGTGTGGCTGTATCTAAACTGCATGAAAATGTGGACCAAAGGTACAGAAAAAACAATTTGGAGTGTCTGTTGGGTGCCACACCATAATGTGTATTTGTAGGTAACATAACTTGGGCAATATAAACTGATATTCTACAGGGACATCTCCTCCCTAAGCATTCTCAGGATTGGAAATCACTAAGCACAATATCAATCAAACAAATCACAAAAATATATGTGACATGAAAGCAGAGGTGATGAGATATTGGGACAGCATGACTCATGATTTTCTAGCTTCCTGATAGGTTGGTTGGTTGGTTGGATGGTTGGTTTGTTGTTTAACGCCCCACTCAGCAATATTCCAGCTATATGACGGCGGTCTGTAAATAATCGAGTCTGGACCAGACAATCCAGTGATTGATATCATGAGCATCGATCCACGCAATTGGGATCAATGACATGCATCAACCAAGTCAGCGAGCCTGACCACCCGATCCCGTTAGTCGCCTTTTACAACAAGCAAAGTCGCCTTTTACGGCAAGCATGGGTTACTGAAGACCTATTCTACCCCGGAATCTTCACGGGGCTCCTGATATGCAGAATGCATCGCTGCATTCAGGCATGTATTAGGAAAAGAGGTGGTCTGACAAAATATTTAACTGTTTGCTGCTTTGTAACTTTAGGCAAGCATTGTTTCTTGGTCAAACTTAACTCTTGGTCAGTGACTAAAAATCTATAATTTACAATGTTTTCATTCGCATGAATATCTTGTCAAAATATATATGTATATATAGTATATGACACCCAAGTTTTGTTTATATAACAGTATTAACATTAATCTGATTAATATGACTGGAAATATGCCTTGGCTATCTCTTTATTTAAGGTACACTGCCCGAACCGACTGTGCTTGCCATTATGAGCTGGAGGTGAATCTGTTGTCTGGTGATAGGAAACAGCTGGACAAATTTACCTTTGAGGATGATATCCCACAGTGGACTGCAGGAGAGTGGACAAAGGTAGTTCCCATGGCAACATAGCTGTGCAGAGTTGCCTCCCTTGGGCACACCAGGATTCTATGTTTTGGGGTTCAAATATCAATTTCAACAGGTTCTTGGTTTGTCAGCACCAATCTGTGCATGTTGGTGCATCAAAGTGAGACATGTCCAAGAACAGGATATATTTGGACTTGATTCCCAGGTGATGCTTTCATGATGTGTAACTGAAACACTGTTAAAATAGATCTGTTCAGAGTGTGGACGTTTCTCACTTTGGTGAAACTCATATTATTACAGACATTAAATTTTTTGATTTATTAGAGTAAAACGTTCACCATAGCAACATATACTGAAAATTGCAACCTAATATTTATGTCTACATGCACCTTGTGCGTAAAAAACCCATCAAGTTTGTGTGTGACTAACCCTTCCTTGTCCACATAACAGTGATCTTTGAACACACTCAATACCTCTATGATTTACTTGCAATACTACATCACTAACTGCTGAGCTGTGTGTAATCATCAAAGATCTGAGATTGTACTTATTTGGAGTAGTTTATTCATCTATGCTTCATCTTTGATGAACTTATTGGACGAGGGTGCAAGCTGGTTTGGTCTGGTGCAACTAGCTTTTCATGTCAACATGCTCCTGGTGCAAGTTAAAACAAGTTCCTTGAATCGAGGCCTGTATTATGACAGACAAAGAGCACATTCCAGATGATCTTGGATTTGACTTCACATTCAGTGCAGTCAGAGCTGGGGGTCAGCACTGCATGTTTCAGTGCCTTGTCCACAGAGCCATGCTCTCCATAGGAGAAATAAGGAAAACATTTAAATCCAATTCCATTATCCAAATCTACAGTATTTTCTTAAGTATAATGCACACATTTTTTCCCAAAAGTACTGCTCTCTAAATAGGAGAGCACATTATACACAGAGAAAATGAATTTGTTTCCAAAGCATAAACATACTTCTCAGCATGTAACATCATTGATGTCAACAAATCAACAAAGTTAACAAAGTAGGCCAGTTATTTTGTAACAAATAAGGTTCAGTGTATTCTTTAAGTTTTTAATCCTTTCAAACAATTATAAATTTCAATCCATCTTGTACAGGTTAATTTTGTCAAAATAACAATTTTGAAAAAGGAAATGGTGGTGGAAATAATGAATGTTTAAATCGGTGATCTCTGTTTTGTGTTTCAGGTGGAGCATGTCTTTCCAGACTATAAGGCTGGCGTTAGGTTTATTAAATTCCGCCATCTTGGTGTTGACAAGCAGTTTTGGGCTGGACATTATGGACCAAAGTTTACTCTCTCAACTGTGAAATTTACATTTGAAGCCAATACCGGTAGTTAGTGTCAGACTCTGTAATGTTCAGACTGTTCCAGGGACTTCACCAGAGAGAGCCAAGTCGATTGGTAGACCTTTAGTTACCATGGTAACAGCAAGCATGTGATATTTTGTGCTGGAGTAGAATATGTAACTGATATCTCTAAATATTGTACCAGGCGTATTAGCAAAATATCTGTGAATGAATGAGATTTAAGGATGGGATTTTGTTTTATGGAAGATTGCCTGTTATGTGTGGTTAAAGAAATTTTATATGCTGTGAAAGTGGAATCATTTTGATGTGTTACTGCCAGTATTTTTTATCCCCCGCCATGAAGTGGAAGGGGGATATAGGAATGGGTTCCATCCGTCCGTCCTACCGTCCGTCCATCACATTTCGTTTCCGGAGCAAATCTTGAAAACCGTACCATATTTCTTCACCAAACTAGACACATAGATAGGTCTAGTGGTGAACTGGTTCCTTTTGATAGTTTTGGGATTTTAATTTTATTTTTTGAGTTTCCATAGCAACGACTTTGACTTAGACTGAAAATGGCGGTAGTCCTTGTTTCCGGAGCAGATCTTGAAAACCATACCATATTTCTTCACCAAACTTGGCACATAATGTCATCTACCAGTATTGAATACATTTCCATTCTTGTTGTTATTGGCGGGGGATATGAGTATTTCATGCCTGTTAAGTTTAGTAGAATTGGTGTCAAAAACCCTCTTGTGATAATCTCTGTTATGTTTTAGGTCTTTGAAACGCATTTAGAAGTGATACACATAAGGAAAAGGGGTAAGCATATACTCCGAAACGTTGTGTTCCTCATAATAAAGAAGTTGACATCCATATATTCTCTTCCTTCTGTTATGTTTGTATTTCATTAGGCTTTAATTTGATATATATTTCCCTTATGTCATGCATGTCATCGTATCCCAATTGCGTGAATCGATGCTCATGCTGCCAATCACTGGATGGTCTTGTCCAGACTCGATTATTTTACAGACCACCGTCATATAACTGGAATATTGCTGAGTGACGTGTTAACTACAAACCAACCAACCAAATCCCTTATGTCACAGAGTGTCACTATAAGTAGTCTGAGTAATGTTGGGCTATTGTTGCTTTTCAACACAAGAGAAAGTTCTCTGCAGACCCCACCACCATCTCTGGGATAAGCTTTGCAATGCAACCCATGCTTGCCGTAAAAGGCGACTATGCTTGTAGTAAGAGGCGACGAACGGGATCGGGTGGTCAGCCTTGCTGGCTTGGTTCATGCATGTCATCGATCCCAATGTCCTGGATCGATGCTCATGATATCAATCACTGGATTGTCTGGTCCAGACTCGCTTATTTACCGACCACCAGCATATAACTGGAATATTGCCGAGTGCAGTGTTAAACAACAAACAAACAAACAAACATTAAGGGTTGGTACAGGGACATAAGGTCTGCTGGGGAATATAACCATGTCTTTCATGACACATGCCTTGAAAGTCTAAGTCACAGGGTGCATTGTAAAACAAGGATCTGTCTATTGTCTTTTATATCTTGATATTAATGTCATGTTTTGAGTATTCATTGTGTGTTTATGATATACCATAACAGTTGTTTCTTGCTGGTTATTATCAATAAAGGTGTAGTGAGTCGTGTATCGTAAACCTATAGAAAATGTGTTCTGTGTTGTGATTGGCTAATTTGGGTCACATGACCAAATGTCAAAGGGTGAAAATATGATTTGCATTCCCTGAAGCAAGCAATAGGTTTATAATATCGATAATTACTATGTGTGTGTCTATTTCTGGGATTTTATCGAGTATTTGCATCTTGGAAATTTTCATTCGAGCCCCTCAAGCTAACGCTTTCGGGTCTCGAGATGAATTTCCAAGATGCAAATACTCGATAAAATCCCGGAAATAGACACACACATAGTATTTATCTTCTAAATATGCCTCTGTGACCATAATGTCACTCATGTTGAGGTGTGTCCCAGTAATGTGGGAGGAAAGCCTGTGATGATGCTGGTCTTAGAGGGCAAGTAAACTGAACATGGCAACTTTGCACATTTTAATACTTTGCTTTTCCCTCTGATGTTTTAATCGCATGACTGAGCTTTGCTCTCTGCTCATCCATTAGATTAGCGTGTCCAGAATGCCCCAAAATAGTAAAAAGACAGAAGATACCTTTGATTTGTCTACTCAGGGGATTAATCCCTGACAGGCAATCATTGTGTTGAATAGGGCCTTGGCCAGCAGGTGGTTTATCACACATTCAGCAATGTATGCAATGTTATTTTTGTAGGATTAACAGACATAGCCGTATCTCTAGATTTGCTCTTAATTGGCGTTTGCATTGTGGCTGACTGTTTCCTGACATATCCGTATAGCTGCTGAGCATCCCAAGATAGATGATATAGCAGATAGATTCTGCCACCAAGTATACCTACCAGCCAATGTTTAGCACTGGTAGTTCTAGGCTTGATATGGTAGATAGACCCTGCCACCAAGTATACCTACCAGCCAATGTTTAGCACTGGTAGCTCTAGGCTTGATATTGTAGATAGATCCTGCCACCAAGTATACCTACCAGCCAATGTTTAGCACTGGTAGTTCTAGGCGTGATATGGTAGATAGACTCTGCAACCAAGTATACCTACCAGCCAATGTTTAGCACTGGTAGTTCTAGGCTTGATATGGTAGATAGACCCTGCCACCAAGTATACCTACCAGCCAATGTTTAGCACTGGTAGCTCTAGGCTTGATATGGTAGATAGACTCTGCAACCAAGTATACCTACCAGCCAATGTTTAGCACTGGTAGTTCTAGGCTTGATATGGTAGATAGACCCTGCCACCAAGTATACCTATCAGCCAATGTTTAGCACTGGTAGTTCTAGGCTTGATATGGTAGATAGACTCTGCAACCAAGTATACCTACCAGCCAATGTTTAGCACTGGTAGTTCTAGGCTTGATATGGTAGATAGACTCTGCAACCAAGTATACCTACCAGCCAATGTTTAGCACTGGTAGTTCTAGGCTTGATATGGTAGATAGACCCTGCCACCAAGTATACCTACCAGCCAATGTTTAGCACTGGTAGCTCTAGGCTTGATATGGTAGATAGACTCTGCAACCAAGTATACCTACCAGCCAATGTTTAGCACTGGTAGTTCTAGGCTTGATATGGTAGATAGACCCTGCCACCAAGTATACCTACCAGCCAATGTTTAGCACTGGTAGCTCTAGGCCTCGCCCCCAAATAGTTTTGTTTTGGAAGCCAATTACAGAGTTGTATTTTCAACACTTTCACTTTGACATTTAAATACTTTCTTGGAATGTTGTGTTTAGTTTTCGCTCAGAAGTTGACTGTCCAGGTTAATTGATATTCGAAACAAAGTCGCAATAATTGTTTTTCACTTTACTTGCCCTTTACCACTTTGTAACTTTACACTGCAAATCCAGCTGTATTTGTTTCCTTGTAATTCAGTTGCTATTACACGTGTATACTAGTAAGTATATCGATAAGACAATTTAAATCTTCTTATTTTTTGTCTGACATAAATATCTCAATTCAATCATCATCCATTACCATCTCTCTGTGCATTTGTTATTTTTTAATATCTGCTAGTTTTTTTGGAGAGCATATAACGTCTCCTCCAACGAAGGCAGAGTCAGTTTCATCAGGTGATGGCTTGTGTTTTCTTGGATTCCAAAGGAGTCCTACTGGTGGACTACCTCCTGAAAGATCAGACCAGTAATGGCCAATATGATGTACCTGAATGAGATTAGCATGGCCAAATGTCCAAGAGAACTCACAGAAGGTGTTTTGTACCACCAGGACAAGGCAGAAGTGCACAAGCCTGTGGTTTTCAACTCATGGAACATCCTCCATACTCATCAGATTTCAACCTCTCCCCAAAGTTAAAAGAAAGAACAGTCTTGCAAGCATTATACAAATGATATTGACATCACATCTGCTGTGGAGGAACTCCAGCATCATTGGCAGAAGTGTGTTGCCCTTGGAGGGGATTATCTTGAAAATAATCAGCATCAACCCAGTCCATCATTGTCTCAGGACTTTACGGCCACCCTTCTGACTTTAAATAAACTAATTTGTACCCATCTTCCAGAGACAAGGGAGTTAACTGACCATAAAAGTCCAGTTTCCACCCTTGCTGAACTAGGCTGGAATTATGGAGTTATATTTTGGCTGGACTAATAAGTCTATACTCTAAGCCAGTAGCTGCAGGCCAAGCCCCCAAGTAGGTTTGTTTTGGAAGCTGATGATGGAGTGTGTGATTTCAGCACTTTGACATTTAAATACTTACTACGAAATTGATGTGGATCTAGGAAAATTGATGTTTGCAATAAAATTGCTATCAATTCATTCACTAAACTTGTCAGATTCCAATGCTATTCGAGCAAACGTCAATGTCACAATGCTGACATTGAGGTTTGCTCCAATAGCAACGGAATCTGGGGAACTTCTAGGTCACCCACCAGCATTTTGACTTGTGAAGAGAGTATTATATTGAGAATATGATCAAAAGCTAACAACCAGTGTGAGTGGCATCAGTACAAGGTGCGATCGTTTACTCAGACAGTGTTGATTTCAGACTCATATTACTTGAAGACTGAAGTGTTCCTGGAAATAAAAATTACAAATTTTGTGAATTGAATTCTGAGGTTCAGCAAACTACCCTTTCCAGTATGTATTTCTACAATCTCATTAAAATCAGATCTTAGTTCTCGCTACCGCTAAACAAAGTTAGCGGTAGCGAGAACTAAGATCTGATTTTAATGAGATTGGTATTTCTATTACTACTAAGCAACTAACTGACTAGGGCAAGGGGAAGTCACTCTAATTTCTAATTGAACCTAATTTCTACCTCAGTGGAAGTTTGGGAACACTAAACTATTTCCCTTACCACATCAGTTTCTTAGTTATTTTTACTCTGGAAGAACAGTCTGGTACCATTTCAAACATAATATTGAACAACATGCACAGCATACACAGGTGGTGGTGAAACGATTGAGGACACCTCTAATTGTGACATGCTCTTGTTAACAATACAAAATAAAAGTACTGTCACCTACTCAAAAATAATCACAAAACACATATGTGTATCATGTTTTATTGTCATATTTACAACTGTATATACATCATGAGATACAAAAGGAGCTACTTTGATCATGAGGATGTTTACTTCCATCTGTCATGTGTCCAGGCATAAAACAGACTACAGTATAGACCAAACTGTAAATATTCACAGTTACAACACTGGACAAGTCTAAAATTTGGAACAAAAGTAATATGTGCAAATTAACATTGAACCTCATAACTGCAACACTTAGGGATGAAGGTAAAAGAGTTGTCAGCTGAGCTGATTACACACATTGTGATATGTGGCTCTCATAATGAAATGGGAAAACCCATGTTATAAAACCATCTGCAGGGTTCAAAATGAACATGTCTATGAGTCGATCTCAAAACCCTGGTTAGTAGCTGATGGTGTCATGACAAATGATTTCCTGTACATTGACACCTGTTTAGTCTTTGTCCAAGGACCGTCAAACATGTGAGATAACTGTAGTTCAAGACAAGGAGAGTGCCAATTTTACAACATCGTGCCAATAAGCATTCCACTGGACCATAAGGTAACTGACTTAAAACAATATGCCAGTTGCAGGAGTTTCTGAGGTTTAATGGTATTTTGAGATGGAATGTCCTATTTCACAGACAGAAAGAAAAGTTCTTGTCACAAATAAAACCTGCAGTGTTCAACAAATTATATTGAAAAGCACCTTCTTTTGATTGTCTAACAGATTGCTTAAACAGATAAAATATTCACATGAACACAACACTACCGTAGCACTACTTCTACATAAAACTATCACAGTCTTGATAAAAATGCAAAGTTTTAAATGCAAAACAAACTATGAGACACTTTATGTACCAAGACACAAAAAATAACAAACCAGCTGAATTGTTGCTGGATTAATTAACATTTGTTGCTGATCCTCAAGCATGAACAAATACAGTGACCTCTGTACACAATGTGGAACAAGGACTGTGACATCTGTACACAATGTGGAACAAGGACTGTGACCTCTGTACACAATGTGGAACGAGGACAGTGACCTCTGTACACAATGTGGAACGAGGTCAGTGACCTCAGTACACAATGTGGAACGAGGACAGTGACCTCAGTACACAATGTGGAACAAGGACAGTGACCTCTGTACACAATGTGGAACAAGGACAGTGACCTCAGTACACAATGTGGAACAAGGACAGTGACCTCAGTACACAATGTGGAACAAGGACAGTGACCTCTGTACACAATGTGGAACAAGGACAGTGACCTCTGTACACAATGTGGAACAAGGACAGTGACCTCTGTACACAATGTGGAACAATGTGGACAGTGCACATAACCTTACAGGACTACTAAGGGTACTGGGCAACAGGTCAATAAACTGACTAAGGTGTTTCAGGCTCTATTTTGATTCTCTATTCAGACAAATGGGCTGACTTGAGGTCAATCACTTGGTTTATTATCCCTTGGAGCACACAACATTTGAGGCATTTTTTCCAGGAATCAAAGGTCATGTAAATAGAGTACCTTAATGGACATTCAATACCAAGATTCAAATCAATTTATTTCAACTTCATCAATATTCTACATGACGCCGTAACCTTGATATTCCAGGGACTGTCAAATTTCATTATCTGAAGAGTGGAAGAGAATTGACTCCTTGTTTTAGCTGCTTCAATTGACAGTTGCTACGTCTGTCCTGTTATCTGAACAAAACACTACGATGTTTATTATTGTATTTTCTATATGAAATAGAAAATAATTGCAGGTTCACTCAGAAATAGTTTACTGGTATTTCCCGTACTGTTAACTAAGTATCAGTTAATATATTGTGATTTGGGTGTAACTTTTCATCCCTTAGGCACATCCTTAAAAAATGTGAAATACAAATTAAAATAGTGCCACTGCAATGTAGCTCACCAGGATATGAGGTCAAAGTTTAAAATGTCAAAAAAAGGACTGCATCTAAAAAATACATTGCGGTCAAAACTGCTATTCAAATATCTTCTACATAAATACTCTACATGTATAGACAAACATGAAACAAGTAAATAAATTTTCATAATATTTCTAATTCCCTAAAGGAATGAATGTATCATTGTATAACATTTTTGCAAAGTAATAATGTACTACAGTTAAATATACTTCACATAAAGTCTCAACAGTGAGCTTTGTATACCTTCTAAGGAGAAATATATTTCTAATGCCATACAATTGTTTCCCTCCAAAACCGACCCAAAAATCCTAATGATTTGAACGTGCCAGCTTCCGATTAGAAGATCTTTACAGAGCCAAAAATGCATTCTGAGATAATTTAAGAGCATTACAGTACATTTTGAGCAGTGGATATAAGTAGGTTTTTATCATAAAGCTGTAGTGATGACCATATTGAAAATCTTGAGCAAATTCAGGCATCAAGACTGGTGGGAACAAGCCTGTGAAGTGTCGGCCTCATTTGTCGAGTTGATCCCGACAAGAAGACGTTTACAGATGCTGATGGACAAGCAGGCCATGACATAAGCTCACTTGACTTTCAGTAAGGTGAGCTAAACATTCATTTGCTCCCAGACAGTATTCTAGCACAAGTCTTGTCTATGGTTGATGACTTATATTTGTAAGTTCATCAGAAGACATCACAACGCTTCATCTTTCAGGAGTTACATCAGGCCCACATTTATTGACATGTTTCATGCAATACTGAGGTGAAGTATCTATACAATGAAAGTACACATTTTCTTCAAATCTGTACTTTTAATCACAAGAGACATCTTGGTCAAAGCAATTCAAAATGGATCTTCAATATTCGATATCACAGGAGCTTTTAGACACGGGCTGTAAGTTCAATGGTTCACTGTACAGTTGAATGTTAAAAGTCATAAATGGAATTCAACTTTCATCAGTCAATGTCCTGCACAATAATTTCACAAGACTGAAAGCCCTGAAGTATTGAGTCTTTCAGTGGTACTGGAGTTGTGTTATTGTACTTTGAGAGTGACAGAATACAGAATCTTTAGCAACCACAACTAAGGACAAATTAACTCAGTCCTTCTGCATGAGACCTCACTCAACTAATAACAAGCATTGTGTGTTAGGAGGTCCTGCAGTTTTTGAAATAAGGGAGGTGTCTTTGGGTCATTTAGGTTTGCTCTTTCAGGCCTACCAATGCAAACCAGCAGAGAGCAACCAACTCTGGAATATGTATATGTAACAGCCACACAATTACAAACAAGACACAGACCTCATTTAGTGTGCATTGTTTTGATTAAAACCCGCCACTTTTTCACCAGAACTATTAAAGAAGTGTGTACATAACTAAGAGCTTGGTTGCTCTCTGCTGGTTTAACTGGAAGGGCTGTCTTTACATAATTGAATCCAAACACCCTCTAAATCTTTCAACATTTAAGCTATATATAACAAGGATATCTTGACCTGATTTTGACTTGATTTTGAATACTGTTAGTGTACAGATTGTGACATGGTGAAATAATTAACTGATTAACCAAAAGCAGGTGCATGGTGCTCTGACCTAGGATAGGAAAATGATTACCTTTATTTCAAAAGCAAACACAGTGAAGTAACAATCCCAAAGTATAACAAATTATTCCTTCTCAGGCATTTTTTGCACAAGGGTATTTTTTCACACATCCGTATCAGTATTGTAGAATCTCTCACACCCAGGTAGCACACAGCTTTGTATTACTGGTACCCATCAAAAGAAAATGAAATCATACTTGTAGGACAGTTTTGTTCATTTGAGCTTCATTCAATTATGCAAATCACAAATGCATAACATCAAGAAATTTCTAATGTAACTGGAGCAGATACAAAATAGTCAAGCTCCTGTAACTTTAAACAAGCTAACTGTAAACTCCAATATTACCCCACACAATATAGTCCTGTATTTAAACAATGTACCCACATTTCAATTTGATATCCCCCGACATTTAGGACTTCACTTAAGATATCTGTACAGAAGATGGCCTTCACAGTCAGTAACTCAGAATTTCGGCAGAACTTCCCTTGGATGTTGACGGTACCTTTTCTTCCTGAATGAGTACATCACAACATGCATGTTCATATCACTGATATCAATTCATCTTCAGCTACTCTACCCACAGTTTCATGGCCAAAGACAAAACATTCTCCATGTTGAAAGACTGATGTTAGATCACATTCATCTTCATCACACTCAGACTGTGATTCCATTGAGACTGTCCAAATGTTTCCTCATGTGAGATTCCACTGACTGAAACAGAAATGTAGATGGTTGGTTACAACATTAACAAACAAATTTGCTTCGCTATACAAAAATAGACCACTCATTCCCCTGCCAATGGTGTGTTGACTAAGTGAAAGACTTAAGCCACTGACCACAAAGCCACTTAGGGCTTGTTCTGAAGAGTCAATGACACTGAATCAAATCCTGATGAATATGCTGCTAGCTGACTGGTGCCTTTAGTCATCTCAGTGGGGTGGTGTTTCTATTAGTTCACTGGTAGCAGTGGCAGTCAGAGGAAACACTGGGCTTTTCCATTTTAGTTTCAATGGAATTAGACTAAATATAAAAGAAAAAAATAAAGAGTATAAATAATCCAAAAACAAAAGCAATTGACCACATGATTGACAAGTGAGCACATAGCAATGATTCATGACGTCTGCTCTTAAAATTAGTGAGTGAGTGAGTTGGGTTTAACGCTGCTTTTAACATTATTCCAGTTATATCACGGCGTGTCAGCTTAATGTGGATGGAACGCCCGAAGTGATGCAGGTCTCAGACGTTTACCACTTCGGTGAAACCCACAAGCACGGGTATGGTGCTGACAAACCTAGAAACATAATCAGGGCGAACCGGGATTCGAACCCACAATCATGTTTCTGGCGTGCCCAAGGGACGCAACTCTGCACAGCGAATCGCGGCGCCTTAGACGACTGGGCCACCTGTGCCCCCTGCTCTTAAAATTAAACTGTAATTGATTTGAAGAGCAGCAAAAGGCACCAGTTAATGGCTTCACTGACATCTGCAAAGTTTGGTCCAGAAATATCAAATGGTCTAAGTTATGCCCTAGGAACAAACCCTACCCTCATTTGAACCTTGATTCAATTTGTTTTCATGAACGAAAAAAAGAAAGAAAACAAATCCTAAATAGCCAAAGGTGCCAGAAATACGGAACTGTCCTTGAGCTATGCTCTGGAAACAAAATGTGACAGAAAGGGCCCATTCCTGCATCCCCATCCTGCTTTGTGTTGGGGGACAAAAGAGTGAGTCATAGTTGACAACCTACAGTCACATATAAACTGTAAGTAATCTAGTCTGGACTAGATTGTGAATGAAAGAAAACTGTTCAATGCCAGTCAGCTATGTTACAGCTCTCTGGGAAACTGAATCATCTCATTAAGAGTTCCGTAACATTTCATTCCAAGAAGCTCACCCTATCATCTCTCTGCTGTGTGAGCCAATCAGTGCAGTCCTTCCACATGCAGCGCGCCAGCTTGTTGTTGGGCAGAACATGGTCTGTGAGGAGGTGATGCAGCAGGTGCTCCCTCACACCAAACACATACTGGCAGCTGTCAATCTGTCAACACATGGGTAAAGGAGATGTGCAGTAGAAATATGGGATAGAGTCGTTTATAAAGCATATTAAAACAACAATATTGAAGAAAACGAAGTCTAAAGTCAATACAATGTATTAGTAGACAAGAAAATGTTAAAAACTGACTCATATACTGGAAACTACTGAGAGTTAATAAGCAGTGCTGTTGTCAGTGGGTGTGTGTGAGCACTCGATTTGTACTAGTCCTGACTAATGCCAATTTTATAGTTAGCCCACTGAGATACCATGCTGCAGACCATGCTGCAGTTAAACATGAATACCTCACTCAGGGCTAAAACAAGAACTGGTCTTCTCCGAGTCAGTATACTGTGTCTGAGTGAGCTGTTCATGTTAAACTGCAGCATGGTCTGCAGCATGGTATCTCAGTGGGCTAACTAATATATATATATATATATATATAGGTCAGGGGATCAATCCCCGGCAATGTCATACCAAAAGACGTCAAAAGATGGTACTCGTTGTTATCTTGCCTGGTGCTTGGCATTAATTTATATATCAGTCAGTATACTGTGTCTGAGTGAGGTATTCATGTTAAACCGCAGCATGGTCTGCAGCATGGTATCTCAGTGGGCTAACTAATATCACTAATATCCACGGTCCAAAATGGAATGGAGTTGAATTTAAGGTAGGGTAGGATTTTAACATTTTCGTATGCCACCAAACTGGTGCAGCAGTTGATAAGAGCAGGTTGACTGGCACCAGTGCTCACCTTGCAGGGCCAACTTTCTGCCTTCATCTGAATGCACTCAACATGGCCCTCACGGCTGCCTGTGAACAGCTGAAAGTAAAACACCATACTGAATGTTTCTTACGTTTCAAAATGTGTTGCTTCAGTTTTTACCATGTGAATAAAACCACAAATTCTAAATGAAAAAGATAGTACAGATCCTTGAGACATCTAGAGAAACAAGGGTTTGTAAATGATTCGGACACAAGCAAACATGACACCAATCAATAAGGTCATTATCTCCCCTTACTACTTCTTAGGTTTGAGATGCATGAATCCAATACCTACCTCATCACCATGTACAGCAATACTCATTATCACACCCTTGCCAGCTCCATAGTACATTTTTCTCAAAGTGTGGCTCTGAAAACATCAATTGCCATACACTAATGAACTAGGCGACTAAGAATAAATTTATATCTAATTTGCATGAAAAGAATCAACAGATCTTAACATAGTTTGGTTTAATGAATATCATAACATTAGGAGACTCATGAGTGTGGAAGTGCTTGATGCTTCCCTGATAGGATGTACATACCAAGACCTTGGTATGGCAAACTCCTTCAACTTAATATGTAGCTTGAGATGACAAAAAGCAACATAAAATTACAGTTACACCACAGATAACATTGTCCATATTGTTCCATGTACATATCATGAGGATTTGGTTAAGAGAATACCTGACATGTGAATCCTTTCTAACGAACTGAGATGACAGCAAACCTGCACACACCTTAATGTCAAAGCACCTGACCAATCTGTCATAACCAGCTGAGTAGAGGGTGTTTCCTTCAACCCACACACTCGTCACAATGCCACCATGTTCTTTGAATGTCCACTCCAGCTTGCCAGTCTGTCAACAAAACAAGTTCATCATTATAAAACATGTTAACATGATAAATAGTACAACTTTCAAGTAACAAATAACATCAATCAAATAAAGGTGAACAAGTATTTCTCACGTAATTGCTGTTATTACTGTGGAAACATAATTTCCTTGGGTGAAAAGAATGACAGGAAGATGTAAGATTCGGAGATTAAAAAATACATTGTCAGTAGTGCCCTGGCTGAAGTATGAACAACAATACCCCAAATAGTTTTATGTGGGGTATGAGCAAACTTCTTTCTAGAATACAATTGCCCAATGTCAAGGTGACTTCAAAAGCATAAACATTTTTGAGTGTGGTACATGAGTGGGTTCTGAGTGGGAATGTGCGGCAAATCATGGTATCTTTACAGGATAGCACCACGTCTGTGGTGAACTGACTACAGCGGGGTAGTAAGCTGGAAACCTGTCAGCACTGCACAAGGTCTCAGGATAGCCATTTGCAGCAAGTCTGGTTAGAGCAGGAAGCTGGAAAAGCCGTCAGGAGTGTGGAAGGCCTCTGCATGGTCATCAGGACCAGGATAGATACATGTGCAAGGCATCTGCATGGTCATCAGATCCAGGATAGATACAGTTGCAAGGCCTCTGCATGGTCATCAAGACCAGGAAAGATACAGTTACAAGGCCTCTGCATGGTCATCAGAACCAGGATAGATACAGGTTCAAGGCCTCTGCATGGTCATCAGATCCAGGATAGATACATTTGCAAGGCCTCTGCATGGTCATCAGATCCAGGATAGATACATTTGCAAGGCCTCTGCATGGTCATCAAGACCAGGATAGATACAGTTGCAAGGCCTCTGCATGGTCATCAGGACCAGGATAGACACAGGTTCAAGGCCTCTGCATGGTCATCAGATCCAGGAGGGATACCAGTGCAAGGCCTCTGCATGGTCATCAGGACCAGGATAGATACAGTTGCAAAACCTCTGCATGGTCATCAGATCCAGGAGGGATACCAGTGCAAGGCCTCTGCATGGTCATCAGGACCAGGATAGATACAGTTGCAAAACCTCTGCATGGTCATCAAGACCAGGATAGATACAGTTGCAAGCCCTCTGCATGGTCATCAGGACCAGGATAGATACAGTTGCAAAACCTCTGCATGGTCATCAGATCCAGGATAGATACCAATGCAAGGCCTCTGCATGGTCATCAAGACCAGGATAGATACAGGTGCAAGGCCTCTGCATGGTCATCAGATCCAGGCGTTATACCGGTGCAAGGCTCTCAGGACATGCCTTATCACCGCCAGCCTACACTCCACTATGTTCTGCCTAACACAGCTCACATCTTGAATCAAGACCACAGGTAATGTCTACACTTCAAGGCAAGATGAGGATCCTTGATAGACAGGTAAGAGAGATACACAGCACATCTCTTATCATGTCTTGGTGTAGTAGCCATACTCAAGCATCAAACAACTTTATATCTTGACAATTACATGATATAAGTCATATAGGGATGAAAACTGAAGTCTACATCTGGAAGTAATGTGGAAACTATAGAAACAAAAACTGAATGATAATAAAGAATAAAACTGTAAATTTGGGGAGGCTTCCAAAACTTTTCTAGCCATGTTAGGAAATAAAGAAGATTCAAAATGGTTTCCCAAGCAATAGCGCAAAGGGAAGTAATTCAATAAAACAGACTCATGTACCACACACAAAAGTTAACTCTTGTGAAGTCTACTTAACAGGAGAATAAGGCTATTGTACTCTAGTAGTGGAGCTTACATTAACATTATCTTTTTCACTGCATCCGGTATATCATGCTTATATTTAACAAGTCATACAGAAGTTTAAGTTTTATTGAACCTAAATCACAAAAATCATCAAATCCTGTTCTTTTGGCAGTGGATCCCTCACATCAATTTTAGACTTTACCAAGTAATAAGACACTAAGACATTCACAGATTTATTCTTCAAACACTGACAGTTACTTACATGTAGGTTATGCATCATGACTGTCCTGTCTCCAGACCCACTGAACACAAAGTGATCAGATGACTGAAACAACAAGAAGAGAAATATTGATGCTACTTATTTTGGTTTGTTTGTTTGTTTGTTTAACTCAACAATATTCCAGCTATATGATGGCAGTATGCAAACAATCCAGTCTGGACCAGTGATTCACATCATGAACATCGATCTACGCAATTGGGATTGATGACATGCATCAACCGAGTCGGCTAGCCTGACCACCAATCCCGTTAGTCGCCTCTTACGACAGGAAAAGTCACCTCTTACAACAAGCATAGGTTGCTGAAGATCTGGTCTTACAAGAATCTTTATGGGTGTGGTGCTACTTATAACTAATGGGATGTGGCTCACTCAAACAGACATGTATACTCATATGTTATAGTTAAGTTTTCCAGCAAGAATATGTCACTACCCATGAACTGTACAAGATTAAGGGCAACAATAAAAGGGTGTGCAAATAGAATTTCTTATGTGAGTCAGCATACACAAATCTTGGAACACCCTGGGGTAATTTGCAGAAGCTAAGAAATAGACTGGAAATGTTTCTGACTCACTTCTGAAAGTGAATGTTGTGTGAGAATTGCACTCGTGTGGCACTGGGGCTACCTCCGACTATATAAACTTACGCAAGGACGTAGAATATTACTTTCCCAGTGTCACACAAATATGTCAGCATATCAACTTTTGCATGACACACAACTGTGTAACCTGTCACAGCACATAACCAGGCAGATGATGCTCACCATAACAGAGAAGGAGGTCTTTTTGTGTCCCCCGAGTATTCTGACAGGCAGCCCGCTGCGAGCATCACACACGGAGATTGTGGTGTCCTGGGCAGACACGCAGATGAGTTTACTGCCTCCCTCTCGGGCCGAGGAGATACAGTGTATAGCCTGGTAGGCACACTGGAATGAGTCTTTGTGGCGTTGGTTCTGGCAAAGAGCATTACATTTCGAGCAATTAGGAACAATAATCCCTAAATCAGTGTTAGCGAGTGAGAGAGAAAATGTTGTTTATGACGCAGTCAGCAATATCCCAGCTACATCCCAACTGTGTGGGCCAGGCAAACCAGTGGTTATAGCAAGAGCAGCCACCAATTCCATCAAGGCATGGATCCCCAGATTCATGGTCTTACAACAAGGATGGAGTGCTCTGAGTCTGCAAATTGTTATTCAGCATTAGAAATTTACATGACACCTTCAGTAGCCCCTAAGGACATGTACTTTTCCCTGTTGAACATTAGTTTTCCGTTTTTAGTATTTGAGAAGTATTCAAAATATACCGTGCTTACAGTCAGATGCAAATCACAAAAACTGAATTAGACAGTTGAAAATAGCCCCAAATTATGATCGACAGTCACATTTCTAACTTCTTTAAAGGGCATTTAGAAGTTGGTATTATTCAATAAAATCAATACTGTGATAGATATGGACAAGTTGATTGGAAGCCAGTATTAAGATGAGAAGGATTAAGATAGATATAAAATGGACAATGGAAATGAGATTAAAATTGTTCAGTGATGAGCTCATGGTAGGCTGTTATTACATCACTTGCTTGATAACGGTGTTAGTATCTTCACCGAAACGTCGCATTCATTGTAATAAAGAAGTTGTATATCCATAAAACTGTCTACTTTGTTAGTCAGATTACTTCATCATTTCTTGATTTAAACATATTATCCCCTATAATAGCCTTATCCATGAAGAAGTGTCCTACAGGCCTCACCTTGACCTCGAACACCTCCACAGAACCTGACATCAGTCCCACATACAGTGTCCCTGCATCGTAGTGCATACATTTGATCTCCTCAGACAACTCAAATGTCTGGACAATGTGGGGAGTCTGTCAATCAAGCAAAATAATCATCAATATTTGATCATTTCAGATATCAACAATACTGCCACAATTTTTTCTATACTGAATATGTTTTCGTAGTAAAGACTGAGCACACAATTTCACAAAAATATCCCCAAATTATTCTTGATCCCTAATTTCTTTGTTCTGTATAGAATGTGTACAATATCATGATGGACCTTAATTTATGTGTAAAGTGCTCCTACAATACAGACAATTAATATATGATAACTATCACAGTATGATGGTCGTGATTGGGTGTGGTCATAATCTGCTATAATATACTGATGACATGTGCATGTTTAGATTCAGTTGCACAGTACACTGATCAAGTAAAAAATACAAAAGAGTGTGCCTGTTTCACCTGACACATAGCTTATGTTTAAGAACAAAGAAAGGGCAGACACAGCTAATAATTGCATTTAACAATGATGTCTTGATGTGGAGAATCACATATCGTGTATCGTATATTAAGCCAAGTATTGTGAGGGTCCACACATGGAGATGACATGTTCCCGTTCAGTATAGGGAACACAGCCCTAAACTCTTCTCTCTTTTGTAGTTTATGGCTCCTAATTATTGTCCGACTTGTTCTGCCATAACAAGTGACTGTCAAACCCTCAAATGACCTTTCCTCCGTCTCCCTTTCCCACTCCACACATATTGACATCCTTGTAAATAACCACAGGGACATATAAATTCCAAATGGGAGGACTGCCAATTGAAAATGACATCTCTGTTGATAAAAGCAAAGATACCTCCTGTCCCACAGGTGGATGGGTATATGGAAGATAGTCATCCTGAAGACAATGCTGATAAAAAAATACCCTGGATCAATCAAAGTCCGGAGCAATGACAATGAAATCATCTTGAACTAAAGTAACCTCCTGAGAAAGTGATGACTGAAGGCAGCCATGTTGTGAATTAACCACAATTTCGAAGTGCTCTGCTTGGGGAAGAAGAATACGGGGGATGAACCTGGAAGAACTTTTCTGCTCTGGTGCAGTAGGCCATCGTACATCCCCCCCTCGAAAGCTCAACATATCGCTATCCGAATCTGAATCTGTCGAGCGCTCAACATTAGCAGTTCTCTGATCATTATTCCCTGTATTGTATTATTGTTATTTCAGTGCAAGCACCTAGACCTGTCAGTGAACTGACCTTTACATTGAAGAGCAGCACATGGAACGAAAGCCCACCAGCATAGATACAGTCCTCCTTTCCTGGTACGGCGACCACAGCCATGCACTGTACGGAGTGATAGCTGCAGTTGTACTGCATGTCCATCTCGCCTGTCTGGAAGAGAATAAAGGAGTTAATTGATGCCACTTGGAGCACATTCCTGGTACAGCGACCACGGCCATGCACTGTACGGAGTGATAGCTGCAGTTGTACTGCATGTCCATCTTGCCTGTCTGGAAGAGAATAAAGGAGTTAGTTGATGCCACTTGGAGCAGTATTGCAGGTGTATCAACACAGTGTCCATTGAAACTATGCAAATAAATGTCCCAATTGTGTCAGTGATGATGGAAGTTATTTCGTCTGTCATAAATAATGTTAACAACATTGTCATTTTGCCTGTTATAAAAAATAACTTACACTGCGTTATTGAATATTATCTAGGAATAAACAGCATAGATAGACATTAGTAACATATAAAACAGGACTAAAACTCCATGTGTAGCACAGAAATGTTTCTGTTTATATCCAAGACATCATTCTTTGGACACTGATGACCCCTAACAATATACCGTTGACCTCCTTCAAACAGAAAAGGAGTTTTTATGACCCCAAGATTTGGGAATATAGCTCGGAAAACCCTGTACATACAGACCTCCAGAAAAGTTGCAGACTGCATTAAATACGCAAAACAAATCACTATAACCTGATCATGAAATTAATACGAGCATAACATTAATGAAAAAAAAAAATGCAAGTGTCCCTTGCTTGCAACAATACAGTGATGCATTTGTATCTGGAGTATATTGTCATGTCAGGTTCACTGTACCTGGTCGGAAACAATGACGATTTTGAGGATCCAGGTACACAAACACCTACCACAAGGTGATATCTGTGAATATCTTTTCCCTGGTAGCACACATACAGATGGTTGTTGAAGACCTGCAGACAGGTGACAGGGTCAGAAGGGCCAGCGTAGGCCACACTTGATGGGCAACCAGCTTTAGCTGCATGTGATGGTGATTTGGGCGCTTTACCTGCATCCTCAGCCTGCATCCTCAGTCTGTAAACATACAGACCAGTCAGTCAGTTGCATCAAACAGTCAAATAGAAATACATACATACATACATACATACATATATATATATATCATTGCATCCAGTAATGTCAATTACCACTACACTTGCAGAATAATTAAATACAAGGAAATTTCAAGGCCTTGCTTAACATTATGTTAATACCTATATTTTGTGAAATGTAAGTGACAAATGGTGCACATACAATGCTATATGCAACGGATAACAAAAAATAAGAACATAACAAATTTCAAGGATTTGTTTCTTTCAAAGAATATGATTATCAGACACTGGCATGGTTCTTAACTGCCTAGTTTTTAGATTACATGGAAGAGTGAGTGAGCGAGTCGTGTTTAAAGCCGCTTTTAACAGTATTCCAGTCATATCACGGCGTGTCAGCTTAATGTGGGAGGAAAGCCCCAAGTGATGTAGAGGTCTAAGACGTTTACCACTTCAGTGAAACCCACCAGCACGGGTATGGTGCTGAAACACCTAGAAACATAATCGGGGTGAACTGGGATTCGAACCCACAATCATAGGTTCCTGGCGTGCCCAAGGGACGCAACTCTGCACAGCGATTTGCATCGCCTCAGACGACTTGGCCACCCGTGCCCCCGATTACACAGAAGAAAGGCAAGATTTTGATGCATGCTGACCTTTCAAAGTATGTGTTAATAATAGAAAGAGTTCTTTGTAAGATACATATACATGTATCAACAAACATAGGCTAAAATTTCAAATTGTTTTGGGGTGGTGGTGTAGCCTGTGGTTAAAGCGTTCGCTCAGGTTCCAGACCCAGGTTCGATTCCCCACATGGGTACAATGTATGAAGCCCATTCCTGGTGTTCCCTGCTGTGATATTGCTAAAATTGGTGTACTCACTCACTAACTCAAATTGTTTTGAACACGTATGGGTCATTTGACACATAATCTTTGAAAAGGATGGGTGATTTCAGAAATTTATATGCCTCGGGCACCCACATTGCAATAAATGTGGAGCCATTCATTTTTCTTAGTGGACAAAAACACATGGGCTGCAATTATATTTGAGCAAAGTTAGTTGAGAATTTACTCCTTAAAAGAAAACAGGCTACATAGTGATTGGTTCATTTTTTATCACTGCTCTGTTGCTATGCAGACACTGCAAGTCTGCTTGTAAGGCTGTGGATAGCATGCATCTACACATCATGCTAAAAAAGAAGATCAAATTTAGTCTGGAAGGTAATTTAAGGTACCGACGTTTACTACAATATCTGAAAAACTATCGGACCTACTCCAGTCAAAGTTGGTATGAGATTATTAAACAGTCGTACATAACTGGATATTACATTTAAAGACAATCGGTGCATGAATAAAAAATCTGACTATTTAGCTATCACCATATTTCATCAACAACCAGACCTGTTCGTCACGGGTGGAACGAGCATTCATTGTAACAGCCATCTGCATAATGCTACCCCTGCGTCACAGGGCCATATGACACAGTTGAACCAATCAACTCAACTTGAAAGGGTGCACGGTTCAACTGTGTCATATGGCCCTGTGACGCAGGGGTAGCATTATGCAGATGGCACTGATATTCATGCACCGATTGTCTTTAAATGTAATATCCAGTTATGTTTGCACGTTTAATAATCTCATACCAACTTTGACTGGAGTAGGTCCGATAGTTTTTCAGATATTGTAGTAAACGTCGGTACCTTAAATTACCTTCCAGACTATAGTCTTTCTCTCGGGCATTCACGAAAGGTTTGTTGGTATCCTGGACAAGACAGACATGCTACAAACAATAATAAACATAAATGCTTGATTAATTACTCCTCATAAATACTCCTCGTTACTAAGAGGGAAAATAGCAAGAAATGAATGATCTTTCTTTTAATACATTTCAGGGTAAACTGTTTTAATTGAAACTAACAAATCTAACTCTCAAACTAGAACTACAAACAAAAACACTAACTGCAAACTCAAAAATCCAACACATAAAAAGCAGAGCTAAAACAGTTAATAGAGGCCTTATTATATCACAATTCATTGTTGACTTACGAGAGTGGGTCATCATTAGGATTCCCCATCACATCCACCTTGTTCTGAGGAACTTCTGCTTGAACTTGATCTTCAAATTGTTCAATCTCCCTCTTGATATCAGCAATATTGTTATCCAAAGAGCCTTGTTCTAGATCGGAGTTATTATTATCTTTCTGACTAAATACAAGCTGTTGTTTAAGAGTTGACAGCTTGGGCACAGTTTCTTCTTCCTGAGAGTTATTATCAGAACTGGAATCAAACCAGTATTTCCTTCTGTTGGCCAAAATATCTCTCTCTTTCTTAGTTTTTCTCTTTTTCCTCCCTGGAGATGGTGGCCCATTTGTATCTACTTTTGTAGCCTCATCAATTGGAGCTGCCTGCGGCTGTTCCTTGTCCTGCACCATCACCTCCTGCTGCTGAACCTCCTGAACCAGAACATCATGATCAGCCATCTCCTGCACTTCATCATTCTCATTCAATCCATTGGCTGCCTGTCTCTCTAGCTCCAATTTCTGCAAAACAACTGAGCACTGTTTAAGTATTCTTCCTGGTGTGTTGTCAGATCCCGGACTCTCAGGTCTTGCAAAGTCTTCTTCCCTCAAAGTCCGATCCCCATCTGATGCTTCTCCTTCAATAGTTTCCAGGGACGTCCTTCTGTTGACTGTCTGACAATACCGCCTGATCTTCTCCCCCAGGGAGCTGTTGCTGACGATGCTCCCATTCTGGTCAGACTCGTCTCTAGGAGTCGAGTCCTTCCCACTGTTATCACCTTTCAGGTCCAGTTCCATCAAATGGAAATCTGTTGCAACTTGGTTTGATGACTTTTGACTATTTTCAGAGTTCCTTCTTGTTCGCGATGATACAGATTGAAATTTATCAGAAATATCTTGTCTGTCAAGCATAACACAAGACATGTTGTTCAAACTGCCCAGGTTACCCAAGTCTGCTGCAAGCTTTTTTAAAACTGCAGCTGTTTCGACACCTCCACTAATACTACCAAGATAGGTCATTGGAACCGACTGTGACCGTTTACCCGCATCACCATCACTGGATTCAGACACTGTTCTTGTTCTGCCAGAGGTAACACTCATCAAAGACATTGACTCCTTACTGGGTGACATTTCAGATTCTGAGATCCTTCTTTGGGCTGATGCCACAGACACAAATCCTGAACTTGTTGAGTCCTTAGCATCTTTATCAAAGGGAGATTTAGAGCAGACGTCAGCTACTGGGGGACTTGCCAAAATGTGCCTGATAGTTGAATTAGATGAGTCACATAAATTTGGTGTGTTTGGAGTTGATCCAGTGGCAGTGTTTTTACCACTGACACTTGTCACTGCATCCACGGAATGTGTTCTCCTGAGGGAAGACCCTGATACTGAGGTCAGACGGTCTGCCAGTGGAGACCAGGTTGAAAAGGAGGCCAAACGATCTGTATCAGTTTGAGTTTCTGCACAAGGAGTAGATGTGTGATAACAATTTGTCATATTTATGATTGTGTGAGAAGAATCCACTGTAGGTCTGATGACCGCCGCTACATCAGTCAGAGAAGAAAAATCCACATTTGTTCCAGCTTTCCCAGAAGTAAATGAGGAGATCAAATGAGCTTCAGAAGCAGTAGGATCAGAACTGGACTCAAAACTGTCCAACAAGGGTTGGGTATTTAACAAAACTGTTCCAGGTTGGGTGGACTTTGTAACAGATGAGTTAGGCACAAAACTATCAACAACTGTAGCACTCTCACCACCACCGGTCTCGGTCAAACTGGGGGATGTGACACATGGGGTTATATCAGGTGGCGGGCTGTTCTGCTCTTGCTTAACTGAAACACAACTTAGTGAGAGAGAACTAGTGGGCTTGTCCCGGGATTGAGAGGAGTGTGCAAGGTTAGTGTCAACCTCCTTAGTAACTGAGGAGGAGGGAGCAGAAACAGTAGACATGGATACTGGCCTTGTAGCTGTGTCTGCTGGGGATGGGGCCTCTGTTCGATGATCTGGGAGTCTTGAAGAAAGGAAATCTGGGTGGGGAAGATCGATCCTGACGTTAGAGTCTGGCTTAGCCTGACTTGTAGATGATACACAGTCTGTGACAAAGTCAATGTCCATGGATTCGGATGACAAGTGGCTCCGTGTTGGAGTCATGACGTTCTCGGAGACTGCATGGAGTGGAGAGGAAAGCTGAGTGGTGTGCAGAGGAGATTCTAATGATTGATGTCCCATCAGTTCTGTACAAACAAAATCAATAACAATCATTTCAAACAATGTTAAGTATATGGCTGCCATATAATATAAAGTATTAGCCTTGGTTAAGACCAAGTAAGAATCAGTAGAAAAGGAACGTGCCTATGTACCTTGTCAACCTTCATTAAAACTATGAATTCTTGTGGTATTGATGTTTCAGTGTAGATGTTATTCTCATGTCATAATAAACAATAGGGACGTGGCAATAACCATGAAACTATAACAGTTTGTTTATTTGTTTTTTGTTGTTTAATCCTGCACTCAGCAATATTCAAGCTATATGACAGTGGTCTGTAAATAATCGAGTCTGGAACAGACAATCCAGTGATTGACATCATGAGCATCGATCCACGCAGTTGGGATACAATGACATACATCAACCAAGTCAGCGAGCCTGACCACTAACAGAAACCAAAGGGGTTTGCAGTAACTTGCAAAAACAGAAGCAGCGGCTTCATTGCCATTTCCACAATTTCATACTGTGTACTTTCAGACATTGACCTTAATCAGGCAACTTGATAAGATCCAACAATTACCCAGGTTTCAGTATCGTACAATTAAATATGCAGCAGTAACTGGCAATGAATAATACAACCTTGCTTCACAATATCTGCAAAGATTACATTGCCCTTTACTAGCCATGTCACTTAAAGATACATACCTAAAAGAACAGCCAATGATATAACTATCAAAACCTGAATGCTGACCATAACCTTTAATGAAAACTGTTCAAATCAGGGCCCCATCCTAAATAAGTTATTTAATAAGTCTAATGATAAATGCATGAATACTTTGAAAAAGTCTAACCACACATTTGTGACACTTCTCTCATGGCCTTGACCTTTGACCTTATCAAAGCCTTTGACAAAAGAAATCTCTGGGTCCATGTGGAACAAATCAATTGTAAGATATCCTCCAATGTCAATAATCTTTGTTCCAAAGAGAAAGCATGAAACAAGCACTTTTCACAATTACCTCAAAGGTGACATTGACTTTTGTCAAAAATACACTTGACATTTGATGTGTTGGAATTGGCTAAGAAATACATAAATATATATTTCCATGACTGTAGAGGTAACCATGTGTTACAAAAACCTAATTGTTGACCTTGACCTGTCACTTACTTTCACCAAAACCTATACAAAGCAGGGCCTCATCCAAGAAAAGGTAAATACCAAGTTTAATGAAAAATGTAAGAATGCTTGAAGAGAAAGTGTAATCACAAACATTTTGTGAGTTTTTTAAATTTTGTGAGTTTTTTAAATCTTGTGAGTTTTTTTAATCTTGTGACTTTGACTGTTGCCCCTAACATATCATGTGCCACAAATGGGCTATTAAGAAGAGGTCCATGGAAGAATAATCTCTTATGTCAATAATCTTTGTGCATTAAATGTTAGAATCATCACAGGCAATGGCAGTCAAATTCCAACAAAACCTTGAAACAGTCCCATTACACGGGAATGCTAATCATGGGTTCATGTGGTTATTATTGCACTTTTATAAAGCAGAAGAAGTTCGCAACACTGGTATCAGAATTTATGCTTCATCTCAAAGTAAAAATGAAAGGCTCAGAAATGCTCAGAAATTTGTCAATCGGTTTTAGCAAGGACTGTTCTTTTTATCAGTGTACAAATAAGCATGTACATAATCATGCAAGATAAGACCTAAACTGCCGTTTGGTCGAAATTTTCACACAACCAATCTTAATTTCTAGGGTAGCTAATAGTTTAAAATAGTTCAAGTGCTTCATCTGAACTTGCAATTATCTTATCGCCCATGGGGATCCAGGTATTTAACACTGCGCTGCTCGACATGAGTGAGTGAGTGAGTGAGTGAGTGAGTGAGTGAGTGAGTGAGTATGGTTTTACGCCTCTTTTAGCAATATTCCAGCAATATCACGGCAGGGGACACCAGAAATGGACTTCACACATTGTACCCATGTCGGGATCTGCTCGACATGAAGAGTTAACACACATTGGACCGGGTGGTCAGGTCCAGTGACCTCCACGTTCTAGTAGCCCAATGGCGTGGGATGTTGCTCATAACTAGATGGATGTACTGCCCTTGACAACACATTTTACCTCTCAACACTTTCAGTTTTCTCTCCCTGATCTTCTTGTTATCATTAAGGAGCTGGAATGGAAATATGAAACATTGGTGTCAAAACAAACAAAACAAAACAAACTGCTAAACATCAACTGAATTTATATTCTGAAAAGAATTTTGAAAGAATAGAACTGAATAGAAAGAATCTCAAGAAATTTCACTTATACTAAATGAATATCAGTGACTATATGAGTTAGTGTCAATAAAACCATTAAGTTATCATAAATGATAAACGGGTGGCCCAGTCGTCTAAGGCGCCGCGATTCGCTGTGCAGAGTTGTGTCCCTATGATTGTGGGTTCGAATCCCGGTTCGCCCTGATTATGTTTCTAGGTTTGTCAGCACCATACCCGTGCTCGTGGGTTTCACCGAAGTGGTAAATGTCTGAGACCTGCATCACTTGGGGCTTCCCTCCCACATTAAGCTGACACGCCGAGATATAACTGGAATACTGTTAAAAGCGGCGTTAAACCCAACTCACCCACTCTATCTTTAATGACTTTTCAAACTTTCCCTTGCCATTCCTTCTTGTAAAACAGTTAACATATCAAGGCAGTTCTAGGCAGTTCTACATCAAGCAGAACTAAGTTAAGCTAAGCTATCTATTAGGATTCAAGGCTTTAGAAGCACAAGCTGTCAAGTTATAATAATGATGATGTTATAAGTACCTCCTTCCTACGCTGCTCGCTGTTCTCAAGATGGTCCAAAGTCCTCCTGAGCATCTGCCGCATCACATCAATCTTCCGTTCCAGCTCATCAATATCTTTCTGTTTCTCTTCCTCCTTCAAGGAGAGCTCCAGCACTGCACTCATCAGATACTGACTTTGAGGTGGGTTCACACTTGGGACCAAACTCTGTGGACCTGTACGAATAAATTGCACCACAAAATGTATTAAAAGGGTGTTCAAAGGATTGAAACATCTTTATTTTCATTTCATAATTTCTACTTTGGTATAACATTCTAATCTAATCTCATCTAATTTCATGTGCCCAGGGTTAGACATGGCAACTTGTCTGTTGGTAGGAGACCAGTGAAAATCTAGAAGGACTTATTTTTTCTAAGAATACTACATCTATTACGTCCACGAATCAGTGACGTCTGGCATCCTCTTCACACTAAATTATAGCATGACAACAAAGTAATGTGTTACGTCAAAACAATTTCAGTGTTGACACCACAAAAAAGGAGCGAGATTTCCCATCTTGTGAATGCAAAAGAGCCTTGGACATCAAGATACTTTTACTTTCACAACTGATTATGGATAGCTGACAGTAGAGACGACTTCTTCTGAACATTCTGAAGATTTTATTGTGTGATGACATGTATATTCTCAGGAATTATAAGGAAAAGAATTTATGACTGTCAACTTCTTTGTTATGTGAGGAATTAAGTAGTTATTTTTCATACACTACTAGTCCAGAATGAGCTGTGGAATAGTTGGAATGGTATTTACCATAGTACAGTGTTATGAATGAAAAGAACTTGTGGGCACATACTTGGTGTAGCCACAGATGTACAACTGTGACTGAGGCTCAGCCTGTCCTCAAGGCCACTCATCTGTAAAGCTCTTCTGCCCAGATCCTACAAACAGAACAGATGCATAACATATATGTTGGAGAACAAGATCACTAAAATCAGGGGATGAAACAATAGGTGCAAGACAAGGAGTCCTTGTCATTGGTCCCAGCAAGCCACGCTTATCGTTAAATGGATTGGGCCGTCAGGGTGATTGACCTGGCTGATTGCGTGTCATCGTATCCCGACAAAGGGGGACATTGCTAACAATATCATTCACTGGTTTGTCCGGTCAAGACATAGCAGGAGTTCCGCTGAGTGAAACAAGAAAAGTAACCAAAGCATGGCAGCTATCAGAATCTACCGGCATACATATTACAGTGATGAGTAAAAGTCGTTTGGAACATACTGATTCAAAAGAAACAAGGCAAAAAGTGAGAAAGGCACACTAATACCCCCAACTTCAACATATTTCTAAGTTCAAAGGAGGTGGCCCAGTCGTCTAAGGCGCCGCGATTCGCTGTGCAGAATTGTGTCCCTTGGGCACACCGGAAACCTATGATTGTGGGTTCGAATCCCGGTTAGCCCCGATTATGTTTCTAGGTTTGTCAGCACCATACCTGTGCTTGGGGATTCACCGAAGTGGTAAATGTCTGACACCTGCATCACTTTGGGCTTTCCTCCCACATTAAGCTGACACGCCGCAATATAACTGGAATACTGTTAAAAGCGGCGTTAAACCCAACTCACTCACTCTAAGTTCAAAACATGAAAAAAGCGGAATCAAACTTTGCATTGCACCTCTCCTATTAGTATAGAAACTGTACTCACAATAGGAAAAGAATCCATGAAGAAGTTTTAGTTATAGGACGAATAAATGTTGAAGTTAAAAATATTCTAATCTAAGCATGCTAAGTTCAAAACATGAAAAAGTCATCATGGTCATATTAATTCAGAAACACACATATCAAAATCTTTGATAGGAAAACTTTGCACTGCACCTCTCCAATTAGTATAGAAAGTGTTCCTTAAATTTGTAAAAAATCCATGAAGTAGTTCTCAAGTTATAGGACACACAACTGTTGAAGTAAAATAAACATTCTAAGTTCAAAACATATAAAAATTAATATTTTCTTAAAATATCAACATATCAAAATCAAAGTTTGCACTTCACCTCTTCTATTAGTATGGAAATCTGAATTTGAAAAGAATCCATGCCATAGTTTTTAAGTAATAGGTTGCACAAATGTTTAAGTAAAGAAAATGAACAAATGTGATGAGAAAGCAGTACAGTACCACAGCACTGGAAACAGCCGATGACATGTGTTTCGGAACACCATCCCCACAGGAAGTAGCACTGGGCACACTTGTAGGAACTGGGCTTGATAATGTCAGTGGACTAAAGTTGGAGCTGACAGTTGGCTCTGACACTTGCAATTGAGGAATGCCATCAATCGATGTCACAGTAATGGAAGACTCTCTGAACTGCATGGTCTCCAGTGACTCAACATTCAGAACAGCCTGGTGTGTGGAACTTTCACGCAGAGGTCTGTGGGGTGGGCTATTCAGATCGGCAATGGACAATGCAGCATCTGATTGAATCGTGTTTGCCATCGTTCCATAACCAGCTGCTGCTTCCATAGCCTCTAATCTGCTGATGCTGGACGGCTTGCTGAGGTTAACCTTGGCTTCAATACCAGGAGAACTTGGAGTATCCGGCTCACTGTTAATTAAGTCTATATTTACATCATCCTCAATCAGCTGAGCAATCTGTAGCTTGACTTCTGGTGACAGGTCTTCCAGAGATATAGCAGGGATGTCCTCTTCATCAAATTCATAGTTGTCATACAGTCCATTCAGCTGAACATTCAATCTTGAAGGGGCTAATTTGTTCTGTGTTCTGGCACGGGTTCTCAACATTCTCGCTAAATGCAGCCTCTCATTTCTGGACCTCGGTGAGTTCACCATCTTCAACAAAGAATCTTTGCTCAATGGCTTCCTGTTTTTTGAGCTGTTAACAGGAGATTCACTAGAAGATGACGTTGGTTTTGCTGGGCTTGACAAAGATCTTCTGACACTGTTTTCAATACTGTGCCTTATCCTCTCAATATCATTTCTAGGAGTTGAGGTTTGATCTTCACTTTGAGAAACCAAAGTCTGTGAACTGGAAGCAAGTGAGCTTCTGCTGGCAGTTAGATCTGCAGATGTCTGCGAAGATGAGAACGATGCAATACCACTTTCCTGAAGAGAAGACACAGCAGAGTCTTTCTCAACAGATGCCAAATGACCCTTGATTCTAGATTTATTTGCATCACTTAAAGTCTTGATTTGCTTGTTCAACACATCCCTCATTTCATTTTTCTTGGACTTCATTATCCTCTCTTTGTCTGATTTAGCTTTCTGCCTCTTTTCCCTAAGTTCTTTACACAGCTTCTCAGCTTTTTCTAAAACACCAGACTCTGCATTTGTGTCATCACTTTGCAGTTCACTTCTAACTACCTTACTGTCCCGATTTACTTTAGGGGACACACGAATACTCTTTGGTGAGACTCGACTATTCTGAAGTTTCCTTGCACTAAGGCTCTTCAGTCTTAACGAGGGGCTACTACTGCTACTCCTGCTTTTTGCTGAAGACTTGGACTTGTTGGAAGATGTTGACCTCACCGAGTGAGAAAGTGTCTCTGCATCATGGTCACTACTAAACACTTTATCAAACTGGAATGTGAAACCATCCATCACTGCCTTTGCCTCAGCACATATGCTGTTCACATCTCCCAATCGAGAAGTTTTGGGGTCTGTTTTCACAGGATCAGACTTTCGACACCGTTTCCTTGCATTTGCAGTATTAGGACTTTCACCATTTGTAGGGTTAACCTTTCCTTTGTGTCTCTCCCCTTGTGTCTTTGTCTTTCCCTTCCACTTTCCTTTCTTCTTTTTCTTACTCTTTGTCCCAACTGCCCTTTCTTCATTGTTCTGTTCAAACTCCACTTCCCCAACACTGCCTCTCTGACTACTGTTATTCCATGAACCATGCCACGGTGGAGGTGGATGCCCATTAGGCTGATAATCGTTCCAGTACTGGCCTTGATAGGAAGGAAACTCCTTATTATGCACACTCACACCTTCCTCCTCCCCACTTTCCCCCTCCATGTCCATATCATCATCCATTCTCACATTCTCATGACTATCAAAGTCCACATATCTTGGTCCTTGCACCGCCCCTCTTGGGGGCCCATTAAAGCCAACAAAACCGCCTCTTGGGGGAAACCAACCATAGCCGTTGCCATATCGATTTTGAAAATCTTGATGGCCATATCCACTATGATAGCCATTTTGGTAATAGTCATTGTGGCACATATTGTTGAAGCGGTAGTTGTAGCCTTGGTCCCATGGGTTGCCATATCTATCATAGTCTCCATCATTGTAAGGGTCAGGCTGATCCCATCTTGAATGTTGCTGGTTAATGTCTTTTTGTTGTTTTTCGGACTGGGCTTTTTTCTTCCTCTTGTAGAAAATAGGGTCTCTCCTGAACCCTTCACTCTGTTCCTCCTGTTCTTGATCGTCATCACCAGACAAAGTTTGCCTGTCCTTCATGTTACTGTGCTTATCTGGCACCCTGCAAGGAAGATGACAGTTTAAATGAGTGATTTAATGAGAATTAATACACTATTTTTTTCAATTTATTAATGTTTCACAGTTGTCTGAAAGTGTTGACACCATGGATAAATTCTAAGATGTTAAAACAAAATATCGACTACTGGTTGACTTAATGTGAAATATAACTATCTATTTTTGTAACATTAATTGTCCTTAATCCGCAGTGCTACAGGCTGAATGGCAGGGTTAGAAATTGGCACTAGTCCTGTAGTCCTGGCCAAACTACCCAATAGTAAAGGTATCATAAGGACCAGTAGAAATTTGCCCTTTTTAAGGGTTTTGCTATATGTTATCATTATAAGGACTAGTGGACTGAAACTGTTAGTTTCTACCGCTGAATGGGCTAACATTCTCTGATGTATGATCCATGAATGAAGTATCTGGAAATAAGATTGCAAAATACTATTTCATGCTTGCATCTACAAGATATCTCAAGCCACTGGTATTCTTATTGACTCAATTCTACAAAATGTGTTTTAGCTTGGCTTCTATTCATTTCCTTTAATGATTTAAATGTTACCATAACATGTCACATGTCAAATGTTTTATAACAGACTTCCTTTTAAGATACGTATCATATTATAACAAACACTGTTGTCACAGCCTTAGGAGTTTTGAAACCATTGTCAACATTACCACATTTTAACTAATATCCCAGCAGGTTGATTGATTGTTTGTTGTTTAACGCCACACTCAGCAATGTTCCAGCTATATGACGGTGGTATGTAAATAATCGAGTCTGGTCCAGACATTCCAATGATTGACATCATGAGCATCGATCCATGCAATTGGGATTGATGACATGCATCACCCAAGTTGGCTAGCCTGACCACCAATCCCGTTAGTAGCCTCTTACGACAAGCATAGTCACCTTTTAAGGCAAGCATGGGTTGATGAAGACCAATTTTACCTCAGATCTTCACAGGTCAATGCCAGCAGAATGTAAGCATGTACCACCACAGAACGACACGGCAAACAGTGCTAGATGGTACAGGCAATGACCATTACTGTCACAGTGAGTGAGTGAGTATGGACACCAGAAATGGGCTCCACACATTGTACCCATGCCGGGAATCGAAACCGGGTCTTCGGCATGACGAGCTAACGCTTTAACCATGAGGCTACCCGACCGCCCCATCATACTGTCACAGAAAGTGACACATATTCACCAAGATAATAGTTCTTCTGGTATTCCAGTAACACATGTACACATTAAGAAATGTTTACGGCTGTTCCACATAGAAGCAGTCACATCATACACTGTACCCACGGATCCCCATTTCACAAAAATGGCAGACATGTCAGTTGAAGTTTTATGGAATAACATTCTTATATTACCTTGCCACAGATTTTTTATGTTGAGCTTCCCTTGCCTCTGCTGCCTCCTTTTCATCCTCAGCATTACGATTTTCTTCTGCAGCCTTCTTATGTTTCTCACCACTCAGATGTTTCCGATATTCCGCAATACTTCCACAGGTAGTAAAACAGAGAGTGCAGTTGTGCTGACTGTTCCTGAAAGATCCATAGAGGTGTAATTAACACCACACTAGCATGACCACACACAAGATAACTTGCATTACAGAATCATTAGTATGGGTTGTTTTACTAAGGAATACCACTTCCTTTAAAAGATCAGTCCTATGGACATAATATGACTTGGATGAAGCTTTTTTACTCCTAATAGTTGAAGCATGGTGGATTACATAAAAAGCAGATCGATCAGTGGATTATGAGTTAAAGAGACGAAACATTGACAAAACAAATCACAGGGAATACCAATATTAAGGAGTGAATGTTGTCTTAAGATCCTGTTTACAACATTCCAGCTTTATTATGATGGCACATCAATAACAGGTCTTGGCCAGGTCAACAATCATTCAAAACTACTTCTAGTACTGTAGAAATTGTAAAAACTCTAACAATGAGTATGAAGTACTTAGAAAGAGGCCTATCCTTGATTGTAATCCCCAAATGGTTGTTCCTTTGAAACATATGTCACTGTCATCCAGACAGTCTGACATACTCATGACTATACTTAACACAACTTACTTTTTCTTGCATTCTATGTTTGTGTGATGCATCAGAGACCAAAAGTGTTCTCGCAAATCCTGAAAGAAACAATGAAGAAACATGTAGATAGTTGCTCAGTAAGACTATTCACGGTTCAATTATTAATTGAATAAACATGATAAACAAACAACTTTTAAACTAAAATGGACTGTTTTCAGCCATACTCAGGATAATTCATTGCTCCAAAGGGCTTCTGAGCAGCTATAATCAACAGAAAATATGTGCTTCATAAATGTATAACTATGGCACAATTAACCTCTCATAGACATATAAAAAAAATAAGCAGTGATGCAATAAATCCTCATACATAACATAAAATGCCTAATTTTAACTTAACTCTGTGGTATACACTGTTGGTGACATTCATTGTTCGTGACAACAAAAGAGCACACATGAAACTCTATACCAAACACAGTATGTGTTGACTGAAGTTGTTCTCCAACACAGTTGCAGTTTTAAATTGTACCAGAAATAGAAACAAAAGTGAACCCTACCTACCTTCTCAGGTAAACAACACTATTTGTTTTACAACTTCCTCAATATCTTTCGCTTTTGCTTCTATGCATGCAACATGTACTAATTTTATCTCAACTTAACATTCACCCCCAGCTAGAAATAGTTAGGCTAGAAACAGACCCTTATATTTTCCATATTTTCTAAACTTATTTTTAACTACCTCACAAAATATAACTCAAAATTGTAATCCAGGGCAATTAATAGACATATTGATACAATTTCATACATAAGTTACAAATGACATTTATGTATAAATCCCTCGACATACAATGTACATCTGGTATACAATCTGTCACCTACTCTTTCAGATGCATATGACAGGGTGCACAAATTACATTTGTGCATGTTCTTGTCTTTAGCCACAGTTTTCTTAGCCTCGTCATCAGACATGATGCCCCTGCAACAAGAAGGGAATGTATACAATGCTGGTGGTAGGAGTACATCACGACAGAACACTCATCACATACTGCACATCATCAGGAATCCCATACAAGCAGTGAACAACCAATCTTACTGGAAAACTAGATGACTTCCCCAGGATGATGTATAAGGCAAGCTTCAGAAACAGAGGTCTCTATTTGGAATTCACAATGAAAATTCACAAGAGGATTGGGAAAAGATGAAAGCACTGTTGTCAATTGTTGCATACATTGGCACAATATGCATGGGTATAGTTTATCAGCAAGAAAAAGGGTGTCAAAAATAAATACATTCAATAACTTGGTAAATTCGAGAGAAATTGTCAAAGTTTCTGTTTAGCATAAATATGTACACAATGGTAGAAAGAATTTGTTCAAATGTTTTTGGTCGTTTCATTGTGTGTGTCACACTAAACAAGGGCCAGGCAATCCAGTGATTGATACTGTGACCACCTGATCCATTAGGTTGCTTTATCCGACCAGCATAGAAAGCTGGTATCCAATTTGATACATAATTATGTCTTTCAGATATTAGGCAATTTTTTGTTTCGCTTCGTTTACATAAAACTGTCGAAAAAAAATCTTTTCATCAGATGAACTGTTTAATTTACATATGCATTATTTACTGGTTTTTTTTAAGGACAACCAAATTTTAGACGACACTTCACTGTCTGTTCAAACCAGTCATTTCCAGTGGTTTCAGAGAAGAGATTGATGTGAAGGCTGTTTTACTTTTATAAATGTTGCAGCGGCCATTTTTAATTTTCAAAATGAAAGATTTCCTTTCTTGAAGCTTAGGACATGTAGAAGATGTCACATCAAAATGACCAAGTCAAATAAGCTAAATATCAATACCAGTATACATGGTAGAAGAATACAAATCTGAAAATATTCGCATCATGTATTGAATAGTTAATGCTCTTTGATTGTAGAACTGTTTTTCATGATTCACACCAAAGGAACCTAAATGATAATGCTACAGTACTTCTTGCAGAGTTGGGTGAAAACAGCCAAGCAAGCTTGGGGCATTATCAAGTATTGTTTGCAAACAATGCGGGAGTAGTGCACTTTACCGGGTGCACTTTTTCAGATCCAATTAGCGCTGTGGGGACTCGAACGCGCTTTGCGGGGTCACTGGCTTGGCTAATTGATGTGTTAATTAGCCAACGCTCTACCACTGGACCACGAGCACTATCACATGTAAACAATGCTTGTTTAATGGGTTATTAGCAGCCCCTTAACAGGCAGGCGTAATTCAGTAAACAATGAATTGCGCATGCGTGTGACGTCATGGTCGCTCACCCATTTATCTTTTCTTGAAACCACACCCGCCATTGTTTATGTCAACATGACCGACCAATTGGATTAACCGGATTAATGCTTCAAAAGGTAAGAATTTATGGCTAACCCTTGCCCAAAGCAAGCTAACCCTTAGGCCCTAAAAGGGGTGTTGGATGGTAAAGACATATAAGTTTCCTAAGACCTAAAAGGGGGTGTTGGATTGTAAAGACATGTTAGTTTCCCTAAGACTGAAAAGGGGTGTTGGATTGTAAAGATGTGTAAGTTTCCCTTAGACCGAAAAAGGGTGTTGGATCGTAAAGATATGTAAGTTTCCCTAAGATCAAAAAGGAGTGTTGGATCGTGAAGCGAGAGTCACTGGAGCGTCAGGCACGGTAACGGTATAGCTTGATAACTGACTGGAGGGTAGAGCTCAGGCTGCGCACGGTAAATAGCATTATTGCCAACAATGCTTTAAAATGGTCGAAGTTCTGGCCCCTTAAGCGTTTGATTCCAAATCAATTATATACATACTCAAAAATTGAGAATACAGTTATTTAATGAGTGGGTCTAACTGCTAATTCACATCTCCAAGATGTGCCATGCATCTCATATGTGTCATGTAGACCCTATTTGCTTGACAAAGGTACTAGCATCTGTCCCAAAACGTCACATTGATAGAATATAGAAGTTATTTCCAAAAGACATAAGTCAACTCCTGTTTTTATTGTATTGCATCTCATTTTCCTTTCACCAATTCATCATATTCATTATCCCATATGATAGGTCATGCAAATAATTTTGCAAATAAATGAAATGTCATTTGTTTATGCACAAGCTAAATGGAATATTCGACGAATTTCATATTATCAGAGGAGAGTCGCGGGCACCTGTCAAATATTCGAGCACTTGTCTGCGCATGTTTTCATATAAGCGAAAGTGACAGCGTTATTTTGACACAGCGTATAACTTCAAAGAAACTATAACAATAACTGAAATTCAAATAAATATAACAACCTTATCGTTTACGATGGGTGTCTTCTTTAGCAATACATGTGCAAAAGGTAAACATGCACTATCAAGAAAACATTAGGAATCGCCCTGTCGATTCCAGGATCGGATGAAAGCCGCCATGTTTGTATGGCGCTGCGCAGTATGGGAAATGTGACTTTTGTGTAAAAGATTGAACTTTTTTTTGTTTTCGAATGCTAGTTGTTACGATTATTTCATAAAACATAAACATTTGAGTGATATATTAACTTTTATACACGCATCATTTTACGAGAACTCACGTGACGTCATAGGGACGGCCATATTGTGCGATTTGTCATATATCAGTGAGAATTTGTGATTTCTCTACTCGGTGAGTGAAAATCCACCCCAATACATACAAACAAACCTAGATGAATACCAGAGTGATCTAGGATCGTGTATTTTCTATGTTGCCATGTGATTACATTTCTTGTATTTTATTTCAACTTAAATAACACAAAATTATCCCATTTGTTTATGTTTTCTTGTAGGGAGCGGATATGTCAAATCATCAAGTGACTTCGTCAAATAACAGTTGTTTTCTTAAATGTTGAATTACAATTTCTTTCGAGACTGAATTTTAATTTCTTACTAATATGTTGACCAAAGTAGATTTAGAAGAGCTTTAATCAGTTGATGATTTGGGTTGCGACACGCAAAAATGTCGTGCAGACGACGTAAGCTAAATATAGTGGAAACGCATGGTTGATTGGGCTTGGGATTTGGGGGCGTTGATTTTATGTCTGGCTGGTATTACTTCACGGTCAGTTTTGATTTACAAAATATACTCTCGATGAAGAATCTCATTTGAAATATGTTGCATGATTTGTTTTACAAATCTTGTAGGCTATCAGCTGGTGAAAGTATGTTTACTTTATCAAGTTGCAAGTTACATGCCTTGCCCAAAAAAATGGAGAGGTCCAAATCGTATTTACATAGGTTTCATAATACACAGTAGGCCTAATGTGTTAATGCACAATATTGGTGCTATAACAGTGTACGTACCAGCTTAATGCCATGTATGCAGTTTGTAAACACACATTCATGATGACCCTAATTCTTTTCTTTGCTTTACCATATTAATCTTGTCCAAGTTTGTGAAAGATCATGTAAACAGCATATTTAGGGGTCCAGAGATAAATGCTACAGAGTAAACATCAAGAATCCGAGCACACCCTTGACTGATTATTGATGTTATTGTGGGAAAAACCCTTTAATTTAATTCTTTTGGCTGCCTGAACAAAGTGAATTTTGGGGAGACTGGTGCATGTTTCTATAACTGGAAGATGCATATTTTACAATGGCATGTGATACTTACATTTGAAAATAAGATATTCCAGTTTATTGATAGTTGAAACAGTTGAAATAGTTCACCCACAATTTTGCCAAAAATTAGATTCGCTCCATTGAATTAAATATTGAATAATGCATTTGTGGGGCCTACTTTTAGAATATAGTATCACAAACACATGTATTTATAAACACATCATAATATCCTATGGTATAATTTGTGATATTATGTTGCCAGATACATTATTTATACTAAAGCATAGGTACGCTGTTCACCAATTATTGTAGTCATGGGACAAATTGGTGTTGCTCACTATGGCATTTTATTAGCGGTATTCACCTGAATACAAGTCATTGTGGGGAAACAGCCCAAGCTTGTGTTTGTGTGTACAATGATGTTGTATTGAACCAGTGATACTTAGTTTCAACATGTTCACGTTTTTCTCATATCAAACGCCAAGGTCAATGTTAAGCCTAGAGGCCTTTTATCTTGTGTAGGTCATTATTTTAGTCCCATTTTGTGCTTGCAAAACATACAGAGAACTTACGATAGCAACTCATTATCATAGATAAATTGTTGGTGAAAGGAACATAAAGCATGAGGTTGTAGTGTGTTCTCAACAACTTATTTCCCCAAAAGCTACATATTTAATTTTCTGATGTTTGGATTAAGCACCAAAGTGAGAGAATGAAGACTTTGAATTATTTGTCCATATGGACATTATAGCCGTGATGGAGTAACAGATCAGTATTACAAATTTACATTCAAGAGGAATATGACTGAAGCAAAATACATGTACATTGATTTTACTTGTAAACACTGTAATTGATTTCCTTGCCTTTTGACCAGGTGCAAACACCTGAAAACTCGCTGCGTGAGGTCACATAATGCTGGCTATGTTAATTGGTTAATGACCAGTGGGCCAGTTCATTCAACATGTTCAAGGTTCATACAGGCTTTAAAAGGCCTTGAATTTTAAGGTATCTTTTGAAAAATGTTGAAAAGCTTGATTTTTAGTGTCAACCTTGCAGAAACCTGAAAATATCTTTAAAAGCCTTGAATTTGCAGTGTGTAGTATGCTTGATTTAAAATAAATATAAGACTAAGGCTAATAACCCAAATAAAAAGCTTTGAAAATGACATTTGAATACCTTGAAAAGGCCTTGAATTTTAGTGTTGCATGTTTTATTAATCTTTTCATTATACAACCAAATATCATAAATGGTTTGATCATCCCCCGACTCTACCTTCCCCCGGTTGTGTTTAGTGGCTGCATGTCTGTTCAGTATACAACCAGGAAAATACATTTGTCCTATCATGATTATGCAAGTAGTTTAACTGTATATTCCGGAAATTATACAACTGTTGATATTATCTACCTCACCTTTTCAGACAGCCTAGTTAACCCACAGTGCATCTTAAAGTTTGTGAAAGGTTTCTCGTCTTTTCTTGACCTTAAATGGAGGTGTGTTCTTCCTTAAACCTTCACCTTCACCAAAATTGATATGTGAATACCAAAAGAATTTTTAACAGATATTTTATCAATTGTTTTAAAATGTGGAAATGGGTTATTAATAACTTGTTCTTTCAAGACTGAAATACATGTTGCTAGATTCTGTCTTTGTAGCTTGTCTGAATTGTAAATGATGTTACTTTAGTAGTCATGAAGTTTTCTTTCTACAATAATTCTCTGTATACTTTGGCATGTTTAGTCAGAATATATAATAGCTACCCTTACAAGACTAATAAATGTTAATAGATTCTGGTTTAGGAGTACAGTGGCTTAGGTCTCTAATGTCTGTACAGCAGATAAAATCAAATGTGTCAACATCAGGTGTGTCACAATAACCTGTATTCAAAACTACATGTGTGTTATAGCTGGCATGAGCATGATGAGTAATATTCAAATGAAGTATTCCACAGGAAAGCAGGAAGAATATTTTATTGTTTCATATGGTCTTTCCAACACTATAAGCAGTGGATTGATGTGTCACATATCTTCCCCTGGTATTGTTATGTGTGTCTAGAAAATAATACGGTAAACATCATGGGAGAAAATACTTTTTTTCAAATAAACATAGAAATACTATGAGTTTGTCTCAGAATCCTCCCTTAGTGACCTGAATATTAAATGGTTGATTGATAAGTTCTTGTAGTCAGGTTTTGTATGAATAACATTGATTCAGTGTAACATGTGATCATGTTGATTACTAGTGACCAATTGCAATCTTATAAAAGTGTATGGTTTCTAAATTTATTTGCAGTTCTACCTGAATAGTCAGAGCACCATTCCTATTGTTGACACAGAACTGTAATCTATCATTGTCTACTGTAACCGATAACCAACAAGAAACATGAGAAATGTCTTTAAAGGCAGCATTAATCACTGGGTTCAGGTGTGTATATGATGGTTTTGAATCAGCAACGGAAATACCCCCTACACTGCTCCGTCTGAATATAACAATATTTTCTCTCTGGTGCAAAAAGAAAAACACATGATGAACAATTCATTGAAAAGTTCTCTCATAATCAGGTTAATTCCTTGCTAGCTGTTCTCTGCCAGCGCCACATACACAGCTTGTGGTATGTATGGTATTAAATGTGATCGTGGGGAATGTGCACTTCATGATGGACTTCATTTGTGAAGGAAAATCAATACTTCGTAAACTAGAATTTGACCGTCAACATTGCATTGATATGGTATTTGATTTCTTTACATTTTCATCAGGGTTGGATTGTTTCCAGTATTCCCAATGGGCTTAAAACTGGCAATGATTCAATCTATTCTGATAGGAATCAAAGTATTTGGATTCATGCCTGAAAATAGAATTCACAGTGCATAATTGTTATTTTGTATTTCAATTTGAGATTCCTTGATTGGTCACGTGTATTGTAATTGTTCTGGTGATTGGAGATAAATGGTAGATATAAAATGTTTAGAAAATATATATCATTAATTAATATTTCTTATCCTGACACAACCCAATTTCCTTCTTCATTTCGATCACACCACACGGAACCCAAAAATTGCCTCTTCTACCAATCAGATACTGTAAATCTTGAAATTAACGCGAGCGTGAATTAAATGCAAAAAATGCGAGTGGTCTTTGCTCGCATTATTAAACATCGCATTTATATCAACAATAAGACATTTTGGATAGCAGAAATACCAACTTAGACATACGCTGAAAACAAACAACTACGAGGACTGGCTGAAAAGTTCTAAGCCTAAGTGGGACATCTCAATCGGATTGAAACAAACTTTTGCCACCAACTAGTACATTCATTTGATGAATCATAGACATAAGAACTGCAACTGTAGAGTTATTATTGTCTTTGTACCAGACCATCTTGTGAACCTACCCATTGAAATCACCAGAAATGGACAAAACTGGCTATAGCGCAGTCATCAAGTACCTGCAACTCCAAAACAAATACATGCTGACATGGTCTCCACTTTAGGGGATGAAGCCCCTTCCTTTTCCACTGGGCTTTGGAATTCAAGTGTGGCAGAGAGACCCTTGATGATGACCTGCATCCAGGAAGGCCTTCAACAGCAACCATTCCGGAAAACATTACCCGGGTGCATGACATGGTGATGGCTGATCGACGATTGACCACTCGACATATTGCCAGTGTTGTGGGCATCTCTCATGAGAGGGTTGAGCACATTATCACCAACGAGTTGGGATGGTTGCCAAAGCTCTTGACAGCGGATCAGAAACGTGTCAGATTCCTGACGTCCCGTGACAATTCATACCGTTTTGAAGCAGATCATGATGATTTTTTGGCCCGATTTGTAACCATGGATGAGACCTGGAT